ACCTAATTAAACTAAGGCTTATATAATAATAAAATCTTAAGAAGTTCTAAGCTTAGTTTATAATTATAATTATTTTATAACCTATACTAAGAGAGCTTCTTAGCTTACTAATCTTAATAGAAAATATTATTCTTATCTTATTATTTTTCTTTTTTTTTTTATATCTTATAAGCTTTTTTCTCTAATTAAGTTTACTTAGTATTTACTTATAAAAAGATTATCTATATAAAAGGTTTATTTAGCTATATTATGTTATTATAGCTAATTATTTATTTCTTTACTTTTTTAAAGAATCCTACTTTTCTTAAGTCTTATTTATTATAGTTTCTTAAAATTAAGCTTACTTTTATATCTAGGACTAAGTCTAATTAGGTTAAAAATATTATTTCCTTTATATCTTTTTAATAATATATTTTATTAGTTAAAGCTATTTTTAAGGTACTAATATTAGATTTATTATATAATTAAAATAAAATAATAAAAAGATTAGTAGTTTAATTCTACTATAAAGTACTATTAAAACTATATAAAATAAAAGAAACTAACAAATAAACAATTAATATATAAACCACACTAAACACTAAGGTCCTAATATTATTACAAGTACACCTAGAGTAACTAATTACCCTAAATAACTACCCTAACGCCTAGACCATAAAATACTACTCTTTTCAGGTCCTCCTTAGCCTAATTAAGGCCATAAGCAAACTAGAAAAATATATCCTTTACAGTCTAGCAGTCTATTCAGATTTGCCCTTATTACTAAGTAGTATACATATATATGTTATGATCTCTAGAGGAAAAAGATACCCTCCTAGACCTTAGAGGTCTAGTTAGGCCTAAGAAAACAAAGCAACAGTCACTTATTATATATCTTATTTAGATATTAAAGTAATAAATTCGTCTATATCTATCTAAGTACCTATTTAAAGATATCAAGCTTCTCTGTCTACCTAGTCATAATATCCTAATCTCTATAATAGTATCTAACTAGAGCCCCTTTTTGTACTTGGAAGGGTCCTGCTTAGTCACGTCTGATTAGGCCTGTGATTATGTCTGTAGGCTAATAAAAGGAAAAATAAAAACGCAAAACCCTGCCCCTTTCCAAGATATACCCCTCTTTTAGTATAAGGAACTCTTAGGTACTTTATATTATCTTAAGATAAAAGCTATAAGTAAAGACCTATATCTCTTTTAGACCCTAAACAAAAAGGTACTTCTTTTTTTTTATATTAATAATATCCTTATACTTTATTATAAGTCTTATATAAAAGATATAAAGAAGATTATAAAAAAAATCTAAATAATATATAAGGTAAAAGACTCAGGCTTAGCTAAATAGTATTTAAGTATATAGATCCTATATAACTAACTAAAATAAAAGATCTATTTAGCCTATAACTAATATATTAAGCAAATTACTAAAAGATTTAACCTTATTAACTTAAAGGTACTAACTACCCTATTACTAACAGTTACGCTTAAAAAGAATAACCTTGAAGTAACCCTAGTTAACATAAAGCGTTTCTAAGAGAAGGTTAGATTAATCCTTTATACCGTAATAATAATCTAACTTAATATTATATTTATATATACCCTATTTTTACGATTTTTAACAAACCCCTTATATATCTATTAATAAGCAACAAACCAAGTTATTAGATACCTATATTACACTTAGTACCTAGTAATATACTTTAGTACCTTAAAGGGTATATAAACACTACTAATTATAAATAACGCTTTATTTATAAACAATAATAAAACATAAAGATTATTCTAAGGACATATTATTTTGCTTTTTAAAGGTCTAATCTAATAAAAAGCTACTTAATAAAACACTATTATAACGTTAATAACTAAGGCTAAGCTCCTTAGCCTTAAGCATATTATAAAAAAAACTATTACTCTTAAGCGTTTTTTTTAAAATATATAACTTAAACTTAGTAATATATAGAAGATTAATTATAATAATAATTAAATTATTTACCTTATTATAAGTAAAAGTAACTAAATTTTAATTTACTTATAGTATATTAATATTTAGAATATATAGCTTTAATAAGAATATAATAAATATTTATTTAATGTTATATATATACTAATAGATAACATATTAATAGATAATCTTACTAAGAACTTTACTAAAGTAAAATTTAAGTACTTTAAAGTATTCTTTAACTTATAAAATATATAAATAAAGATTATATATACTAAAAAAGAAGTATTAGTAGAAAAAGAATACTTATAAGCTATTTAAAATTACTATTTATAGCTTATAGGCCTTTACTCCTAGTAGAAGCCTAAGAAAAAAGTTTTTTTAGTACTATTAACCTTTTAAAAGTACTATATACTAGTCTATAAGGAGCTAATATATAAGTATAGTTAATATAAACATTAACTAATTAATAAGGCTATTAATTATAACTTAAATAGTATTTACTTAACCCTTATTTATAATAATAATAGTTATACTAAAAGTAGAACTACTAAATAAAACTAAACTAATTAGTATATTCTTACTAAATAATATTAGTATTACTTTACTATACTTCTATATACTATATTAAATATCTTTTTAAAAAAAAATCTATTTAAATATAATATAGCTTTATAATATATTAATTATTTAGCTAAAGACTTATAAGAATAATTAGAACTAAATAAATAAATATTATATATAAAAATATATATTTAAAGCTATATTATTATACTTTATAACTAAGAACTTTTAGGCTAAATAATAAAGCTTAGAACCCTTAATAATTATAATATAAGAGGTCTTACTAAGTATATAGTATTAGTACTTAAAGGTCTAGTTATTACTTACTAGTATATATTAACCTAAAGAATTACTATATAGTATACTCTAAATATACTATAAGTACTTAAAGTCTCTTTAAAGAATAAGCTTTAGGGTCCTAGTATATATCTCTTTCTCCTTCTCCTTATTCTTCTTTTTCTCCTCTACTTCCTCTCCTAGCATAAACCTAAAAACAACTATCTCTATTTAATAAAATTAATAAAAAGTTTAAGTTAAATAAAAAAAGCATAATATATTAGCTAGCTACTAATTATAAAAGGCCCTTAGGACTATATTAAAGTAGGCTTAGGTACTAAAGGAGAGAAGCAACTTTAAATTATCCTTATCTTTACTTATAGTACTTATAAAGAGGTTAGCTAAAAGAAGAGGCTATAAGCTATCCTCTTTAGTGTTAACCTCCTTGCTACTGTAGCCTCTAGTAAAAGGAGTCTACTCTTATATATTAATACCACTTAAGATACAAAGGACCTAGACAAAGAATAGACATATAAGAAGAGAAGAGACTATAAGCTAGTTACTAAGGGGATTAAGAGAGCTACTACTCTTTTTATTACCTTTATATACTTTATTATACTTTTTAAGTTAAGTTATATATACTATAGTAATATAAGTATATATAATAGTCTTTTTATTAGATTTTAAAGGTATTTATTCTTAAACGTTAATATTATATAAAGAGCCTATAATATAAATAAATATATATATATATAATAAAAATAATAGTATTTTAAATATATAGTTATTATTATTATAAATAAAAAAAATAAAAAAAAAGCCTTTTTATTAAACTAAAAAAAAATAATATTATTAAAAAAAAAATTACTTAACTTAATAATTAATTAATTAATTAAAAGCTATTAATTTAATTAAATTATTTAAAAGTAATAAGAAAAAAAAAAGTAGTTTTTTTATTATTAATAATTAAATATAATATTATATAACTATTTCTTTTATATTTATTACTTTAAGAGTAAATATTTATGTTTTTATTTATTTTTTTAAAGTAATTCTTTTATATATAGCTATTATTAGATATATAATAGTTAAAATCTATTAATTTACCTAAAGGGATATGTTATAATACCTTTATGCGTATTATATAGCCTTATGAGATTTGCGCTGGGCCTGGATTAACTATTAGTCTGGTCCCTTTGTGCGGATCCACCACACAGGATATGTATTTATTCGTTTCAGACAAGGCAATCCTGCACGTAGAAATGGAAGCCGTTTTCCTTATGTCTTTTCCACCCTAAGTGGTGACTCTACGACAACATCAAAACCTTCAGATACTTCACGGCCATGAGAAAATCAAAAAGTTCTCAAATGCACTCAATTTTCTCACAACCTAACCCTTTGGTTCCAGCCTCACAGCTCTCGATCCCAAGCCTTCACAATCAGACTCTGAGTTCGACTTCTGAACTCTAGGTGAAACGACTCTCCAACGAAACCCAGGAACTCTACAGCAGCCATCTTCACATCCTCCATCATGTGCGAAGTCGAGACGGTAAAGCATGTGTGTGCCCACCACCAAGCTGTGCGACGACGCCTTGTACACATTCGGCAACAGATTCAACACTTGCAAGAAGCTGGTGCAGACGGCTTCCGACAGCCTGGACTACTGCAAAATGAGCTGTGTCCACAGGAAGTGGAGGAAGCGCTGGGTCTGCCACAAGTGCAACGGACCCAACCAGCGGACGCCGCAATGCGCCATCAAGCGGTGTGGACATCGTATCTGCAGCATGTGCAAGCCTTGTGAGCCTATCGCGATGCTATGGGTGAGGGGAATCGTAACCTGACAGACTCAAGTGACATGTCCCAAGAAAGAGACTGTGGCCAAGGCTCAATACAACCCAAGAAAGCACATCAAATGGAGCCAGGCGGCCAGACCTGCTGCTTGGTTGGTACAACGCGATGCTCAGTCCCGACCAAGAATTCCCGTCTATGATCCATCTGTTGGAGGCTGGGTTTAGACTTGGTGAAAAGGGACAGAAGTTCACGGAAGACTGCTCGACAAGGGTAGCATTGGTGTTACGACTCGCTCAAGGCAACCAAAGGAGGAAAGCATCTGGCTGGCCAAGACGGCCAGCCTTCTATCTGTACTGAGGGGTTTCACTCAAGTCTATCGATCAAGGCCCTATAGAAAGGATACAAACAGGAAACAGGAATCAAAAACACATTATTTGCCGCCAGAAAAGGACACGACAGCCCATTTTCCGCTCCATGCCCACTTGCGTGAGCCTGAGTCGCCGCCGCCGCCCTCGGTGGCGAGCAACTTCTCGTCTTCGCCAGGCTGGAGGCCAACGACGACGTCGGCCTTGCAGGTGCGAAGGGCTAGGATGTTGAGACCGGATCCGGGGCCGAGATTCTTCAGGGCTTCGGTAAAGGGCGTCGCGGCGTCCCAGTCGGCCTGGACTCATGTCAGTAGGCTTCAACAAGTCAAGAGACATACAACTTACATCGCCAGTCAACTTGCGGTAGTTGAGATCGCCCTTGAAGATGACCACCTCGCTGGTCTTGAGATCCTCGTATAGGTCCTTGGCCTCCTCGGGCAGTTGCCAGAAGGGGCCCGGGTGTGTCCAGTAACGGTTGGGTCTGAGGATGAGCTGCCCCTCGGCGTGGAACTGGCTCCACTCCTGAAATAGGAACGACAGGTTGCCCGCGTCAGCCTCTGAAAGGGGCTCGGGGGTCTTGTTTTGAAGCTTTTCGTCTTCAGAGGGGGTCTCGTAGAAGGGCTTGGGGTTCGCGATGGCACCGAGCAGCTGGGCAAAGTCGCTGGGGAGGACGTCGGATACAAACCATGGGATCGACTTGGGGTGCAGGACAATGTTTGTCGCGAGACCGGCCGAGAGCAGGTATCCGGCAAGAATCAGGTCTACGTAGAGCTCGAAGCCGGCGTTGTCGAGGACGATATCCACGCGTCGCTCCTTCCTGCCTTCGGCCTTGGCCTTCTTGAGAAGCTCGTAGACGGCGGGGAGGTCGTTGACAACGATGTTCTTCTCCGAGGCTTTACGGGCCTCGGAGCCTTGCAGCTTCTGGATGTCCTCGTACGTCAAGCTCGTCAGCAGCGACAAGTCAGTCGCGTTACCCCACAGGCAGATCTCGCACATCTCAGTGAAAAGAATCTTCTCGGCCTCCTCGTCTTGCGCGGCGCCCTTGTTCTTCTGGAGCTGCTCGACGAGCTCCTTGTATTTCGAGGCCAGCTCGAGCACAGCAGGCCGAGAGGATCGGAAGGTGCTGATCTTCTGGCGGGCGAAGACATCGTAGTTCTTCCAGTGGGTGGATTGGGCAAAGTACGTGCTGATGCGTCTATCTTTACTACATCAGCATTGCGCTCGGCCACCAGCATTGGGTTCGGTGCTGGATATCTCACCTGAACAGGTAGCACTCGCAGTAGAGCCATGGCACGTTGAGCCATGTCGGCGAGCCAAGCTTCTTCAGCTCCTCGTTGTAGATGCTGACGTCAGGGTATCCATCGTCCTCGATCGGCCTGGTACGGTCAGCAAGCATGCCGCCAAGGAAGTATCGGCAGGAGGGTCGTACGTCAATGGCCGGTCGTGCTGGACCTCATACTTGAGGCGGGCGATCTTCTCGATAATCTTTTTGCCATCGGCCTCCTTCTCGGCGTCCTTGGTCTGGGCAACCGAACGATAGAGGTCGTCAATCGCCTGGGTCTGTAGCACAACTGTCAGCATGAACGTAGTACCAAGGACAGCAAAGGGGACGAACGATGATCACAGGCCAGCGCTCGCGGGCGGTAACCCAGCCAAAGGATCGCTTGTCGCCGGTCGAGTAAGGAGCTGCCGTTGCACATTAGTTCGTTGGGCCTGTGGTGTTTGATGAGGGAATTGATTACCAGGCATCGTGAATCTGTGAGTATGGTAATCACAATCAGAACGAGGGTGTGTCGGAGAGCAATCCAAAGGTGATATATGAGCAGCTGAAATATTTTGCAAGTAGATGTCTCAGACTGCAGTTCAGGCCAAACATGACGGATCCAGGGACCACGTTCAACGTTTCTGTCACAAACAGCTATCCCCTCCATGGTGGGGCCGCGTCGCGGGGCAGTCCCCGGTAACGACATAGAAGCCTGGGTGACGTAAGCCCTTTGTTTCGGATAGGGATATATGCATATATCGAGATGAGTCTGCTACACCGACTACCCATTCTTTCACGTCTGCCATTGACCAATCACCACCATTCGTTTTGTCACCACCCTTCACTTTCACATTGATCGTTTCTAACTTCGCCAACCTCATCAACTAGCAAAATCCACCGCCCGCTTCTGTAATTGGCCTCTATCCCAGTCACTGTATTGCTTAGCAGGTCTTCTCTTTGCTTCAAGTCCCTGTTCCAAAACACGCCTACAACTCGTGCGGCGCTTCCAAGACACATGCCATGGCCTGGCTCGTGTGCTTGATCGAAGCTTATCACGACCGTTTCACGACGTGATCCTATACTACTAGAAGTAGAACTTTTACAGGAGGATTTCAATACGCCCAGCTGAGTTCGGCGCATTTGTCTGGTGGTTTCGAGAGTCAGTCGCCTATATTATCGCTAGCGGTTATCATTTGAGGAGCATTTGCCGATGCAAGAGAGCGCTTGGGATGAATCAATAAGCGGCACCATCTTTGGAGAGCATCTTGATAATGCAAATCATATCCTAAAGCCTAAGAAATCGGTTGTGGAATTCAGTTTCATGCAATGCTGGCCACCGCCTCACGAGTATCCGGAGCTGGTCCAAACTACCTAAGCTACGGCATGCCAGTGCGGCTCATGTATGTACCACGAAAATCTAGTAGAGGAGCCTCAGCCGACCCCATTCCTCACCAAGCTCATGCATGGAGACCATAGAGCAGATCCGAACTCACATTGATTACATCACAAGCCACAGAGTTCTCACTCCCTTGTCTAGCCCCTTGACTACGTGCTATCACTGACCAACTCCCTGCGGGACTCCACGATCTACCCGGCTCATCCGGAGCTTTTACCAGCTCGGGATGGAGTTTGCGGGAAGTCTTACCACACGTGGGCTTTATATTTTACAAATAGCGCATGACGCCGGGTCTGGACGTATCAAAAGCCGGCATAGACTCAGCGGGAGTTCTAAGCGGGAGTGCCCGACAAGTGCGGCTTCCTTGCACAAGGATTGTTATGGGTCGTAATGAGGAGATGCGCCGATTCGCTACTCTTACCAAAAGCATTCTTCATGATGGTCCCAACAGCCCAGAGCCATGGTTTACATACCTGCCAAAGGCATCCTGCATAACGCTGGCACGTCTGTTGATCATGGTAATCCTCTTGAATACCACGGCGAGTCCTCGTAGCGGTCGAGGTCGGCGGTCTTCGACGCCGACAAAGACTTAGCCGAAAATCAAGACTAGCTTTCCAAGGATACAAAGCAACATGTTGGGGAGATCTTAAAGCAGGTCGATGGAGCGACTTTGGCAGCTGAGTCGCTGCAGCGTTTGTTTCCCTAGCACATGCAGCACTGCTATTGACAGCCAATATCTGTTGCAAACAAGGAAGTTGATTTCCGATATAACAATCGAGCCCTGGTACCTGATCTCTACAACCTCCGATTTTTGCTGCTGCCTCGCGCCTATGAGCAGGCGCAAAGGAGTATGCAGAGATGAATGGCTTCTTGCAAGTGAAATTTCTCATCACAAGCTATCACAGCGAATGCTACGAGCTTCTCGCACTCCTGTCAGTTGGGCTGCGTTCGCAGTCTAGGGAGGGAAGAAGGCATGTCTGGGGGCTTTGATTCTATTGCTCGTCCGATGCCGATGAACCGAGTCTACTGACCAGAGAGTCGGTTACCCGCAGACTGTCAAGACTCAGTAGCCGAGTTGTGGAGCTACCTCACATTTCCGGCATCATCCGCAAGTGGGCAGTGATTCCGCAAGCTTCCCTGCACATGTCAAACGAGGCCCAGTTTCGATGGCACCAAATGGAGACAAATTTTCCTCAAGCAACAGTATCGATGCATCACGAGAACACAAAAGTTCTTGCAGAGACACGAACTGCTCGTACTTGGTGGTTGACTAAGCTGGCGGGGGAACGGACAGAACCCCGCGTTGAGGTGCACACACCAGCACGAACCTGCGGTCAACTGATATGAATCGCAACATTGGAAGTGTCACATACTTCAACCTCCATCGGGCGGTCCCTGCCGAAGGAGGCTCGCCTCACAATGACATTGTGGTAACGAGATTCGAGCGCAAACATTTTCTTTCCCTTCAGGAACCGGTGAAGGCCAACCCCGGCAGGCGCGAGGTCGAGCACGCCGGGAGTGTGGGACTCTTAGTCAAGCATCAACATGGCACCGGGATACCATGACTGTTGCTTTGTTTTACTTTCCTAGGGTATGAGCTCGACAGCCGTATTCGCGAGCCTAGATGCATCGATCACCAGGCGACATTGGGTAATAGCGCAGTTGACGACTCGTTGCCAAGGTTGCGGCTCAATTCGCGTGCCATCGGAGCCTTTCGCATCTGCGGCGGGTATCCCCAGCACTTTGGATGTTCACTCGTCCGGAACATAAAAATAACGTGGCGACCATGTTGGCGCGACATTGTGAGCCCACCTCGAGCTCAAAATGGTCCAGAAAAGAAGACTTCATGAAGCTGGTCGCTGTTCACCTGGGGATGAGTCGACAATAAGCGGCCTCTCTTCGGGGACATTGTCGAAAGTTGGGGTCTTCCCCCCACGACTTTGTTTCGTCAAGTCTAGCCCAGCGGGATCCCCAGAGAATCCAAACTCCCATGGTTCAAATCCCCATGGGACACACCAACTGACTTCATTAGTCACGAACTGGTTCGTCTGCCACTCCTAGTGGATTGATCCACAACTCGGCCAACTTCCGCTTTGAGCACTAGCTCCGGGCATCTTTGTCCGATGTTACACGACTTCATGGCGCTCATCAAATGGCAAGAGGCAAAGGGTCCATGAAAATTTCGCTGCCGCCCGCTGCGTGGGTAGAGCAAATCGTGCGATGTCTTAGCTTCTCACAGAGCAGGAAAATGGCGGGGTATGTTCACACGCGGGCAGTACGGGGTACTCGGCCTTTACACCGCAGTCTTCCCTGTGTTCTAAGAGGCGAAGGAATCCGGTATGACGAGGGATGGTCAGTGTTTGAGCCTACTGCAGACGTACATTGGCTTTCACAGGGCGAATCAGAAGGGTACGAACCCCGAAGCTCATCCGTTCTGGGAAAAGCTCTGCGTTGCCTGGCTTTTGCTGCCAAATCTGGTCATGGCAACCACTATGGAGGTGCAGCCAAGAATGAGCTGACGGTCTCAAGAATGGCTTCAGGATATGGTTCTCCTGTGATGAAATCTCGTAAGTGGAGGACGGTTGTAGAGCTGATGAACTGGCTTCGGACTGACTTGGACCCTTCAAAGAAAACCGCTGGATCTACCAGATGTGCACGACAAATGGTCCACGAACCAAGGGCATGGGTTCCCCATCTCATTCAACCCTGCAAAACTGTCAAAACAGAGTCGCAGCAAAGCTTGACACATGTTATCCCAATCAGGTAAAACAGGCCCCGTCATCAAAAGCTGTCCCCCTAGTCGACTACCCAGGAAGGCAATCCTTAGCGTCAACTCTTGCAACTTTAAGTACAGACGATGTCCCAACCTAATTGATGAGATACCCGTCTTAAGTACTCGTTTTTCACATCTGGCGAGTGCCTATTTGGTTGTTTAGGGACGAACTCCTATCTCATACTATCAAGCTGTCATCCGAAAGCAAGCCACCCTCTCTTGCATCATGACCATCGAAGCGGAGACCGCCGCCGAGGCGCGCACGAGGCTTGCGTTTCAGAACCGATGGAAGACCCTCGCAAACAACCCAAAGATCCTCGTCATCGCTCTCTTTGCTTCGTAAGTTAGACATTCGACATTTCATGATAATAAGTGTCTGACCAATTGGTTTGAAACTAGCATAGGAGGTCTTGAGTATGGGTTCCAGCAGGGTGTCTTGGGCCAATCGCTCGTAATGAATCGCTTCATCGATAACTTTCCGTCCGTCGTCGGCTCATCTAGTGCTACTGGCTGGTTAACCTCCATCCTGCAGCTGGGAGGTATCCTAGGCTCACTCACCGCCGGTGTCTTTGGCGAGGTCTTCTCCCGCAAGTACACCATGTTCTCAGCCTGTATCTGGGTCATTCTCGGAAGCTACCTGTACACTGGAGCGAGTTACCACAAACCCGAACTTCTCTATGCCGGACGCTTCTTTACCGGCCTGGGCGTGGGCACTTTCAGTGGTGTTGGGTGAGTTTCTATGCTCTCTTACATCAGAAAGCAGCATGCAAACCTATGTACAGGATGCTGAGCTATTCACAGTCCACTATATAATGCCGAGCTCGCTGCTCCGGAGATGCGCGGGTTCATCGTCTCCTTCTACCAGTTTGCTACTATTCTGGGCATCATGTTGAGCTTCTGGATTGGCTACGGCAGCAATTACATCGGTGGCATCGGCGAAGGACAGTCCGAGCTCGCATGGAGACTCCCCTCCTACGTTCAAGGCATACCTGCCATTTTGCTTGCGCTCGGTATCTGGTGGCTTCCCTTCTCACCTCGTTGGCTCGTGAAGCAGGGCCGAGATGAAGAAGCCGTCAAGACCATCGCCTATCTTCGCAAGCTTCCTGAGGACAGCGACCTCGTTCAGGTCGAGTTCAAGGAGATCAAAGCCGAGGCTTTGTTCGAACAGCGGGCTTTCCAAAAGGCTTTCCCCCAGCTGGCCGAGAAGGAGAAGACTAGTGTTTGGATGCGCGAGGGTGCACAGTATTGGCGAATTGTTCGCGAGTGGTCCCATTTCAAGCGTGTTTCTACAGCGTACGTCCCACTTTTACATATTCTTCTCCACTTTTCCCCGCTATCAACAACACTGCCCCCACGACAACTGCTCTCACTACTAACCCTAACCCTGGTCATCGTCACCACCACCCCCTTCCCCCTATAAAGCTTCTATATTAACGTATAAGTAGTTGGTTGATAATGTTCTGGCAACAATGGAGTGGCATCGACGCTATTATATACTATGCGAGCAACGTGTTCCAGAGTCTAGGTCTTACTGGCGGTACAACTGCTCTCCTCGCGACGGGAGTCACTGGAGTTGTGTTCTTTGTCAGTACTCTTCCTGCCATGGCTTTCATCGACAAAGTTGGCCGCAAGCCCATTCTGATCGGGGGCTCCATCGTCATGTTGATATCCATGGTCATTCCTGGTATCATCGTGGCCAAGTTCAGTAGTGACTGGCCAGGCCACCCCGTCGAGGGCTGGGTTGCTGTTGCGTTCATCTGGATTTATATCGGAGCATTTGGTGCCTGTAAGAGTGGCCTTCACTTACATCTGGCGGCGGTTCGCTGACAAACAGCAGCGTGGGGTCCGGTTTCTTGGACGCTGATCTCCGAGATCTTCCCCCTTTCCATTCGCGCCAAGGGTGCTTCTATCGGCGCATCTAGTAACTGGGTATGTAGTAGCACAGACCACTTCTCAACACACAGTATTCTAATATAGTTATCAGCTCAACAATTTTGCCGTCGCCTTCTACGTCCCCTCTATGCTTAAGAACTGGGAATGGGGCACCTACATCTTCTTCGCCGTGTTCCTCGCGGCTAGCATCGTGTGGGTTTACTTTTGTCTTCCGGAGACAAAAGGCGCCACGCTTGAGGAGATGGACCGCGTATTTGGCAGCAATACCGGTGCCGAAGACACCATCTTACTGGAACAGGCTAGAAGGGATGTCGGCTTGACTGAGGACCTGGAGGAGGGTGCCATCCACGCCGAGAAGAAGGGTCTCGGCGAGGCTCACCATGAGTCTGCCTAATACCTCTCAGGATAATAGCACAAGTTTCTCACCACCAGATTCGATACCCATACCCATACTAAGTCTATATCAAGCAGTCAACCTACAGGATTTCACGATAGAGCCCTTTGTGTGGTTTCTACCACAATAATGTTTGAGTTTGCCCATGTTCATTTTGATGCTCAGTATTCGTAAATTCTAAGCATGTTGATTATAAACAGTATTGCGGCTCTTAGTTACAATTGGCTAAGTTCCCGCTCACTCCGCTTTATAGACGGTGGGACATGTCACCAACACGGTCCAAGTTTCCGTTCCGAGTACAAGGAACTGGCTTGGCTAGCGGTCTCAAGGCAAACATTGATGGCTATATAATGTGTTTTCGGTTGTTCTGGAGCAGACTTTACATACTCATGTTCAAATCTATCACTCAATAACAAGGCCTTACGTTTACACTGCTAGTCATATGATGTAATGCTCTGCCTCCCGTCAACGAGTCTCGTCAAACACCAGGTCTCTCTTTAAAGGAAAACGTGATCTACAGCTTGGGCGGGATATTAATGCCCAGATCTTTTGCAATGATATCTGCCGCCTTCTCACCAACCACGAACGCCGTGTTGTTAGTGTTGGCTCCTACATTCTCCGGCACAATACTCAGGTCCACAACCTTGAGCCCCTCAACACCGTACACGCTAAGCGACGAATCCACGACACCCAAATCATCCCGGGGGGCCATCTTGGTCGTCCCGAGAGAGTGCCACGTCGTGTTAATGTTCTCCCTCAAAAACTGCTCAATTGCCTGGTCGTCTTCCCGGGAGTACTCCAGCGGTTCCACGTTCTTATGCGCGTCCGCCGAGACAGAGTCCACGATGGCGGCCTTGGAGCCTGCGGGGAAGGTAGGGTGGCCACCGGCGACTTCGCCACGGTAGAGAGCGGTACGGCGGGCGACCTCGCGCGAGTGTTTGTAGGCCCAAACCTGTTTCTTGAGGTCGAGGTCGTCGGGGTCGCTGAAGAAACCAGTGTCGAAGTCGAGCGGGTCGGTGATGGAAGACCCGGTGATATGGATGCTGCCGCGCGAGTAGGGGTAGGCAGTGTAGTTTGCGACGGTTGTGTATTGGCCCTCAGGGATGGCAGAATGGTCTCCGAGGTATCTGGTATAGTGTTAGTGCTGGCCTCATTCCCTCTCTTTTTCTGCGAAAGGCAAGAAATTGCATACCCATGCAAAAAGCCACTGAGCATGAGCGGTCTGTTGGGGTCGTTCTTGAAGTCCTTCTCCCATGCCTTCTGAAACTCTGGACCAATAGCCTTGATTTCCTCTTCCGACGGACGGATCTTACTGACGACGTCAACACCGTTCCAGCCAAGCATCTTGTGCTTCTTCGCTATCGCGTCCTCGTGGCTGATGCGCCCGCTAAAGATGTCATCCAGAGTCTCGTCCGGACTCAACGCCGTTTTGTAGGGGTACAAAACCAAGTGGTGATCCTGATAATCGTGTCCGACGCCGGGCAGATCTGCAACGACAGGCACGCCCGCCTCATCCAAGACCTTCTTGTCGCCCAAACCAGATCTCTCAAGAACACCAGGAGTTCCGCAGGCGCCGCATGAGACGACGACCATTTTCCTTGCGCGTACACTCCGGATGGGATGCTTCGTGGTTTTCAAGACGGCCTGGTAATCCGGGTTTGGTGTGTACTCCACCCCGACAGCACGCTTGTGCTCATCAAACAACACACGGATGACCTTTGACTCAACCAAGACATGCAGGTTCGGGTGGTTCCCATCCTCTAACAGCGGGTGCAAGAAGGTGTGCGCGGCATCTTGGCGGCGGCCATCAGGCGAGACATACCTCATCCACCTCTCATAACCATTGTTCGCCTCCAGGTTCTGCAGATCCCGGATCTCCGGGTATCCTGTCTGCTTTGCAGCGGCGAGGATATCGTTCTCAGCGCCTTCCACGCGAAACCCACCGGATGAGACGTGCACCGGGCCGGAGGAACCATGGTGCGAGGGCTCGCCGTTGCCATGGTACGTCTCGAAGCGGTTGAGGTACGGCAAAAGATCAGCGGTGGACCAGCCTGGGGTCCGCCACGAGTCGAAGTCTGATTTCTGGGCGCGGGTGTAACTGTGTTGGAAAGCGTGACTCGTTAGCTTGAGTTGGCTATGAGGAGAAGATGGGATGGAATCGTCATGGGAGTGTCAGAAGACCAGGCTGGAATGGGAGCTACCCCAACTTTTTCCTTCTTCCACTTTCCGTTACCCACTACCGCCTTTCCCCGCATCTGGGTACGGGTTGAAACAATCGACACACAGGAGCGGGTTGCGCTTGAGTGGATGGATGCGGAATGGCCATCGGGTACCAGGTTGGGAGGAGATGAACCGGAGTAGAAGGGAGAGGGGGAATTGGGGAACTTACAGCATGAAGTTAATTGAGGAACCGCCACCAAGAATTCCTCCGGCTGGAACAATTGGACCGCGCCCAGCCAACTTATCGGACCTGTTGCCCTGGTAGAAGATGGCTGTCTTGCTCTCAGGAGCGAGATGGTCGAGGAAGAAGGCTGGGTGGATAACACTGGGTACGTCGCGGTTGTTGGTGCCGCCTTCAATGACGAGGATCGAGAGATCCGGATCCGAGGCCGCTAGACGTCCGGCAAGGACGCAAGCTGCCGTGCCACCTGAGAACTGATCCTCAGCATTGTATTGAGAATTTTTCGGAAACAATAGACACATAATGGCTGATACTTACCTCCCGCGATGATCACATCCACCTCCTTGATATTGTCCGCCAACTTGCTGTGTATACCCATGGCTACGGTACCGAGAAAAATTTACGAACAGACTCTCTGGCTCAGCAGATTAAGGGCTCTCGAGCTGAAGAATGCGAGAAAAGTCGGGACGAAAGAACAATGCGCGAATTCAGCAGGCCGCGAGGGTGCATTTTATGTATTCCTTCTCTGCATGTCTTGCAAGCGCGCAGCCGTGGCGGGACCAACCTCGCCTCAACGGAAAGCTATGTGCGCGATTCCGCGGTGTCCCTGTCCGCTGCATGCTGATCTATGCTTGGAAGGGGTAACGAATTCGAGCACGTGGTCGCACAGATGGCGGCGAACACGTCGCAAGTGCGGACGACCGGATAGCAGCACTGGGTTCGACTTGGTCTGGGAGCATCGGATGTGGGGAAGAGGGCAATAGTTGAGAAGCGCCCTGCTGCCTTGGCGACATATTGCGCTGGAAAACGTAGCTATGCCACGACTTCCATACGGGGCTGTCTTAAATACAGGGTGGTTAGCTAATGGACTTCATTGGATTTGCTAATTGAGCGACATGCAGCTCAAAGCCTGGACTGGTGTCCCTAAGGACTGAGTGGGGTTTGGCCAGGGCTTTCGAGCGACCTAACTGAGCCCAGAGGCACGCTGGCTTCTCTTGGTCTTCGAAAAGTTGAGTATTTAGGAGGAGGGACCTAGGATTGGAGAAGACTAAAAGGAGATGAGGGTCTTTCTGAGTCGACCTGACTTGCTTTTGCTTGGAATGGTCGTGTCAGAGTACGACTCGATGTTGACGATCGTGGAGAAGTGAGGGCTGGATAGACATGTGGGGGAAGGATCACTAAGACTTTGAGAAGAAGGCTTGAGAGCGTGCCAAGAGGGTCTACTCCCTAGCTAAATACCGGTGTAGCAGCGAACTGGGAGAAATAGCATAGAGACGGGAGTAGAGATAAACGTCTGACCTCCCGCGTTTGGCAGGGGGGCTGTGAGAGAGGGGTCATATTTGCGGAGAAGGACAGGGAGGTTGCTGACTGATCGCGTGCCGCGGTCCAATGTCTCGATGGGGTGATTCTGGAGGAGATACTGCTTGGATTGGGTCTTTTCTCGTTTTACACGTTACAACAGATTGACCATTAGTGAGATGCCCTGGAAAGAACATTTTGACTGTGGTGGCCATTGCCGGTTATTAGAGTTTATGGCAGTATCCAAGTCCTGGATATGGGACGTTGACACGACGCTGTTCGTAATGTGCTGACATGCATTTGATGGCGATGCAACGCAACTCTGAGCTCAAGTGGCCGCATACCCGCTGTCAAAAAAAAGACTCGGGAGTCAAGTTTGGCAAGCTCAAGCCGACCGCAAGTATCAACCGTGAGGAGTTTTGTTTGTAGAACTGGCTACAGTCGCAAAAAGTCATTCCAATATTCCCAGTCCAGGTCTCCATTGTCCGTCAAACCAATCGTGTCAAGGCTCTGGAACTCTGGAATTAGAAGTTGAGATGCCTGGGCAGTTTTGTTTCTTCTTTGGTCCCATAGCAGATGAATGAATCCGGGCCAGGCGCCGGCCACACGAGTCTCTTGAGAGTCCACCAACGCCTTCCTACGAGCTTCCCAGGCTTCCAGAGTCAAGTCACCTAAGGCGGCGAAGAAGGGGTTCTGTCCATCTTCAATCAGCTCCGGATGCTCCTTGTACAGCTTCTCGACCAGTTCCCAGGCCAGTACCACCCGCTCCCCAGAACACCGTCGCCGAAGGTCGCTGATCACATAGATATAGGCGTCCACGGTGTACTTGGTCGTCTTATGGGCGATGAGATGCGACGAAAATTGGCTGCACATAGCTATGTTCATCATTTCCAACCATGTTATGATCGACTCAAAGAGCAAGTCGCTCTCTTCTCGTGACATGAGCACCTCTCCGCCGCTGGCCGCTTGCCCCCGCGGGCTGTGGGCCTTGCAGCGCATGCGAGCGATTGCAAGCGTCGCCATCGCGTACGCCAGTGCGTGAAGAGGGACATTTCTGTCGAGATGACGAAGGAACTTGTCATGATATCTGGCCTCAAGTTCATTTATGGCCTTGTCTTCCAGCTCCGTCTGCTTCTTTCCCTTTTCTGGACGGGATAATAGGTCATAAATTTTGGATGTCGTGGCGGATGAACGAACCCAGCTGAACACTTCCAACTTTATCAAGACGCAAAGCATCTCGGTAGGTCTGGTGTGCTCGACGGGAAGCTCGGTCATTTCGGGATGTAGATCGGCGTCGTTGATGTTGAGTGGGAGGCGGGCGTCGCCAAATTCGCCTTCAGATGGCAGAACCCTCCTGCCTGCGGCGCGAACTCGGACGTCTATACCGTGTAACTGCCACCAAAGACGAACGCGCATTTCTGCGTCAAAAACCGAGATTTTGGGATCTGGTTTATGTCGGTGCAGGCCCATCTTCTGTCCAATTCTGATGGCGGCGCCGGTGAGGGTGGATGTCAGCTCAGAGTCTGGATCCGAGAAGAGGAAGAGGACAAATGCCTGCAAGACTTCCAAATCTCGAGTGGTCAGGAAGTCGGCTTCGACAAGAGCGCGAAAGGCAGCATGCCGGTAGCGGGTCGACAATGTAACTTTAGACTCACCAAAGGCTGTCAAGCATTCGTCCACCGATGTAGATGCAATTGCTAGAGTGTATATGGCGAACAGTATTGCTGTAAGAGACTTTGATGCACCAGAAGGATTCCAACTGGCGTCCAAGACTCGTTGTTGTAGAGTTGGCACATGAACTATCTTCAAGAGCGGGTTGACCGCCTCAACAAATATTTGCCAGAATCGATAGATTTGCCTTGGGTCGGGGTGAAGTTGTGATAGCTCAGGCTGATTACTTGAGAACAAGAGATGAACCGACAACGTAGAAGTTTCAACGGCGTCTTCTTTGCGCCTCAAGCTCTGATAAGGTGGGTATTTGAGCTTTGCAAATTAGATTGTCAGATCCGAAGTACAACGACGAAAGCTTGTGCGTAACATACCTCCGAAGGAAGACTTGCCCACAGACACCTGCATTTTAAGTTAGAACTTCAAAGATGGAGGTTCTCCTCACTATATATATGAATAACTGACCGTTCCGTTCCCACAGGGGCTTCCTTATAAGCTTTAGTCTTTGTGCTGTCATGGTCGACTGAAGGCAGTACAGAGACTGGACTTGAAGAGGTGTAATTCTCTACTCGACCTTGTGGCCCCGTAGTAATCCAGGTATGCGCATATGGAGTGAAATCCACATTGTGTTTCCGCATCAGCTCCTCATAAGCAGCCAACCGGGCGAGCAAGTCTTCGTCTGCGGCTCTCTTACGAGCCCGAGGTTGGATAGGAGCTTCGTAGAGACAACAAGCCTTCGCCTTGACGCAATTTGAACAGGGATCAGCTTTATCGCATTTGACTTTTCGACGCGCGCAAAGCGAGCAGGCATGCTTGTGTTGCCCTTGAGGTGCTACTGGCTGCAGGGTCGTCATGTTAAGCCCAGGCGTGCTTGGTGTGAGTGCTAGGCTGGATGACTTCAGCGGCTTATACGAAGCGAACCGAATCTCTAATGTCTTCGGTTTAATACCACACTTCCAAACTTGTCTCGAAATGAAAACGGGAGATGGTGTCGAAGATGTGATGATTATCAGCATTGCCAAGCGAAGGATAGGGTCGGGAAGCTCGGGCCTGAAAGAAGACTAGCGTGATCCTTCTCGGCTTCCGGCTTCTTGACTCCTCTCTTAGTCTACCGTCAAAACCAGGCCAGTCTAACCTCTCTTGGATTGATCGGGTCCGAGATGCATGGCAGGTTAAGTCCTAGGGCTGCTTCGACTCTTCAGTCAATTCAAGTAGGCAGCTTTCTTCGGACTTTTGAATGCCGAGCGCCCCCTTATAATCTCGTATATCTTTATATTATATGTTGTTTAAATAGTAATGTTCTTCTCTCTTTACCGTCTGGTCTCAGTCTTGTACTCTATTTCCCATCGCCTCGACGCTCAACCCTTCCTTTACTTCCTAGTCGTTGATAAGTGCTCGCCAAGCATTTCAAATAGTCGTCTTGGATTCCACATTCTCCTCCCAGGACGACAATCAAAATCTCTAAATCATGTCGTTGCAAAACTGCAAACAGCCTTCCGTACCTGATAAGGACCATAGCGACCTGGGTTTCTCGACAGCTACCGGAGAAGCAGCGACTAGCGACAATGTACATACAGAAAAACTGATCTCTATTCAAGTTCCTGCGCAAGACACCGATACTGAGAACCCATATCCATCTGGATTGAGCCTGGCCTTGATCTTGACATCTTGTTTCTTGTGTTTGTTTCTTACATCACTAGTAAGTATTGCTAAGCCATCTGTTTTGTCAGTTCAGGGTCCAGCAATTAACATCAGTCCAGGACCGCCTGATTATCACGACAGCTATTCCTAGGATTACGGATGAGTTCAAATCAGTCACCGACATTGCTTGGTATGGCTCCGCCTATCTGATTACCCAGTGCGCCTCTCAGCTCTTGTTCGGGAAGATCTATTCTTTTTTCAGCATCAAGGGCACGTTCTTAAGCTCTCTTCTTCTTTTTGAAATTGGGTCAGCCGTGTGCGGTGCGGCTCCCAATTCTATAACCTTCATCATCGGAAGAGCTATTGCTGGGCTTGGAGCAGCAGGGATGCTGAGTGGTGTAGTAAGTCTTGTTCCTGGATTTGAGGGGAGCGAGGACAAACCCCTGAATGGCCAAGTTTCTGACCGACAAAAATTCTTAGATTGTCATCATTGTATATGCAATTCCTCTCCACAAACGTCCGCTATATCAAGGAATGTTCGGCGCAATATTTGGCGTATCTTCCGTAACCGGGCCGTTGCTGGGAGGCGCGTTGACATCGAAGGTCTCTTGGAGGTGGTGCTTCTACATCAATCTTCCCTTGGGTGGCGTAGCGGCTGTAGTGGTCTTTCTCATTCTCAACATCCCCGATAAAGAGACAACAAAACTCGGTATGACGGCCAAGTTGGCACAGCTGGACTTCTACGGCACTGGACTTGTCGTTCCAGGCTCGGTCTCTTTAATACTGGCTTTGCAGTGGGGAGGTTCGGTGTTCGCCGTGAGTCCTTTGTTTCTCATTTGGTCTAACGCCTTGCTGACTTTTATGTAGTGGAACGACAGAAAGATCATTGCTCTTTTGGTGCTTTCCGTTACGTTGTTCGTCGGATTCATCTTGGTCCAGACATTTCTGCCAAAGACCGCGACGATCCCCCCTAGAATATTCAAGCAGCGAAGCATTCTCGCCGGTTTCTTATCGACAATCTGTGTTAGCTCACAGCTGACAATCTTTGGTGATACCTCATACTCCGAGCTCTACGTCCTATCCACGCTGATTGTTTTCCAGCCTACTACGTCCCAATCTGGTTTCAGGCCATCCAAGGGGTCTCGGCAGTGGAATCCGGGATCCGCTTCCTTCCCTTAGTTCTCTCCATGGTAGTCGCGATGCTGACAGCGGGTGCTTTGATCCGCCGCATAGGCTACTACACACCTGTGATGATATTTGGCCTCTGCTTGATGGCCATAGGTGCTGGTTTGATGTACACTCTCCAGGTCGACACTGGCAGTCCACAGTGGATCGGTTATCAAATCATATATGGCATCGGCGCGGGATCCGCGACTCAAGTACCAAATATTGCAGCACAGACGGTTTTACCAAAACCCGACGTCCCGGTTGGTGTTTCCCTAATGTACTTTGGCAACTTCATGGGCAGTGCCATACTCCTCTCCGTTGCGCAAAACATTCTCAATAGTCAGCTTCTATACCGCCTTTCAGCCATTCCTAGCATCAACCCCGAGACGGTTCTGAATAACGGCGTTACGTCCCTGACTGATCTACCTACATCAATCAGGATGACGGTCTTGGTAGCATACAACGAGGCCATTCGGCACGTGTTTCTAGTGGCTTTGATTCTTGTATGCATGTCCATGCTGGGCGCTTTGAGTCTAGAGTGGCGAAGTACGAAGGAGGCACACGGCCAGGAGAAAGTCCATACTAAGACTGCAGCGTAGGAGAGCCGGAGTCGATGATCGATGTTACTTGGTGGGCAACAGTCCGGACAAAAAGAGAGACTTCGGTTTTGGACTGTGTATGTTTATGTCATGAAACGGATTTTTTGTCTACCGAATATGATCACCAGAGAACAAAAGATAAGCAGTGAATTGACAGCCTAGAACTAGTCCAGATGTCATTAATGCAGGAAAACCAGGCTCATATCGTGGCCATTATCATCACCACTCAGCTAAGCGTCGCTTCTCGGGGTTCAGACCAGATTCATTGCTGTTTTACTGGAATAGATGAGCCGTTTCTATATTTACGATTTTGGTCAGCATACAAATTGCTAGGTGAACAATTGGACTTAGAGGCGGATTTTGTAACCACTGGCCCGATGGCAATCAAAATATAGTGGGTCTATCAGCAATATGTTAGTGTGTCCAGCTTGATATACAATTCTTTCAACGATTGTTTTCTGGACTTCGAGTGTTACAGGTCTAGGGTAGCTTGGTGCATGAGACTTTGAAAATTAATATCCTCAAGTTCAACGCATCAACAATACTATTAGAGCATAAATTACGTTGTTATAATAAAGCTCGCTTATCATACAAGACCACTCCCTGGCGTGCTTGTCACGTAAAAGCTCTCTCTTCTACTTTTTGCGAAGTTACTTGCACAATATCACAAGTGACTTCAATCGGACCCCCTGGATTTAACCTCATCTTGTCGTTAGAGATCCTTGGTCCTGCCTCAATATGCGTTTCCACCACAGAGTCATTCATGGCTCGGTATCCGCCCATCTCAATGGACTGCTGCCGCCCCATTGGAGGTGGTGCGCCCGCTGCCTTGCTGTTTTGACGCTCGAGCACTCTAGTCCCTTGAATGGGTGAATCTTCCTCATGGCTTGAACCCGTGTGGCTCATATCGTAAGTCGCCATGCCATACAGGTCGGTTTTGCTGTCCAAAGACTCGGCGCATCGTTTCGGGTTACGGATCGAGTAGCGGGCCAAGTTCCCCCTTTCGCTACCAAGCTCTAAGTCGCGCTGTTGCGAAACACATCCTGTGTTCTTTGAGTAACCTTCATGTGGACGGGATTTTGAAGATTTGGTAAAGCCGCTGGACATGCCAGGGATAAATCGAGAAACGAGGGGGCGGAAGGTCGGAAGGCATGCACAGGTCAGGCCGCAGCAGAGTTCGCCAATGGACCAGCCGGCAGTCTCGACGTTTTGCCATGTGAAGTCTTCTTCGAGTTTGAGAAAACGAATTCGGATAAAGGAAATGGTGCATGTGCTGTCCAGAACTGTGTTAGAGAATCGAGCGAGACAGGGAAGGGCATTTCGACGTACAAGAAGCCTAGGCAGAAAATACCGAGGAGGACATACTTTTGTCCTCGTGCTAGCTTTAATCGATGGATGACTGGCAGTGGCAGGACGAAGACGATGATATCGGTGATGATGTTGCCGGCTGCGTTAATGTACCACTGCGGATAGTTGGGGATGCATGTGCCCCCGACGCTTTTATCCCAAAAAGCGGGAATAGGGGTACAGATAAAAATCTCGACGAGGATTTGCGAAATGCTCCAGGCTCCGACGATAATCAAGGCGGCTATGAAGATTTTTTTCATCCTTTGAACAGCCAATACGCGGTAGTATTGGAAGAGAAACGTCATTTTGATGCCAGCCAGGGCAGCGTTGTAGAAAACGACCGTTACATAGAAGGTCTGTGGGAGTGTGAGTGAATCGCTAGACATGAAGTTCTCTGCACTTTGACGAACCCTCATGTAACTCTTTGTTTGTTCTGATGTAAGAAAATAGACGTGATGGCCAAGGCCATTTCTTACGTCTTGAGGATGTCAATTGTTGTTCGATCTTATTGGATGTGATGTGTACTCACTCCATGCGACGGCGAAACCACAGCCGAATACTAATAGCTAATTGCCAACATGTAAGCTTGATGTTTGTTGGCATGTTGACAAAAGGCATGACCAGACTCACAAAAGCGAAGATAGCAGCCCAGTCGTCTACTCCGAACTGTCTCAAAACGTAAAGCCTGGTGTATATCCGTAAGGAAACGGCTAGGAAGGCGACTGAAAGGACGAAGCTAGTGACGCCGATAACTGTCGCTACCCGTGAGTCCGTCGGGTAGACTCGTGATGGCGCTTCCATAGTCGCGCAGAACTTCGGCGTATGTCGTCGACAATGCTGCGTTTTCTTGAAAGTATTCTAAAGCCGGATCTTTTCTTTGAGGACTTGCATGTGAAATCCGATTTTCGTCCTGCTCGATTACTTTGCGTGCGATGATCATAGATGTGGGACGTCGGACAAGAAACCAATGGATTACAACCACCCAGGGGCCTTGCCTATCTATAACGACGAAGTTCTAACATGCTAGTCTTAAGAGGGCCCTAGACCTGAAGTTATGCTTGGGGTCGGTCTTGCCTGGAAAATGGCTAGGAAGCAAAGAGGGTGTGAGACATACGTGAGAAGGGGCAGCCCACACAAGGTGCTACACTAGCACGCCTTATGGACTCCACGGTCCAAATCTTTCTTGATGTTCCGCGTCTCATATCGATCGACGTGGAGACCGCCAGTAGGGATCAACGTTACGATTTTGAAGGACCCTGTCGATTGCATTTGGGCAGAAAGATGGCGATGGAGCTTTGCGCGCGCAAGACGACTCGGTAGGCAAGCAGGCTGGCCGCCGAGTAATATGCATACTAGTATGGACGATGCCACCTTTTTCACGTTTTTGTCTACCTACATGATAACCTTGCAAATTGACAAATTAGAAGTGCCACTTCAACCGGCCGAAAGTCGCAGCGCGAGCTCGGAACGGGCTCCGCGTGGTGTTATTGATATTTAAACGTTGTTTGTCCGCAGACAAGGCATGTGGAAAAGGAGGGTTCGGAAAGGGCCAGAACAGTGGTCTACAAGATCTAGACCAGAAGTGCAACGACATTCCAGATGGAATGCGCAGAGGGACGGACGCATAACAATCCCCCGGCTCTGCAAATACTATGACGCCGACGGCTGGGCAGCATCGCAGTCCAACACTGCACGCCAATAAAACTTGGTACTTTATCTTGGGGACACAACGACTCAGCTATTCCCGATGGAGAGATTAGTACGGTCTCAGGCCGTCTCCTGTCATGCGCAGTATATTGGAGCTGGTCGACTTGGGACTCTGGGATCGTCCCGACTTTCCTAGTCGAAGAGGATGCCTGTGTGCTGAATTGGTCCAACAACGAGTAGCCAAGTATGGTGGCAGGCAACCTTGAGCCGGATGTTCGCAGGGTGATGCCGCCCTTGCTAGTTTTGAGGATAGTCCAGGGTAAGCCCTTGCGCAGTTGTGAGGAAGGAGGAGACTGCGCAAGGATTTCGAGGTTTACAGGGCCGTAGCTGACTCGCATGTGGCAGGCAGCAAGCTTGGTCACAATGGCAAGGCATGAGCGATCATCATTATTAGATTATTGCAAAGTAGAAGATACTGGGGTGAAGAGTGATGATCTGAGAGTGCTGGCAGTGAGACAAACAAAAAAAAACCCACCCGATCAAAACAAGGAAGGCTTGCCAGTGCTAAAAAGAGCATTGTTCATCCTATCGAAGGACCAACTTTGACTGTCAGAATCGAGTGAAACAGAGACAGTTCGCAACTCCATGGGATAATGGACAAAATGACGATTATCTGGCGCGACAGTGTAAGAGTTGGGCATTGCTTGCTACTAGGGAACTTGAGCAGTTATTCGGCTGCCATTGCCGGTTCCTGGGGCCCCGAGAGTAGGATGTCACAGAGTCTGAGTGGTACTGTTACTCACGAGCAAGCCATCGTCAGCTGTTGATGCTACTAAACCAAGTATCTTCGGCGAGGGCCGCCGAGTTCATGTGCTTCATTTGGTGATAGGTACGGTACTGAGTACCCCTGGCTACTTTCCAGGGCGCGGACCAAGGGAATCATGCCACTTGACAAGGGTTATGGCCGAATCAATCAGGATTGCAGCCGGGTGCGCCTGAGCGTATCTGAGCGTAAAGGCGCCGTTGGGGGGTTAGGAATTCTTCAACGCTCCTTTTTCTCTATCAACTAGTGCGTGAGTCGACGGCTGGGCCGATTCGCTATGGATCGTTATCTTCTTCCTAGTGTAGAAAAGCAACAGTGGTGGAAATGCGAAATCTAGCCGTTGCCGACAGCCGGATTATTGGAGTGCCATATTTGCACGAGAACCGCGGGCCTCCTGACCATTTGGTTTTTGAAAACCTGCGGAGATTGTTGGACAGCAGAGGTCAATCGTTCCATAAAACACAGTCCAGTGTTAAGCATGCCACTTCATGACAGATGCATCTGGCAGTCGTGGCGACGGCCCCATAATGCTTCTCGGTGTTGCGACTTTGCCCGGGACAGATATGGAAGTGAAATAGAGGCCGGTACGCACCTAGAGGCCTGGGAGTGGCCTTGCCTGCCACATGGACAGTTGCTAAAGACTTGAGAGAGCATCACGTCAATCGCGGGCACGGTCGACACGTTCATGCCCTGCCATCACTTCTTGCGATGCCACTCAATAATGCCCTGAGCGTCTCCCCGCCCATCGATAACAAGCACGTAACAATTAGATGATCGAATATTGAATATCGCTGCAACCCTTAGCAAGTATAGGTAGAGGACGCCAAGGAGAAGCACGCTCTCTGGGCATGTATGCGGATTGCGACCCTGTCAGTGGACTCCGTGGAGGTGGGCAATGCCGGCGCCCAGATGCCCACCAGAAAGGGTTTATCTTCCGCCTACTGAGAAGCCCCAAGGGTCAGTGTGAGATCTTCAGCCGGGCTCGTTTAGGTACCGGGCCGCGGCGTCTAGGGTCCGAGTGTGGCTCTGTTGGAGACGCGCGGGGCAGGCAGAAAGCATCAATGATGATCACATTGGCGAGGGTGGATACTCGAATTCAGGGTGCTGGGAGCTTGAAATCAGCTTCAGCGAAACCGCAACAAGCGCGCGTCGGTCTGGAAGACCACTTTCCGCAGCTCTAAGACAGGCCCTTCCATGTCTGAGACCCTGAGATGTTCGAATAGGTCGCACCAGGTATCCGACAAGACTACGAAGTGAAATGGGTCGAGCTCCGCAGTCGAGGGCGATCTCTGCAGTGTATGAATCGCATCTCCTCTCTAACCATCCCTCAGCACAGCCATGTGAGCGTTTGCAGCAACAGCTGCACCGATGAGAAGCCGTGATCCATGTGCGACATAGGAACCGAAGCAGCCGTCTAATGCCGTCTAATGTTACTCTGAATCATTGGCTTCGGATCGAACTCGGCAGAGACTGGGACTGACCCGGTCATCTGCTGACATTCTCTAACTGTGGTGTTTTGAAAATGGAGTCGTTCCATCGAGTAAGCTTACAAGCTCGAGACGGGAAATCTGGACGAGAAACGAGTCACTTGCAGATGCAATAGTTTGCGAAAAAGTGCCCGGTTTCACTGCTTTTCCATGCCTTCTCTTCGCGCTCCGACATCCGCTTTCACAGTCCGCTCAGTGTCTCTTAACTTGAAATGTCGTGTGGTGAAGGTATTACTTAAAACGATGCTAAGATACCCCAAGAGCCCTGAATGCGTGAGCTTCAGCAGTGCGCCAGGCTTCAGCAGAGCAACAACCGGCTGTGCTCGCTCTCGGCGTAATCGTTCAGGGCTCATGTTCCGTTGATACAATCACACTCCCATTAAGACCATCGCGATCCGAACCCTGACAACATGTGAGCTGGTAGCAACGATGAAAGGCAAATGGCCGAGCGTGGAGTTAATCTCCTTGATTCGAGCCCCTGTGGTACATCTTTTCTTGGCCGATGTGACGCCCACGGCGCACTGAGCTGCCTCGCAGACTCTCGCGGCTTAATGTCTGCTGCGACGTGTCGGCAATAATCCTCAAGACCCCTGTAAACTCTATCATGCTAGCAATCGACGTTAATGGAGCTTGCTCCGTCCTTGGTCATTGTCGCGCTTGTCGGGCTCGATAGCTTAGAAAGGTAACCCGATGTTCCATGACTCGTAAACGCTCTCGAGACAGACTACGATGTCGAAAGGGTTGGGTGCCCTCCTTTGAGAAACTAACGGACCATGTGGAATGACTTGGGGGGTACTTGCTAATTCCCTGCAGAAGCCACTAAACGGGCTCGGAATAGCGCGTTCAAGCCCCTCACACCTGCGTCGAGAATGTCATCCGTCATCAGCCCCGGGCCAGTTAACGCGCGCTGCACCATTGACCTGCCAGGTGTAGCGGGGCAGAAGGATCCGACTCTTTGAGGGATGGAATCAAGACAATTCCTTAAAGATTAAGGCAGCATGTAGTATCGATTCTATATTGCTCATTGGAGGATTGAAATAATCCTTTCGCGGCTGTATTTCTAGTATCGCAGCATGCTTAAATTCGCACTCCCTTTCGTTTGAAGTTCTCAGTCAGCTCCGTGAAGCTGCTTTTTACAACGGCAGCAGCTAGCTACAGAGATAAATCAGTGACAAGGTACGCCTGTGCATATTCGTGTGGGACGGAACAGAAATTATCAACCCTCCAAATCTATTTCTACCAGGAGAACTCCCACAACTCAGGAGAGGAATGGCCATTAAAGAAGTCTTTTCCTCAATGTCACAACATTTTTTGTGTTTCTCGGCATGCGCATTTTGCCCACCAAATAACGTCAGACCCACTCTCTCAAGATATGCCCCGGCTTTTGTGCTAAATGACACACAGCTCTCCACCTATGTGACATTTGAATTAGATTCCGTAATTGTCGTCTGGGCAGCACCGCGTCAACATCCTCTAAAGCTGCAATACGGCTGGCTGGCCAAATGGTAAGGCGTCGGACTCCTATTGAAATTGTGATCCGAAGATTCTGGGTTCGAGTCCCAGGTTGGTCGACTTTTTGACATAAACATCTACCTGTCTTTAGTAGAAAAGTACCGTGGCCATGATACAGCTCTTCTAGCTGAGTCAATAACAGCCAGGAGGGTGTCGTTGTCGTTGCATAGCTGATCAAAGGAAAGTAAAGTGTTCATATCCTAGGTCTGTTCCGTACTTCGATCCTTTTTTTCCACCTAATTATTTTGTATGTCTCACTAATAATAGTAAGAGGAGAGAGTCTTGCCCACTAAATATGTATGTGAATTTAATTTTGGGAGATACTGCAATTATGACTGCACAAGTGACTTTTGTTTATAAGTAATCCGCTTGCACATCATTTATATTATCTTTCCCTTATCCCAATCTACTGAGCAAGAAAGCTGCCAAGGTAATCTGCCTTGCCAATAGGCACCCCCTTAGATCTCAGAATAGCATATCCCGCGTTCAGATGGAAAAAGAAGTTCGGAACACCATGGCTCAACGCTGCCTCCTTGGCCGTAACCTTCAGTACCTTGCCACCAAATATAGGCCTAGTCAACAATGTTAGATTTGTCCTTTGCTCGCGAGCCTGAACAGCACTTACACGTCAACCACATTTCCAGCTTTGGCATTGACAGTTTCAGCATCGACCTTGCTGAGCAGATCCAGCGCTTCCTGGATGCGCTTATGCAAATCCTCGATCGTCTTCTCCTTGTTCTCAAAAGGTTCCAATTCAACGCCTGTCAGGCGAGCAATGTTCGTTTTGACAGTCTTGGTGGCGTTCTGGACTTGGAAAGTGAGTGGCAGTTGGTCCTCGACAAGGCGGGCCTCTGGATATGTGTTGGCATCGATGTTATTGGCCTTGGCGTGTTCCTCGGCCTTGTTTAGGATGTGGTCAAAGGTTTTGAGGCCTTTGATGAAGACGGGAATGACAGCATCATAGATGGTGACCGAAGACATGTTTGTGGTCATGAGTGGGGTTTGGCGAGTGAGAAATTGAAATAGTCGGGAAGGTGAAGGGTGTTTATATGGACTAATAAAGTTTAAGGCTTGTGTGCCGTGCTCCGGACATTATGCGCAAGATGGATCAGTGCACCCGTCGGCTTTATACCTGAGTCCCAAAGCCGTTTGAAGGGATAGTGGGAGGATTTGTCAGATTCCTGCAAATTGCGTGCTTGGTAAGCCTCATACTACTACTTATACGCATCAATCTCACAACAGGCGGTGACCGTAAGGCAAGACCCAGATCTTGCGGAGATCTTGCGGTCTCGAGTCCCTTTTTGGGTTCTGAAACTCGCGAGTTAAGGGGTTTCCTGTTTGTTAATACCGCAGTGGGCAGCTCAGTCTGTGGTTAGCACCATTCTGGTGGAAGATCACGTTATGGAATGACTGATGGCGTCATCTAACTACACCAGGAACCCCACGGTATCGCTTCAACGACAGTGATTCACGGTAAAAGAGAGTTGATAGGAATCGCGATTGGTAATGCGGCTCTCTAATTACGACAAGACGGAAGTAGGGCCTTCAGAAATGGACCCCGTTGATTCGAGGTCGGCTATTGTGAGGTATTAATTGCTACACGACAATGTCCGGCCTTAAGTTGTCCTTCAGACGATCCAGAGACCTATTTGAATCGGTTGCAGAAACCGTTCACTTTTTTCGCCCGACAATTAACTATGTTCTTGATGATAACTGATTGAATGTATAACATTTTAGAGTATTTGTGGCCATGTATGTATTCAGAAAATCAATTTGTTTCGGCTCTATGGCGGTTTTCCTTTGAGAACTTGAAAGACAGAGGCAACTCCTGAACCTTAATTTTAAAATGAATCATAGTTGCATGGTAGGTTTTCGCGTGTAGTATTGACAGCTTTGCCTCACTCCAGCGGCAGGCTCTGTATATTTAATCCTTAAGCTCTCGTTGACTAATATACCTTGGCATTCGATTTAGGTTAATGCGGTTAGGGTCTAATAACACATAGTTACATACAAAAAGTTTTCCGCGTGCTTATCAGCTGAGGGAACCAGGCTCTCTTTCTCCGATATGAACACAAATACAACATGTTAGAATGGGTGGAAATATCAAAAATGGGGATGCAACTTCTTCCATCAAATTTTATTTCTCAATTCGTCTGAAAAAATGTTATAATCTCTAATTTGCTTCATGATGATTTCTTGGAGTGGATTCAACCAGCTACCTATATACGAGACCTGAATACCAAAGTACCTCCCTGAGGCATCGTACTTGGTTCGTTTAGACATTGGAATCCCCGGCTAGACGGAGGCTTTCTCGAATCAGTTGGCATCTGACCCTAAACGTACTTTTTTCCAGGCTAACACCACGGACAGGCATCACCAAATCACTTTTCGCAGGTCCTCTGGATAAACATATGATGACATATTGGATGGCCTCCACCCCGTCATGTTCTGAGAGTTAAAATATAAAACTAGCCGGAGCAATACTTCCTCCTCTTTTGGGCCTCGGTACGTACCTAAGTACACAAATCGCGTTGTTTCTCTTCATTAATTGGCCACTACGTAGCCACTAAGGATCACAAATTTACCAATGTGCCTTGCCTCCCATTGCAGCTGCCAAGACCACTCAGTAGTTGTAGGACGGCAGGAACATAATTATGGACCAGGCGAAATCAACTACATGATACTCTTGATCGTCCGTTGACGAAGCAAAGACGATAGGTCATGCAGTTTAACCGCAGTCAACTTCTGACGTTTATTTCACAGGGACATCCAAATTCGCACCGTTTTTGGGCCCAAACAAGCGGGAGTCGAAGGGTGACTATTTGCCGAACTACCCCTCATCTCAACCCAGGAAACCAACAACCGACAGCGTCAATGCAACTAACATGTGCGGAAAATTAACAGTATTCGGCTCAGCGCTCGGTAAAAGGACCGATGTGGATTTCATTTAAATCCAGTCCAATGACCATTGGTGGCATCATTTGATTGAAGAAGAGTCCTTTCTTGTGATTCTTTAGCGACAGAGACAGAGCTAGCCTCAAAACACCAACGCGCTTGAGTTCAGACCGAAGAAACCAGCCGTTTCCAAACTTCCAAAAACTCGAAAATCTTGGAAGCTAGACCTTTGGTTTCAGTAGTGTGCAGAGCTCGCTCATCTTACTTACCACAATCAACTTTAGACTCAAGGCGTGCCAATGGCGTATGTAAGTGGGGTTCGTCCAACGCTGTCAAAGGGGATGCAGCAGCAAGCTTGCAGTAAGTCAAACCTGTGGCCTTCATCACCATTGGTTTGAAAACGCTAATTAGACTGCTTGTGGAAACAGGACTCAAATTGACTACTCATGGGCGGCACCACTCCTTGAACGCCCCATCGACGCTGACCGCAAGGTCCGTATCATTTGTGTTGGTGCCGGTTTCAGCGGTATTGGATCTGCTATTCACATGATCGAACACATTCGCGATGCTGAATTCCAGATATACGAGGCTGCGGATGATATTGGTGGAGTATGGCATCACAATCGGTATGCTGGGGCTGCCTGTGATATTCCATCACACAGCTACCAATTTTCCTTCTGCCAGAACACGCAGTGGTCGACTTTCTACGCGCCTGGTCCTGAAATCCATAACTACCTGAAGAAAGTAGTTGACCACTATCAGCTTCGAAAGTTCATCAAGCTCAATCATCGAGTTGTTGGGGCTATCTGGTCTCAGGAGAATGGGAAATGGACTGTTAAGGTACAAAACCTCGAAACAGGGGCAGAGACAATTGATGAGGCCGACTTTGTTCTGTACGCCACCGGTTTTTTGTCCAACCCCAAGTGGCCTTCCATCACAGGTGAACTATTGGACCCCTTTGAGCGCCTACAGAAAGCAATGTGACGAGTCAAGACTAATATTTGCTACAGGACGTGAAAATTACGGAGGTGTACTTCATCATTCGGCAAGTTGGGACGCCGCGAAGGAAGAAGCGCAAGACGAATTCCTGTGGGAAGACAAGAGAGTCGCTGTCATTGGAGCCGTACGCGTGTACCTGTTGCTTTTGACAAGGCACACACTCATATCGGTGCCTTTAGGGATCCAGCGGCATTCAAATCATGCCTCAAATGCAGAAGAAGGCCAAACACGTCACCAACTTTGTGAGGAGTCGGAGCATGCGACATATTACCATCAGCTTCACCGTGCAGTCTTTTGGGCTAACGTTGTTGCTTCATAGCTTGGCTATCGTCGACATTTGCCACTGATTTCCTGGAGAAGCTCGAGGAAGGGAAAGGCGCTAGTAATCGTAAGCATACAACTTTCTCAAGAACTCAATACCCGATATTTTTGTTAATAGTGGTGCTAGATATCTTCACAGCCGAAGAAAAGGAAAGCTTCAGAGATGAGACTTTCTACTGGCATTTTCGTCGCGAGCTTGAACGGGGGCTCAACTCCGCCCACAAGATAACAGAGCAGAACCAGCCTCTACAGCTTGAAGCTCGGAAAAGGCTAGAAAAAGCTATGAAAAAAAAGCTAGCAACTAAGCCCGAGATTGCTGAGAAGCTAATACCTGATTTTCCGGTAGCCTGCAGGCGGCTTACGCCAGCACCAGGTGAGATAAATGATGGAGTGTCAGAGCGATTCCTCACTATACCTATCTTTAACAATCCCTATGGCGGTTAACATAGCTTTCAGGTTACCTAGAATGTCTAAAAGCGGATAACGTCGATTTCTGTTCTCAGGAATTGGCTTGTTTTACTGAGAGAGGGCTTATGACCGCCGATGGCCGCGAGCACGAGTTTGATGTCATTATCTGTGCAACCGGTTTTGTCAGTTCTGCATCAACATGGAGGAGACTCCTTACATAGAACTACTGCTCATGTGCATAGGACGCATCCGCCGTACCAGATTTTCCCATCCAAGGCTCGAACGGTCTGAACCTTCAGGAACTATGGGCCAAAGAACCAAAGCAATACTTGGCCGTCTGTGTTCCTAAAATGCCCAATTTGTAAGATATATACCCATTCAAACCGATATGGTTAAGCCCTTTCTTCTGACTTCCATGGCAGCTTCCCGGTCTTGTGCGCTCAGTCGGGTGTCGGCACAGGCTCGCTCCTCCTTTTGATGGAGCAGCAAATAGCCTATGTGACGAAATGCATTCAAAAGTGCATTCGAGAGGGCTACAAAAGCATCGTTGTCAAAGACAGTGCGGTTGAGTCGTTTCTCAAATACACAGACAACTACTTTGACAGAACAGTATTCACAGGTAAGCAACGCAGGGTTTAACCGAAGGCCGTTCCAGATATCCCATGGCTGGTTCTGGTGCCTTCAATTTCTCTATTAGCTAACTCATCTCTCTGACAGGAAATTGCAAGTCTTGGTACAAGAACGGCGCCACGGGCAAAGCAACAATCAGGACGCTGTGGCCTGGTTCCTGTCTGCATGGCTACACTGCTCTGCGTCACCCTCGCTGGGAAGACTTTGACTACGAGAGACTGGATGACTACGACCATCCGATGGCCTGGCTTGGTAACGGAGACGTGCAACCCGACCTCGATCGTGCATTCTATTTCGAAGAAGTCTGGGCTATGCATAAAGTTAGTTCATTGTTTTGAATTTTGAGGATTTCCCCAGGTTTTTGCTAATCGTACATTTGGCAGGATCATCCTATGTTTCATTAATGATGATTTGGCCGTTGAACTGATCGTTAGAATGACCCACCTGTGGGCATAGTTCTTGACGTGTGTCAACGGGAGAGCTTTAGTCAAATCGTTTAAGGTTGTTTCATGGCGAGTTCCAGGGTGAAATGGAGAGGGAGAAACTTCCGGGGAGTAAAGAAACGTTTCCTCATTCAGCAAAGCTTCGTGGGCAGTTCCGCGCATGCATGTGCGGAGGTTCTTGAAGTTCGCGGGATCTGACACTGCTCCTCCAAAAAGAATATTCAAGGGTCACGGAAAGTTACCTGCCACTGGTATTAATGCGAAATCTCGTGTGTGTGTTTGACTCAAATCAGACACCACAACCGTTATTTGTCGACTATTGACCAATTAGGTCCGACGAGAGATGGTCACCACCACGTCAATTTGTATAACTCTATCCACGACAAAAACATCCTCTTCAACGCTATCTCAGCATCGTCTGTGTTGTTCCCCAGTGGCATCAGCTACATTAGGCCTTGGCACATTCAATGACCTGCATCTTCATATCCAGGCCATGTATCTTCTCAATTTTCAAGCCCGCCCGGGCCACCAATGCCTCCCAACTGGCGGCCGTTCGCTCCTTTCCGCCAATGTTCATCATGCACAAGTCCGTCATAGCGCCCAGAGACGTAGGAGGGCTCTGAAGGACGTATTCGACTACTAGCACCTTACTGTCTGAGCCCATGGCATCCGAAAGTTGAGAGAGAATTTTGACACTGTCATCATCTCCATAGTCGTGCAGGCATCGGCGAATCCAATAGATCAGTGCGTCTACATGCATCAACTCATGTCCGGGAATGGGGGAAAAGCCGTGATATGAACTTACTCTTCACAGGCTGCTCAGTATAGAAATCGTGTACCTGCAGCTTGACCCTTTCAAGCTCAGGGTCCTTCAGTGCAGTCACTTGCTCAATGACGTCGTCTCGGTCCTGCAGGACCACACGCTCAGCAGGGAGAAAGGTGTTCTCCTTCAAAATCGCTTTGATGGCATGCCCCTTGCTGCCACCCACGTCAACGAAAATTGGTCTGTTGTGCTCTTTCAAGAGCTTCGCTTCCACCCAACTGAAGTCGTAGATGCCCTCTAGTGGTATAAATTGCTGCACCAACTCCATTCCTTTCATGAATCTCTTGACCTTCTCGGGGTGCTCTTCGTGGAGCTCCCACACCTCCTTCTCTGGCTTTCCATAGGCGAAGGCATAGGGCGTATGGGTCCGAGTTGCAGGCTCGCGCCGACCATACTGTGCAAAGTACTCCGGAAACTTTAGAGTTGTGACAATATGCTCATCGAACCTTCAGATATATGAGTAGGCGTTACACACATCGACGAAATATGAAACCTGGTGACTTGCATCATGTGAAGCAATACCGCGCTGGGTGTCTCGGAAAGGTATGACTTGGACTTCTCAGTGTGCGCAATTGTATCTTCGCCAACCTGGTTCAAGATCCCAGAGGATATGAGAACCCAAGATAGGCGCTCTTGATAATGATTAACATGCGTCAAAGGTCAAAACCGTGACAATTATCAAACATAATAACTCACTGATAAGCGAGACCTCCGCTTCTAGCTTCCTGGCCAGATTGGTGTACGATATCGAGTCATCTAAAGGAATAAGGTCGAATATTTTCCACTCTAAAAAGAGTTTCAGAACGACTACCTCCATGACGCTAATCATTCTGTCCATCCAGTCTGGCTTCGGCCCTCTGGCTAAGTCAAGGACATTCTGCGCAATGGTAACGGCGGCTTTAGTCTTCTCGGCATCACTGGAAGATGAAGCAGCCAGTTGAGAAAGCTGCGATGCCAAATCGGAAAGCGTGGCGGAGTAGTTACTCATGATGGTCGTTGACTCGGTTTGCGTGTTTGGGGGGTTTTGCTTGAAGGCTTTGCTCTGCTGAGATGTCTCATAAATGATGCTTTTCGGATTGGTACTCGTTCAATAGCAGCATCAAATAAAGTTTGATATTTATACTAATTTTGTCATGATTCTATGATCAAATCCTACACGGTGATTGACTTAGTCCGGGGAGTTATGTCCGACTCCTACAGTCACTGGACAAATTCACCGAGGCCGTGTGGGGGCTCAGATGGCCGAACATAGTTGCATCCCGCTCTTTCGCTATTTCCGCGCCGACTGTGGGGCCGAATCCTTCGGTATTTTGACATGGAACTCGCTGCATCTCTTCTATTTATGAGAAACATCACGCTTAAAGCCGCCAGAGCCGAAAGGAACGATCCGGACGAATCCACTTGTTTCTGTCAGTCAAGTGGTTCAGCTTCGAGAGCCCCAGTCACCTGACGCGCGAATCGCATTCCGCGGGCCGCTGTCAGATTACACGTATTCGGTCATGCATCCAATCTCTCTGTTTTGTCGCCATTCTGGGGCGGCGAGCAATCGCACTCGCATCGGCTACATTCTCATAACAGAAAGACCCAGCGACCCAAGGGCATGGCCACAGAGCGGCACGGCCACAGCATTGCCTGACAGATTTCTCGAACAAATTCCACGTTTCTCTGTGAGAGACCCCTAGAAGAACGGAACGGGCCAGTCTCCGTGGCACTCTGCAACTCAACACCAAACAACAAAGACGCGTTTGCCCAATTGCAAAACCTCTTTTTGCTGCCTCTCCTGCCTCTAGTCTACTCATGGGTTACCAAAAGAGGAGACCTGGTGGGTGATAAAGGGGACAAAACCCGTCGGGATCAGCCTGTTCCTGGCTTGGCTGTCTCTCCTTTGAGCCCTCGGCTGCCTTTTCGCGTTCCGGTTCGATGTTAGTCGATGAACCAAGGGGTCCTGCGTCGCCATTTATGGGTGGCAGCCGAACAGCCATCATGCTGTGTCACTCGATTAGGCGACCCGTAGTCATGAAATGCCTGAACAGGATACGAAATGATCGCTTTGTCTGTCAGTAATCGGCCAAGACGACGCCACGCATCTCCCATACTGGAGCGGAAATCGGAGACTTAGAGGAGGGACCCTGGTGTGGAGACCCCGCCTCGCATCATCTTGAGGATCGGGTATTAACCATACATTCTGACGCGTTTCCCTGATGCTAAGGTTAAATCTAGTGCCATTATGATCATGGAGCAGAGCCGTGGGCCGTGAGCCGTGAGCCGCCAGCCGCTGTTTGACCTCAGCGTAATCCATGCGGCGATCCAGAAGCGCAACCGGTTTGAAATTGTTTGGAAGCCATCCCTGACTGGCTGAGGCCCACTTTGCTGAAGAAGGTTTTTCTCCTCAATATTCCCCCTTGAGGCAATCCATACGTGGGTTTCCCACCTGCCGGTGCGCAGGAGGATGGGCTGAGGATTGCTGGAGCCCTAGCTGTTTGGTCTTCTGAAATGCCTCTTTTGTAGGGAAATCCCTGTTACGCTGTCAGCGAATGACAAGTGTCGCCGCGCCTGGAGGTCTTTGACTTTCTGACTCGAGGCGACCTCGAAAGGGTGTAGTTGCTCAAACCAACCCAAAAGGGTCAAGTAGTAAGAAATTGAAAGAGCCTCAACCATGCGGCCTTCCCCCATTGCCACCCAATGTCCGTAAGGAAGTCCTGGCCCGGTCGAGTTTTTCTACTCTAATGGTCCCCCGACTTGGCCAAGCCCGTGGTCGCTCAGACATGGGACCCCCTAGTGCATGTCCGAAGTGGTATTTGCACTCGACCCTTCTGAGACGATTTACACGGCCGAGTTTCGTTTCATCTGAACTGCGAGTGCTCAAAGTGCGCACAGTTAACCACATTTGCCGGCCACATTAACACCACACACATAATTCAAATCACACATACCGCGACGCGGCACATCGTTGGATTCTTCAATACGCATTGCAAGGAGGGGGAGATGCCATGGAATCTACCGATGCTCCCCTCAACTTAACGATGTGGCCAAACACTGACTCCTGGGGCACACCGTGGCACGCACTTGGCGCCCTTCTCCTCGACGAAAACAGGGGAGGGCTCGCGAACCACTTGAGACGTCAGAAGAAGTTTCTCGCAAGACATAGTGTTGTTGGACTGGTGTGATAATGATACCCACACTATGGTTTCCATCGTCTCAGGCTCCAGGGCTGTGCGCTTCCTGGAGGCATTCTCAGCTGGAAGGAGGAAGAGTTGCTGCCGAGGTGAACTCTCAACGTGTATGCGCCAGTGGCCTATGAGGTCAGGACCCAGCCATCTCGTCGAATGTATATCAAGCTGATAGTTCCCGGCTCACCATCGGGGATGAGAGAACACACCGTCACAGACAAACTCAACTCAGCACAGACACTTCCAACGCTCACACATATATACTCCCTGGTCGGAGACTCATTTGCTCTAATCCCCTAATCATCATCATATTCGATACCAACTCGGATCACTCTGGCTAGTGAATCGTTACAATGCAGCTGACCAAGACTCTTCTCTTCGCCCTCATCGGCACGGCCTTCGCAGCTCCCGCTGAGAGGCGCCAAGCCTCCGTTATCCAGGGGGCCGTCACTGAGGTTCAGGGCGCCCTGTCGAAGCTCGAGACCGCCGTGAAGGTACGTTGGTCCGAACAACGGGCATACGGGAGCCGTTGAATCACTCTCGAGCCTCGACTCCTACAGGTCAAGGGTGCAGGAAGATCAGTCTCAACTAACATACATTCTGCAGGGCGTTGGAGACGACGTTGCTTCTGCACAGCCCGTTCTGGCCGCCGCTACCGATGCCCAGGCTGTCATCACCAAGGCCGGCCAAGATATCCAGGCCGCCCAGCCATTGCAGCTCCAGGAGGCTCTCGGCCTCCAGCAGATCGCCGGCGACCTCCAGACCTCTGCGTCTGGTCTGATTGACACTCTCATCTCCAAGAAGCCCAACTTTGACAAGATTGGCGTCTCCAACGTTGTCCTCCAGAACCTTCAGCAGCAAAAGACGAGCACACAATCTCTCGGCCAGTCTCTCATCTCCAAGGTTCCTGCCATCGGTCAGGGTATCGCGCAGCAGGCCGTTGATCAGGTCTCCGCCGTTATCGACAAAGGCATCCAGGCCTACTCTGCCGGCGGCGCTGCCGCTCCCGCCGTCGCTCAGCCAGTGGGTGCGTAGAAGCACCCTCCTTTCGTCGCGCGCCATCCCCTCGTTCACCCCGTTCGTCCGTCAGTCCGTTCGAGATATCTACAAACCATAATTACGTACTAACCATCGCACGTCTCTTATCCAGCTAAACCTGGCAATGGTACTGCTACTCCTGCTGCTGCTCCCGCTAAGCCCAAAACTCCCGCTGCTTCCCCTGCCACCCCGAAGACTCCTGCTGCTGCTCCTGCTGCCCCTGCTGCCCCCGCTGGGGCCGCTGGGGGTCTCCAGGGCTTGCTCGGTCTTCTCGGTGGTGCGGGCGGTGCGGGCGGTGCCAATGGTGGTGCCGCTGGATTGGGTGGCCTCCTTTCAGGCCTCACGGGAGGTGCAGCTGGTGGTGGCGCTGGTGCTGGTGCCGGAGGACTCGGTGCCCTTCTCGGCGGTCTCGGTGGTCTTGGTGGTGCGGCCGGAGGTGCGGGTGGTGGTGCCGCGACGAAGGCGAACGTGGTCGATTTCGCACAAGACGCAGCAGAGGAGGATGAGGAATAAAGTACAGACCGGGATAATCCTTGCAGCTTGTTCAGCCTGTAGCAAATCATCATTGCGGCTTTCTCTCGTTTTGTTGTGGATGGGTCTCCGTGCTCCCTCCCCGTGATACCTAGCGCGAATCTTCTTCTGACTTCAACATTCAAACTTGGTCTTCTCAGTGGGCAACGATTCTTGGCACATTACGTGTAGATTTGAAACGTAAGTAGTTGTCAATCTCACGACAAGTCCGGAAAATCGGCTCCATAGTTCAGTTTCGTAAATCCTCCGCTAGTTGTTGATGGTGGGAGCTGACGTTCCAGACTTTCGGGTCTTCTCGCCCATCAGCCTCTGACTGCTGGCTGCCCCGTATTTCTCAATCACGGGGCGTTATGCGCGGGGGAGCGAGTCTCTCATCTTTGACTCCGGGCTTGTGATACCGCGGCGCCAAAACCCATCCAGCCCCCTATCCCTGGCACTGCCGTCTAGATGACAACCCAACAAATGACAACCCTCTTATGTCGTAACAACATGCCTCGTATCCCATTCCCTCCCTGCTGTATGGCACTATTATGACAGAACCTTCCCCGCGTGGCAGCAAACTCTCCTACGAAGAATTCAAAAAAATCCGGCATAGCCTCCCTTCACGTCATTGCCTCCCTCGCCGCCGTACTCAGCATGCCGTCACAAGCGGCCGACCACGTGCCACTGCCGACTGCCAAGCGCTTAACAGAGACTTTGACATATCATCCAGATCTGACCCCGCGTCCCCGAGAATTAGCGAGCCTCCCGTGATTACTGCAACCCAGCCACTACATGGAAGTCCGTTGGAGCAGATACTGACAGGGCAGGCAATGCTGGGGTCCCCAGTCGTCCCCGGCGTGATGGGGGTCTCTGGGAGCCTCCTGGTCTGTTGCACCAATCGCATTTCGACCCGCGACGTTTGTCAGTCGGTCTGGGCCGTTAACCAAACGCACTGGGACCATGATCCGCCGGCCACGATGGCCGCGTCGGAAACTCTTTGAAAGTCCCCGTTTGATCCTCATGATCAGCAACACGGAATACGGCGGCCTCGACAATGCATAGCCGTTTCGTAGATCTGACCCCACATTGCATGCATATCATCCAATGGCTGGCACATGAATTCGAACAATCCCCAAAAATAGCATTTGGAAGTGCGACTAAGCCGGCAAGTTATCCAACCGCGTGGCGTAGCTGTGAAGTCATCTTGACAGAGCCACGTCAAAGGATTGTCTTAGTACAGCGGGCCAAACTCGATGCTGACCTTGCGAGTTAACTAGCACGGACTGAGTGAATGACAAGGAATCAGTTTCAAGCGAAGGTGTGCACGTGGCATCGGTATTAGTAACTAGTAGACTTGTTTTGATGAGACAAGTGCAGTTGTTCGACGCGTCTAAATTAACTTCGACTTCTCTTCCTATGTCAACATATCCCAACAGTCTTTGAAAGTTTAATAACGTCATCAGGCTAAATGAAAAAACTGGCCAGCTGCCCATCGGAAATGAAATGGGATCCCCCCTCGCACCGAAAACCTACAGCTTGCCTAATCCAATCGTATCCCATAGGGCACCGTCCCATCATCGCCGCCTTCTTCCGCTGCTCTTCTTCCTTTTTACGCCGCTCTTCCTCCTTCATCAACTCCTTGAGAATGGCTTCACGTGCAGCACCAATCGATCTGCGCTTGGCGTCAAGCATAGCCCGGTACTTGGCATCATTCTCTTCCTGCGCCTTCTTGTCCTTCTCCAACTGCTCCCAGGCCTCGTCGCTGACGCCAGCATCCCGGACGGCCTTTCGCTTCCCATCCTCGATCTCTTCGACCGGACTCTCGGGAGGTGTGTAACTTACTTCTTCTTTCTTGATAGCCGTCTGGTGCTGTGTCTTGATGATGTGCGGAGTCTGAGGAGGCGCCGGTGCCATCCGCAAATCCTGCAGCCCATCCATGCCGCGTATCGTGTCCGCTTGTTTGCCACGAGTATCGCGCTCTTCAAGCATCATATAGAGCTCCGTCTCGACCATGGCTTCCGTGATCGTGATACATGTGCCCTGGCGGAACTTGAGGGATTTCAGAAAGATTGACTTGGCCAGTGTCTCCACATCACGAGCGCTGGCCCAGTTGGGCTGCATTGAGAGCGCACGGAAAGTGCTGACAATATCGTCCTTGAAGTCTCCGGCAGGGTGCTGAAGGCAGTCCAGCACAAGGCGGCCGGGTGCCTTACTGCTCTCGAGTTTGCGATTCTGCTTCAGGAAAAATTGGAGCACGAGGTCGAAGCAATTCTCTGGGCTCAGGCTGTGGAAGTCGATAACTTCGGGGAAGCGACTAGACATGCCGGGGTTGACCGAAAGCAGCCGGTTAATGTCGTCGTCGTACCCTGCTAGGATGATCACAAGACGGCCCTTGTACTTGTCTTTCGTCACAGCGTCGACGAGCTCGTCAACAGCCTCCTTGGCAAACCGGCCTTCAGCCAGCCGGTATGCTTCGTCTATGAACAGCACCCGTCCAAGAGCCTTGTCAAGTAATTGCCGGACCTTTGGACCCGTCTGTCCAATGTACTCCCCGATTAGGTCAGTAGCAGAACATTCCTGGACGTAGTCTTCGGCCAAAAATCCCATGTCGTAAAACACCTTCCCCATCTTTTTCGCGGTCGAGGTCTTGCCCGTTCCTGGGGGTCCACGGAAGAGAAAGTTGAATGGAATGCTCTCCTTGGGATCCATTCCAAGTGCCTTCATGGATCGAACGCTCTCTTGGTATCCTTCCAATGTGGCAATGATCTTCTCACAGCCAACCGTGCCATCGAACAGCTTAGCCACGTTAGTGTCCGCGCGTTCCGCTCGATCAAAATCCTCGTCAAAGTCCAAGGCTTCAAGGGTAGAGACTTTCTTGGTTTGTTTAGACGAAAGACGCCTCTGATGGCGGGCCTTGGCGTCGTTTAAAAGAATGTCCACCTCGCCGGCGTTGCCAAAGTTAGGGCGGTTGCGCGCACGCTCCAACATTTCCATGGCAACTTGCTTGGCTTGATCGGTTGCCGAGAACCCCTGCTGCTTGAGCTTGAGGTCAAGGATCGTCCCCAAGTCGGAGCTGTTGAAGTCTTCGAACACGAATGCAGAAGAAAGAGGAAACCGGCGGCTGAGACCCGGGTTTACGTTCTGGAACATCTCCTCCATTTGGTCTTTGTAGCCGAGAAGCAGCACGCATCGGTCCTCTCCTGGAACGCTTTGGACCTCGGCGACAATCGTGTCGACGACTGCGGTCTTGAAAGGATCGGAGGTTTTTCCATTTGAGCCGCCGCCACCGTAAAGGCCATACGCTTCGTCAATGACAAGAACCTTGCCCACTGTCGATTCAAGTATCCCTTTTGTCTGGGCTTCGGAGCCGCCTAAAACCGCACCCACAAAGTCGGATGGGTTCTTGACAACCACTGCTCAGAGTTAGTGCCCAAAACGTAGATAGTCGCAACAGCAACACTTACCTTCTCCATTTGAAAGTAGTCCAAGATCGACCAGAATTTGACCGTAAAGCTTAGCGACTGTAGTCTTCCCAGTTCCAGGTGATCCTAGGAAGACCTTGTTTAGGGTGTATTCGATGACAGGCTCCTCCGCAAGCTCCCGGAGGTAATTCGTTTGGATGCTATCGACCAAGGCTCGAACTGATGCTTTAACCGACGAGAGGCCGATGAGGCTTTGCAGCTGAATCCACGCTTCACAACTGCCGAGAGCACTGGAAGGTTCCGGTCCTGCCAGATCCTCCTTGGTAAACAGGAGGTCATCTGGTTCTGCTCCAGCGAGGCGTTCCTTGCGGATTCTATTCGCCTGTCGGCTGGAGATTTTGGCCAAAAGGTTCTCAACCGCCCTCGCGTTTCCGAATCCTTCTTTGCCGCGTCCACGGCCAAGTCTGCGGCAGACGACCCGCAGGTAGAGATGGTCATCCCATTTCATGCGGCCCCCGTATCTCTTCTTGATCTGCGCTTGAAGGATCCGCAGAAGCTCGTCGTCGCTGTAGTCGTTGAACTTCATCTCTATCGGGAATCGGCTAGGGAAACCCGGATTGTGGGCAAAAAAAGACTCCATCTGCTTGCTGTAGCCGGCCAGGATGAAGACGATCTTCCCCGTCAGGTTTTCGACTTCAGCAAGCAGGAAATCGAGTACTGCGCGGCCGCCGGGGCTGTTCCCAGATGATAGCTGGTAGGCCTCGTCGATGAAGATGACCCCGCCACCGTCGTCAAGCATGTCGTTCAGCATCTGCTGGCAGGCCTGGACTCCCATCGACGCAAGCTTCGACCCAGTAGTCTCCTTGAAGCCACTGCCAGCTATGACGCCGACTGATGTCAGAAACTTGCTGTAAATTCGCGCCACCGTGGTCTTGCCTACTTCATGTCAGTCCCGAAAAAGCGTCGGTCGGGGTCGCCTTACCAGTGCCTGGGTTTCCCAAGAGCGTACAGCCAAACCTCTCCGTTGTCAGTGAGATGCCTTGGCGCACCGCAGTATCGACCTTGGACTTGATGGACAAGAACTCCTCCTTGACACTCTCGAGGCCAATCATGCCCATTAGCGTATCCAAAGCACTACTGCTTGCCCCATCCCGCTTCATGCTGCTCCATTCCACCGCGGAACTATCGGGGACAGGAGTCTCCTGTGGCTCTTGTTTATCACCTTGTGCGTGGTCTCCCGAACCATTCGGCCGGGCTTTGGCCGCAGCCTTCATCGTTTCTGCTCGAGCCCTCGTCTGTCGGATCGCCTCGAGCTCTTCACGCGTCTGCTTCAGTGTCTGCTTGTGGTCTTCTTGCTCTTGGGCGTACTTGAGCAGGCGTCGTTCGTGGTCGAGCTCATCTTGCATTTGCTGGAGGTCCTGAGCGTATTTGTTTTGTGCCAATTCGCGTTCCTTTTCCATCTGCAGATCTCGCTGGATTCTCCTTTTAGTATCTTCGTCTTCCTTGAGACAAGCGCGACACGCAGCATCTTGCTCGGTGCATCGAACCCTAAATTTGTGGCCTCGGTCGCATGTCTTCTTGATGCTCTCTTCACATGGGACCATGCTGTGATTGGCGATTCGATGACAACGCATCAGGCATGTGTGCTTGCCACATGATAAGGGAGCATTGCTGCGTTTATCATTGTCAGTAAAATATAATCTGCGGACGGTTAGGCACGGTTGTCGGCGCTTCAACTCACCAGACTTCGTCGCAGCCTCCATCAGGGCACTTGACTTTGAAATCCTCAGGTTTGTTTAGCAAAGCCGTCTTTTCGGGATGTTGTTGGCAGCGGATGGGCACGCCATCATGCAGATACTCCTTCTCCTTGAGCAGACTGAAGAATGGCAGCCAGACCGCCTGGCCCTGCGACGACTTCATGAACGTGTCCATGTTCCCGATCAAAACGAGACATTCTCTTGCTCGGGAGACCAACACGTTCAGTCGCTCGGGAGCCTTCATAAACCCGATATCGCCTTTGTTGTTGCTCCTCGTCAGAGAAGCAATGACAACGTCACTTTCCTCCCCCTGATAGTTGTCTAAAGAGAATGAGCCTAAGAGTTCAGGAAGGTTCGCATTCAACTTACCTATGGTGGACAGTCTGATCCTCCCCGATCCAGGCTTTGCTTTGGCCGCCGCCGCGGTCATCAGTCCCGCGCGGATGAGCTCGAACGAGTCCAGATCGTTGAGCCAAGGATCACTTTCTTTGCTTAACATTTCTTTGAGCAAACGAAGCTGTCCCAGGTACGGCGTGAGAACGACCAGGTTCTCCGTCCGATATCCTTGCTGCCCCAGGTATTTGACGAGCTTCAGGACCATTTGCGCCTCGAACTCGTTCCTTTTACTGGAGGGAGCGCCGGCATCACGACGATCGGCGATCTCGTTGGCCGTGTCCTCTGGGTGGCTGTGATTGATGAAGCTGACTCTCCCCTGCAGTCCCTTGGGCGTATTTCGTGCCTCAGTCTTCGGGTCGTCCAACAAAGCAGGGTACGTCATCTGTCGAACAAGGTCCGAGATTTCGGGGTGCATTCGGTGTTGCTTCTGCAACGTGTCGTGGTCGTGCCCTTGGAGAATCAGTCGTTCAAAGAGTGAACGGTTCAGGTCGAAACCCTCTCCATTTTCCACACTCAACGTGTAGTTGTTGATTTTGGGCCGGAGTTGCTTGTGGTCTCCGATCAAGATGAGCTGGCTGGTTTCGCTATGCAGAGCAGTCAACACATGGGCCTCGAGAATCTCTCCAGCCTCTTCAACGAGGACGACATCGGGTTTGGCAGCCTTAATCAGCGACTTGTACTTGGCTGCTGCGGTGGTTGTGCATCCGATGAGCTTCTTCGTCTGCACGAATGAACGCTTGCTCTCGTTGAAAAGGGCGTCCAGCTTCTCTTGAGTCTCATCGAAACGTTTAACCAGACTCTGAACTGCTTCGATCCGTTCTTTCTGTAGACACTCGGTCCAGGCCTGCACGTGCTTGGACCTCTGTGCTTTGGGTAGCTTCCAGATACGTTCGCTTGTAGGCGAGATGTGGCGGCGGAGTTCGCCAGCATCTTGTCCCTCCATCCAACGGCCCAGTAAGTAATCGGGCGCCATGGCCTTGTTGTGTCTGCCCGCAAGCCTAAAGCCTTCGTCTTGTTCGGGTAACAGGAACGCCTCATAAAAAGCCTGGTCATCGTCGGAGAACTCAAGAGAATTCAAGATATCCATAGAGCTGATCCTCCCTCTGACCAGACTTCTGCATGCATCGTTGATCTCGTGTCTAGCGGTACTGAGCTCTTCTTTCACGCTAACAATGAGCCCCCATGGCGCACGGCTTCGACGGTGACTTGACGTTTTCAGCTGTTGGTCCAGAGATAGCATCGCGGTTGCTTCTGTCGACTTGGAACCCAGTCGCACCATATTGCCGGGCGATATGCCAATATTCATCAGATCCTCGAGAAATTGATCGAGGGCATGGTTGGTGTAGCTAAGCACTAGAATACGTTTGGACGGATCCGTCAGTAGGATCTTGGCTGCTAGTGCACCTACGAACGACTTGCCGGTTCCTAGAATGATGCATATCAGTTCTAAACTCTACCTTCCAGTGTGAAGCTAGACTAGCAGTCACTTACCGGGAGGGCCTTGAATGAGGGCCACTGGCCGCTCCAGCGCGTGTAGTAGAGACTTAATCTGAGACCCGTCGAGATCAAAGGGCTGTCCGTCTATGATGAGCTTGCGTGACTCGGACTCCACGGCTTGCTGTAGCTTTTTCGCACAGAGCTGAATGTGAGCAGATTGTTGCAACGAACTCAGCGACTGGTCGTCCTCGTCATCAGTGCCGAGACGAAGCAGTTTGCCTCCTAGTGGCATCTCCACAACGTCTTGTAAGCATTCCAAAACAGGCTGGTAGGCAAAGACTGGAGTATCAACCAGGATGAACTTGAGGTTTGCGGGTGCTTGAAGGGCCAGCAGAGCTCTGGCAGTGGCATCGCTGCTGGTGAACTGCAGGGCGACGACCGGCGGAGCCTTCACCAGCTCATCCTCGTCGCGAAGAAGAAAGGCAAACGCGACGATGTGTTTGTCCCCGCACAGAGCGCCAAACGACTGATGACGAAGGAACCACTTATTGTCGTTCAGCCAGGCCTTGCGCTTCGGCGGCGTGGGCTTCTTCAAGGACTCCAGCCCCTGGCAACAAGCAACAAGCACGGCACAGAAGTGGCCTCGTTTCTCGTCGCCAGTGCTGATGCCCATGGGTCTCAGTCCGGCGAGGATCTGGGCTTTCTTTTTGCTCTTCTTCCTGCCTGTGGCCACCTTTAGATCATCTCGGAGCTCACCAAGCATATCCTCGCGGAGGAGGCGGAATTGGTTATCAAGATGGACCCGCGGTCGTTGGGCGTACTCAACGCTAGCGACCTCGGACGCTCGCCGATAGAACGGCAAGGCGCTCGAGTAGAACTCGTCGCTGGTGGGAAACACTGAAATGTCGCGGAAGTTGGCAAAGTCGTTGTCATGACGGCCACCTGCCGCCTCAAGGTCCTTTTCGGGAGAGCTAGACGATCTGAGGTCAAGGACTTTCCTGATCCTGTAGGTGAGATCGCGGGTCTTGTGGTCTTGGGCCTTTTGGAATGGCGGCTGCTCCAAAGCGGCAGATATGTCGTCGACGAGGCCGTTGAGCCCACTGTCGGGGAGGCTTGCCAACTCGAAACAGAGCCAGGCAAACACATAAAGCTCTCCCTCGGTCAAGTGGGACTCCCGATAGATTTGCAAGAGATTGTCCCAGAGCACGGGCGGCTGCGCGATGATGAGCAGGAGCTGATGGAGTAGTTCGCCATTGAACACCATCTTCACTCCGGGATCGCTCAGGTACGCAATGAAAGGGATGACGTGCTTTTGGACGAAGGAGGTCGACAAGTCGATCCGGATGCTGTGTCGGACGGCGTCCTTCGCAACATCGCTAGCCATGATGATCTCCAAACAAGCAGCCGGCGAAGGGTTCGTCCGGACCGCCTCGAGGAACAGGCGGGCATCAGCAGCTGTCGTGATTGCCCTCCCGCCTTTGGTGACGTCCCAAAAGACCTTCAACAGGCGAGAGGCACGATGAGTCTCCGAAGTGGTGAGGATCATGATGCTTTCCGATGTGGTGTGCAGGGGTGGTAGATGAAGCTTGATGATTCAAGGATCTGCTGAGTCTCCGAAATGGCAGAAAACGAGGAGCAAAGTGCGAATTCTGGCTAGCAACTGGGATCACAGTTGTATTTGAATACGATTTTGTGCCTTTGATCAGGCTGACTGAGATTGGGAGAGATTGAGTGAATGGTTGATGCCAGGACGAGAGACCAACCGCCTTTGTTGGAGGAACGGCGCGTATTTATCACATACCGTGCTTCGCCTTGTAGGCAGATAAAGTTAGGCTTTGGCTGCCGATAGCTTCGTTGGGCACATCAAAAGATATCAAAGTAGAAAAATGGCAACCAACAGAAGGCCTCCGAAAGCTGGCCGCGGCCGCCGTTGGTTGCGAAGTGAGGGGCGTGGTCGGCCTCCAGCAGGACACCTGCATGGAGCTGCGTCCAAGCCCCCTGAGTGGTTCGAGGCCGACAAGGCAGACGAATGATGGACGACGATGATAAAACGGCTCAACACGCCGTCTCTCTGCTTCCTTTCTGTTCAAATCACTGACCTCAATCTCATATGCTCTGCAGCACAATGTATCGACAGAAAAATTACAATCAATTCCAACGCAGCCCTCGGTGGCGGCAGCCGGAGCCCGCGATGCCATCGCCGGCGCCGCCGTTCGGACCATTAGTAGAGACAATCGACATCACGGAGTTGTCGAAGCCAGCTATGCAGTTCGAAGCCTCCGCTCGGGTTACCGACTGCAAGCTTGTAGCGTCGTACAACTGGCTCGACAGGGCGGCACCATCGGTCTTGATCCCAGGTGCGTGATCCAAAACCACGAGATTTCTTGTTACCCTGCTGACTCGGCTCAGGTGCGCCGCCCAAATGGACGCCTCTTCTAGAGCGTCGGAGACTCCTAGAAGACAGCGGTGTCTACTACCGCGACAAGAACGCTGCCCGGTACCCGGCCCATCCGATGGAGCCGGCCGCTCAGGCTACCCTGACGATGCATCCGGAGCCCTTGACAAAGCCGGTGGACATTGTCGCCTGCGGGAGCACCATCGGAAATCTACTCCGGTTCGTTCGGGGCGACGAGCGGCCTTTCCGAATGCTCGTGGAGGTAGTCGCTGGCGCCGTGCACTTGATCCGGAGAGAAAACTCGCCCACAGAGACGATCCCCAGCGTCAGAGGTTTCGGCCACACGTTCCCTGAAGCCTACACCACCTGGGACGCTAGTGCCCGCGGGTCGGCATCGCATCAGCGTGTCCTTCGGTATGACTTTGGCGGTCTCAGCTGCATTGTCCGGCACGAAGGTGACGGCTACCTCCAGGACAAAGTCGGGCCGTCGTCGAACGCAGCTCGCCCAGTTGGCCATGAGAAGGGCTCTGTTGACGCGCTGATTGAAGGCTTGGGCGCCAGTGAGGTGAACTCCAAGATTCCCAGGCAGTCGTCTCAGCTGCGCCTGCAGTCCGGCGGGTTCCAAGTACCCCAGTCAGCCGTGTTCGACCTCAAGACCCGGTCTATGTTCCGCAAGGGCAAAGACTTCCTTGCAGAGGAGCTTCCTCGGCTGTGGGTGGCACAGACCCCCAACTTCATCCTGGCGTACCACGAGCGGGGTGTCTTCACCGAGATCGATGTCATGGATGCGTCCGAGGAGGTCAAGACGTGGGAGAAGTCGATGAACCGGGAGCTTTCCCAGCTGGCGGCGCTCTTGCACCGCATCGTTGGGCTTGCTCGTGCGAGCCAAGGTGGACGACTCGAACTCAGGCGACAGGCGCTCTCGACGCTCGATGTTCGGGAGCAATGCCCCGGGCTGTCTCCCGCCTTCTCAGTCGACGTGATGGCCAGGTGGAAAGCCTGGCTGGCTTCGGATGTCAAGAGCGAAGTGAGCGATGATGGCGACAAACAGAAAGAGGAGGAAGACGAGTTCTCATGGAGCGTTGGAGATGACAATTATACTGCGTGCTCGGAGGAGTGTTCCTACTGCGGCAAATGCACGTACTAGACATCTGCGATGATTAGTGAAGAAGTGGTTTCGGCATCTTGGTTTCTGTCAGTCGTTTCCATTCAATAGCAATACCGTTCGTTTCTCAGCTTCGAGACGTCGTGACGGCATGGTGCTTCCAACATGACGGCTACTGGGCAGCGGCCACCGGGGAACTCGTGATGCATCTAGAAGTGTTTTTCTGACAGATGACTCAAAACATGGCTAAATGCAGCAGTCGCAGGACTAGACTGGTGATGGCTTCGTTATTGTGGACGGGAAATGCTACCCACAGAGACGCGTCAGGGCAGAGACAGCCCACATGTAGGACCGACATGTGGATACCGTGCATATGATTGGCTTGCGGGTCCGTTTAGTGGATCTGTCTCGGTGAGATGAACCTCACCGAGCCCATCACCAACTACCCTGCTTTCCCATCGGAACCTCACATGACCGTAGATGTGAGGTCAAAGAAATGTAACCTTGATACAATACCATTTCTAGCACTCTATTCCATCTTACATCGTTCAGATGCATTTCAATTGACTCGTTGCTCACTCGTATCCCGCGCATGATAACCATGAGCCGCCGCCCCAGCCACGGAGATCGGCTTCACCGGGATGCTCCAATTCTATCAATCGTAGCGTGTCTTATGAAGCAGACTACTCCCGCATTAGCCTCCAGCTTGGGGGTTATCTCAGGCTGACCGACAGGGGCTCTCCCGTCTTTGACGAGGGGTGGTCGGCCTCCGGCAGCACGGAATTGAGGCCTACAAGTCGACAGCCTCAGTCTAGGCTGACTTCGCAATGGCACGCGAAACTTTCGGCTCCCTGATCGATCCATCGTTGGTTTCCTCCCCCTGAACCTTGCCTGCCGTTGCTTGGGCCGATGCTGCCTCGTTGGGTTGGCGGGACCGGCTGTGGTCCGGGCCGTTGGCGACGCTTCCGAGCTTTGAGCGTAACTTTACCACATCCCGCTATGCCTCTTCAAGACGCAAGGACATGTCTCGTTTTAACTTCTCTGCCATGTGAAATACGTGCTGGTGACGGAATCTGCGTTGAATAAGATGCTTCTGTGCAGTCTAGCGGATGAATCGAATTTTCTCGCTTTTTAATTCACGTTTTAATTCTTGATAAAGGTTTGCTTCATAAACCGCAGTGGCTCAAGACATAATAGTCCACAGACAGGATCGGGGATGAGACATTAGCCTCAAATGTTTTCTGTCCCTCGTCATTGCATGTTTTGCCCAAATTCTAGTCTTATCTTGGCTGACCTCTTGATTCCCGTCGATTGGATTCCATGAAAGCCCGTCATCGTCGGTGCGACCAACAATACACCGGCCACACGAGGCAAAGGCAACCCCACCCATTCGTCCGTTTCCACATCACCGCCCTTGACAGAGATGAACCGAGGCTGAGGCTTCTTTCAGGCGGGCCTCATCAACGGTCGGCGGCCTGTGAGGCTGACCAGCTCTCTCTGGGAACCCCCAAGGTTCGAAGCCCAGCTGGAACCCGCATCGCCAGCACCAACACTCGTCCCTTCGCCGACCAAAAGAGTGGAGAGTGACATTCTCTCCAGGTGCTTCCAACATCATCGGCCACGGCCCTCGAAAGTGTAAATACGAAAGTGTTGGATGACAACGAAACCCGACGGAGATGCCTTGTCTATAGGCTCCCTCGCCGACGGGAAGGAACAAACGGGTCCAACCGCGGCGGCCGGGCATCCAAGACACGACGGCCTCCCGCATCCGCACCATCGCCGTCTCGCGACTTCCCCATAAAGCTGTCGTCTGCATCTTCCGTTTATTTTATTCTTCCCCATTCCAAAGAGACAATCGAATCCTGTTTTTCGTCACGGCTTTGAGCTGCGAGCTGCAAAGGCCACGCTTTCTCTCCACCAGCCCATCCCAGCACTTAGCGTCGGCCGACTCCCATCGCGCCAGCTGTCGATGAATCATCGCGCACGACAGCATCTCCCACTTGAGCACGGCGACATTGCAGCGTTGAGCCGACCTCAGCCACGTTCTTCTTCTTCTCCTTCTCCCACACCCGACGATGGCCTTGGACCAGCGACCCCAGAACCCCTACGGGGCCCCCTCGACGACCATCGAGCCGACCCAGACCTACCTCCAGCAACTGCGCTCCATGGCTCACCGCAGAGACGTTCTCGTCAGGAACGGCTTCGTCGTCAAACCGCTTTCCGAGGCGGACATTGACGATAAGAAACGATGCCGCAGGTGCAACATGCGCTGTCAGTTTTTTCTTCTCCTTCTTTTTTTCTGGCTCTTCCTTTCCCCCTTCCTCCCTGGCTTCAAGTGAACCATCTGCTGACTCACCCGCAGGCTCCAACAAGAAGAACAAGTATAAACCCGACGCCAGAGACTCCAAGCGGGCGCACAAGAAGCTCCCGCTCGGCGGCTCCGGCCCCTCGTCCCAGCCCAGATCCGTCGCCGTCCCCGCCGTCCCCACGCCCAGCGGCGAGGCACCGGAGGGCGCAAAAGAGGACGAGAAGCCCCCCAGCCAGTCCTCAAGTGCCAGTACCACACCGGCCGCGTCGTCCGCATGGTACCTTACTCCCGTTCCCCTCCCGTTCATCTTGAACCTCGCTTACATGACCAGTACTGGAACTGCTGCCGCGCCCATGTCTCCACCCCGGGCTGCACCTGGGCCCCGGAGCACCTGACCCGGACCTACGCCCCGGGCGACCTAATGACCCGGCACCAATACCACCGGACCCCGCCCCACGCCCTCGTCGACCTCCCCGCCTCCTGTCCCGCGACGCCCTCCCCGCCGCCGTCCCGCACGCCCCGCCACGCCGTCGCCCTCGACTGCGAAATGGGCACCGCCTACGACGGCGAGTCCGAGCTCATCCGCGTCACCCTCGTCGACTACTTCACCTCGGAGATCCTCCTCGACAGCCTCGTCGACCCCCAGGTCGCCATGCAGCACTACAACACAAAGTGGTCCGGCGTCTCGCGCCAGCAGATGAACGACGCCCGCGCCAAGGGCACGTGCATCACGGGCGGCCTCGCCGCCGTCCGCGCCGCCGTCTGGCGCTGGGTCGGCCCCGACACCGTCGTCGTCGGCCACGCCGTGCACAACGACCTCGCCTCGCTGCGCTGGATCCACCCGCTCGTCGTCGACTCCCTGCTCCTTGCCACCGTCGCCCGGGCCGAGCGGGAGAAGCGCGAGGAGGAGGAGGCGGCGGCGGCGGCGGCGGCGGCGGAGGAGGAGGAGGAGGCCCGGAAGGAGGCCGCCGCTGCCGACGCCGCGTTCGGAGAAGACGGCGACCTCATCTCCTTTCACGAGCTTGGCCTCGAGCCTCGGGAGAACCCAGACAAGGTCCCGGCGGACGAGGCCAGGGGCAAGCGCAAGCCCGGCGGCCTCTCCCTCAAGGCGCTGACGTCCGAAATGTTTGACCGCCAGATCCAAAAGGGAAAAGAGGGCCACGACAGCCTGGAGGATGCCTTGGCCGCCAGGGACATTGTGCACTGGTTCGTCATGCAAAACCCGGCGGCCGCACTTCCGCAGGACCAGGGACCCGCCATTGCAGGTTTCTGGTGATGCGGTAGTTTGGGGGGGGGCACATGAACATCTCGGAGGGAGCGGCGTCTCGACGTAGCCAACCAGGCACAGACTAGCTAGCCTGCCCCTCTTCGCAAAGGCGTTTGGAGTAAAGGGCTTTGTGCTCCTCGGCGGATCACGGCACGTCGAGAGGAGAGAGCAAACGGTCGTCGGGTTGGTAGAACGAGCGAGCCCTAACAGGCCTTAGATAGTCATGAACAGATCACGTCGGATTGCGTTGTTATTGTCAGTCTCTTATGGTTGTTTGCATCGCCTCTACGCTGTAACCGGCACAAGTCGGGTTTCCTCATCAATGCCTGTTTGTATTTGATACCGCTGCCCTGAGGCCGTAACCTCCACCTCTTGCCTTGCTGCTACCAGACTCGAGGTCAACGATCGAGTGGAATGGAAAAAAAAGAGCCCAAAGTCTACCGCCGCATAACAATAAGATGATGGAAGAAAAAGAAAAAAAAAGGACGAAGCCGAGTGGCCCATGCCATGTAAAGAATCGAAAGAAGCCAAAGGGAAAAAAACCCGTCAGACGGCCAAAACCAAAGCCGAGCCGTCAACGCCTCCAAGACATGCTTTGCTGCACTCGTCACTCCTCTTCCAATGACAATCCATGCCAAAAAGGCTACATTGGCCAAAAAGGCCCAACCAAGGTTAAAGTGGCAAACAACACCTTGCCTGTACCAATCCTTTTCGTTCCCGTGTTTCCCGCGCGCTCCTGGGTATATTGTAGTTGCGTATCTCATGCCAGCGTATCATAATCTCCAACAACTCTCTGAATAGGGTTTGGGGGGGCCCAATCAACTCTTTTCGGGTTACGAGTGCTGCTGCTGTCCATTCGGCGTGGACGGCTCCGTCATCTCTGGATCCGCGGGTCCCAGCATGGACGCCTCCATGGAGATGATGCTTGCTGGACGGCTGCGATGGGTGGCCGGGCTGAGCATCGAAGCTTCCATCGACGCGGTGCTGGCACCTAGGGGTGCGGGTCTTCTGCTCGTGTATGCCGGAAAGCCGAGGTTTGTTCCTTGGGGCGAGAGAGTGTTTGCCGTTGACGTGCTGGGTCCCGGACTCGTCGGGGAGTAGTGGCTTGACACGACCAGGGGCGGCGGGTGGTTGGACGGACCGCTAGCGGTCGGCGAGCGGGCGGCCTGAGGAAAGGCCGGGCTGAGAGGGCTGAAGAGCAGGGGGGCCTGTCCCAGGGGTTGCGCGAACATGGGGACTGCGCCGGCCGGAGGCACATGGTTCGGCGGCGGCGGAGGGACACCGTTCTGGGCATTGCCGTTGACCAGGTTCTGTGCCAACAGAGGCTGGCCATCTACCGCCATTTCGCTGCCGTCGAGACCCTCGAATTCGTCGTCCTCCGGCGCCTCGGCGTCGTCAACCTCGGCATCGCCGTTTGCTTGTTCAATATTTCCGGCGGTTGAGCCACGGGGATCGGCTGGGCGGCGGACGCCATATCCCGGCATTCCGGGGAACCGAGGGGGGGAGTCGCGCAAGCTCTCGTATTCGGCAGAGGAGTTTAGATACTCCCGGAGTCTCGAAACGCCGGCACCGGAAAAGACGCAAAACACGCCGCGCTGGTGATCCGTAAATTCTGAGGGGTGATTAGCATTTGGTAAGCAATGACGACGACCGAAGGGACGTACCAGGTGGGGGAGGGCGGCAGAACTCGCCAAACTCTTCTCTGAGGAAGGCGGTAACTCCCGTCAGACTGAGATGGGTGAGGCGAGGGCAGTAGTTCAACAGCTTGATGATGCTCTGTACCATGTTAGCATAGGGCATCGGTTCTCAACGCGGGGCAAACATACCTTGAGCGTAAGGTTGGTGCAGTAACTCAGATGGACTCTCTCGAGGCTGGACGAGTAGTACTCGTCAATGTTACCGTTTGCGTCTCGGCGCGCACGAGGGCGGTGGTTGGCACGAGCGAGAGCGAAGACGGACTCGTCGGTGATGCTGCTGCACTTGACGAGACCGATTCTCTTGAGCTTGGGAAGCTGTGCCAGTTTCGTGACGGAGTCATCGGTGAGGTTTGTGCAGCATCCCAGGTCAATGTACCGTATACGATTGCATGCCTGGACGAGCCGCTTCACGGCCTCGTCGGTGATGTGGCCGCAGTGGCCGAGATGCAGGTAGTGCAGGTTCTTACCAAGCTTCGCAATGGCATTGACAGCGACGTCGGTAATGTTGCGACACTTGGCCAGAACAAGGTTGCGGAGACGCGGAGCGGCATCGATGATCTTTTGCACGGCCTGATCGGTGAGTCTGGCACACGAGGTCAAGTCGAGGATGCGGAGGTGGTCGTAGGTCTTGCCGAGGGGCAGCGTCATGAAGGCCATGTCGTCGATGAGTTCGCAGCCCGCCAGCCGGAGCTCGCGGAGGGACTGGCCCTTGGAGATAAGGGCGGTAATGGGCTCGTTTCCAATGTGTGCACACTGGTGCAGGTCGATCTCGAGGATATTAGGACAGTTGTCGGCAAAGGCAAGGATGGCATTGTCTCGCAGTTGATGACAGTCGTTGAGTTTGAGCTGGAAGAAGAAGCGTGTCAGCCGAAATCCAAAACGCAGGGCAGGAGCGTGTTATCGAGACCGAAGCGCAGACGCCGGGGCTGCGTAGAGGGCGCCCAAGGCAAAAGGGGCAACGGGGAAAGGGAACAAAAGCACATACCCTCTTGATGTAGCGACAGTTCTCGGCAAGCTTGATCATGCTGTCGTTGGTGATCATGCGGCAGCCGGAGATGTTCAGGCCCTGCAGCCTCTTGCAGTGCTGAGCGATGGTCATGATGGAGACGTCTGTGATGTTCTCGTCGCCCGATATGTCGAGTGCCAAAAGGGAGGAGCTATTCTCCACGAGCTTCGTCAAGCCCTGGTCCGTAAGGTTCCGGCAGTGTGTCAGGGTAAGCCGCTCGACGCGGGTGCAGACGGCGAGAGGCATGACGCTGCCATCGCTGATCTTATCAGCGAGAGGGGTGGCGGCTAGGTTGAGGCGCTTGATGAAGTCGCGGTAGGCAAAGAAGGGAGTGGGAAGCTGCAGCGTCTGGCATATGGACGAGTGGTTTCTCCAGTTGGTGCAGGCAGGACGATGCCACAAAAGGTCGACCGAGTTCTTTGCCCAGCGCTTGCACGTCAGCATGCAGTGAAAAAGGTCGGATGTGTTGTTGAGCTTGGCAAAGATGGAGATGAGAATCTCGCTGGGCAGCCGGTTGACGGCGGGTTGGCACGGGTCATCGTTGACCTGCATGTCCTCGATGTTGGGAACGCCGAGAGATGACTGCGAGTCGTTGCCGGCGATGAAGAAGTCTGACTCCTCGTTGTCGGCAGGGAGAGGCGAGTTTGTAGAAGACGAGGAGCGAGAATCGGGCGTGACTGACTGAGCAGCCATGATCTCTATCGAGGGGGCGGCGGGCCTCATGACGGACGACGATGTGTGGGAGAGCGAACAAACTAAACGGTCGGCGAGTCGAGAGATTCGCGGTTGTTCGGTTCAAGGGAAGGGGGGAAAGGGGAGTCGAATCCCCGGTCGGAGAATGGGCGTTTCGGACGGCAGCGATGGCGAGCGGAAGGGGTTCTCGAGGTATCGCGGTGTGTTGTTGTTTGAGTGTGAATGTTGGTCGGGTTCTCGTTAGGTCGACAGGGTGAATGGTGGGGATTTGTCACCAGAACGAGGGTTGGGAAAAGGCGAACCAGTGCCACGAGGCCGACGGTACGCTGAATACTACTGACAGTGACGCCTGACCCACGGAAGATGGAAATGGAGAGGCTCCGACAGTGGAGGAGGGGAGGGGGAGGAACGGGACAAGGAGGGCGCTGACGCTGGCGCGGGTGCTGACACTGGGCCCGGTGGTCGGTAAAAGCAAGCAAGGTACCTCGAGGGGTCGATGACTGCCCTAGCACAGGGTGGCGGGCGGAGGGTGGAAGTACAGCCTCTGTACAGAAAGTACCCGTGCTGTGGCTTTGGTGGTGCAGGGCAGGGCGCGGGAGGTTTTTGTGCGACAGACGGAGCGCCAAGTCGACGACAGGAAGACGGGGCGAGGCGAAGCGAGGCGAGGCGAGGCAGCGGCAGAAGCAAGTCGTCAAGCAGGGAGAGAAAGACAGAGAGAGAGAGAGAGAGAGAGAGAGAGAGAGAGAGAGGGTGATTATAGTCGGGCGGGAGAGGGCATGGACGAGACTGTATTTTAGAGATGGAAGAGTCTGGTCCGAAGTTTCATTCGAGGAGGAAAATGAGATCAGGGAGAGGATGAGAGACGACGGATTGTTGGTTCGCGTCGCGCAGGCCAGCCAGGATCGTTGGGCGGCGTGTGATGGGCGTGGGTTGCGGTTGCAAATGATTCAGGTTTTTGCAGCACTGTCTCTCTTTCTCTTTTGCGTGTGGCGTCGCAGCAGGTAGTCTGACGAAGGTGAGCAAAGGGGGGCACCCAGCAGCGGCCAACACCAACAAACGGGGAATGACGAACGGGGTGAGGCTAAGGCCGGGTTGGAGGGCGAAGGGGAGGGGGTACAGTGTTTTGGTGGTGGCAGCGGTCTTGGTTGTGGTTCCAGGCGGCGTGCATGGGGGCCTCTTTTTGGTGGAGAGAGAGAGAGAGAGAGAGGGACGGATGAGGGATCAGGGACGGGGAGGTGACACCTCTTGGGCTGGGCTAGGTAGGTGGGCTGGGCTGGAAGTGGAAACAAGGGGACGCTGAAGGAGTGGACTGACTGACCTGGAGTGTGAAGGCGGCTTGGAAGGTTGAAGGCTTGGAGGTCACGGAGGAGGACCAGTTGGAAGCGGCACTGCTGTGTTTGAGTCGCTGTTGCTTGGCTTGCCGCAAGCCGTTTGTTGGGCAGAGGCAGAGGCGGAGGCGGAGGGCAATCTGCGATGTCCTGCGATGTGCTGCGGTGCGGTGCGATGCGATGCGATGCGACGCGACAGCACGAGATTCGAGGCAAGTCGCTGTTGATCAGGGCGCTGATGTCGACTAACCAACGAGCGCGGTACCTCTAGTCTACTTGTGAGGCGTCATGAGGTAAGGCTGTTGTGAAATAAGGTGGACGCGTGACTTCATCCGCAGCTCCGTTCTCCTCTTTTTTCCCTTTTTTTCTTTTCTTTTCTTTTTTTCTATTTACTCATTGCGGCCGTCCTTTCTGCTGATGTTTGATTTGATTGCAGAGTCCGAGCAGAGAATGATGGAATCCGGCAGGAAGAAAGAAAGAAGATGAAGAGCAGAAACCAGGCCGCGATGCTGAGAGTGTGTCGAGGTCGACAAGGAGGTGTACCCGTACGAATCGACGAGGTGCGAGGGCCGACAAGCCGCGCCGGGACGAGTGAAGAGGGGAAGGAAGAGACGGGACAAAGATCCGAGGGGAAGGACCGGAGGTGCGCCCAGCCAAATGTACTCCCAGCGCCAAGGCAGTACGCGAAGATACTTGCTCACCAACTCCCTGCCTTACATAAGCGATGTACCTTGGTACGTCTCTCCATTCCACACCCACCTACACTACACAGACGGGCTCGAGCAAGGGCCCTGAGTTTTTCAAAGCACGAGAGACGAGACGGGGCGAGGCGATACGATAAGACTTCCCTTTCGATCCGTCTATTGATTGATGCCTTCTCAATCCCAGAAAGAAGACAAAAGACTATTGCGCTCAGTCGTCTTCTTTTTCGGTTGCTCGCAGCAAGACTCGGCTGGTCAAAACACCAGGCTCGAAACCAGCCATCGAGACGAGAGACGACACAGACGAGACGGTTTCCCCGACGTGGAGCGTGGGGCCGCATCCCTCAGCCGCGTTGGAAGTGCAATGCCGGTTAATGCGCAAGTCACTTCTGTAAAGGAGCATGTCGGGGGCGGGCGGGGAGGCACCGTTTGGCGGAGGGCATGCGCCCCTGAAGAAACGTCCCACAGCGCCCCCAAGTATCTTGGGCCGCTGTGGCGCGCAAAAGAGTACCCGTCCTCCACTTACACCGGACACGCAGGCGACGAGACAACGTCGTTGTTTTGGGGGACCAACGGGTACTCTGGCTGAACCACACGGACGTAGTTTACACTGCGGCATGGCATGTCCGTACCTCGAAATTGTTCCACGCCGAAAACCGATAAACTCGACAAATTCCATTGCGAACCCGCACCGCAAGTGGCAGCAATGTGAAAGCCGCCGGCGCTTGTACCTGGCGCTACTCACAAGCGACCTAGTATGTCTGTCTTTGGCATGTATACCCAGTCTCTTTCATTAAAGTTTCGGCTATTCAAAGGGTTGCGAGACTCGGCCTCGAATTGCTGCGTTCCTTTGACATCCCCTTTGTCCTCCCCCGCGGCATGCCTCGTTTGTCCCTCTCTCTTCGCAGAGATACCCGGTCCTGGATGGAGATGGCCAAGGGTGTGGTGACGCCAGTCGAGTCGTCGGGACATATAAACATGGGGCCTAGGCGGGCAACATCGTTGAACATCTACAGAGGTTCCCCGTCAGCATCCGGCGGCGACGTCCTTTTGCGCGCTGCCGGAGGGCCGCCAACTCAACCTTAATCCGTTGGCCTCGTGTGGACGGAAAAGGGATCGTCTCATCAAGAGCGACAAATCAGTGCAGGACTGCTGCCTTCGCCTCTTCGCTTCTCGGGGACCGAGGACTGCGCTTCATACCCGTCTCCCTCCGCGCGCTTGGACATCGCTGCCCCAACTGCTTCAGGACGCTCTTCTGCGTCCTGGGCACAGACACACTACCTCGTCTCCTTTCCCCAATCGTTCGAGACTTGGCCCAAGAGGGAGGCTGATGACGGCCTCGAGAAATACTTCTGCCTTACGAGACGGGATGTCAGGGGCTCGGATGCTCGACTATCATGCGGTCCGCGTCCAGATAGCTTAGACGTCACTTCAACCCTCCGTCCACTCTGTTTCGTGGCCCGCCTTTCCAGATCGCATAACAGTCTCTCCTTGAACCTTTGCCAGGGATGCTGGACCCGTTCGTGATGGCTGGCTCACCTTAGACTTGATACCGTTTCATTCCCGCCATCCCGGTCCAGCTTGTCAACCCTATTCCGGGGCACCCATGTCTCACATCTCAAGCCCCTTCAATGGCATGACGGTGCAAGACCACTTGTTCATTCACTCTCGAGCCAACGGCATGTCCCGCGTGCCAGAAGGACGACGTCGGACGTCGGTGGTCGGCGGTTACGAGCGCCGCTTCGCGTCTTCGGTGTGCTGGTCATCGGCGTAGCGTGCGCTGCAGCACTGACAGAATGCCAAGCCGCCTTCGAGAGGCATCCATGCTTTTTTTTCTTCGTGTTGTTATATTTGTTTTGGCTTTCGGTCTGCTTCTTACTCAACGACATGCCGATAGAGAGAGTGAGGGTGCGAGACCATGTCCCGCACAGCCGCAGCCGCAGTCACCTTGTCCAACTAAGCGGGCAGCTGCCTACGTAGGTGGGTGGTAACCTTGAGATACTCACGGGCTTCCGAGGCCAATCACCAGAGACACACGCACGGTGGAAAGGGCGATTGAGTTGAGGAAAGGAAAAGATCCAGTAATGTCAAGGATGGCATCCTTGCTACAAACGTGGGCAGTCTGCGGGAGGTAAGACGGCGGAGGTCGATCATCGGGCTCGGTCTCACCTCATTCGTCATTGGGACGGGCATGGACGACGTTTTGTTGGGTGTAGTTGACATTGAATTCGCTTCTCCCGGTTGGAGGAGACGGGGAAGCCACCTTGAAGAGATATGCGGTCCACAGCACAACGCGCAATCGTCTTACTGCTGTGATCCAGGCCATATGCGAGGTGATCCGGGGTGACGGTCGACGTCTGCACACAAGACGCACCCATCACAACGACCCAAGCAATGCGTGTGAGCGAGCGGTGGCTTGCGGCCCAGGGTGATACCCCCCATGATCCTGGGACGCCATCACGCGTGGGCGCTTAGACGGCCACGGATGACTGACCACTCACCTTCGTCCATCTCTCTCTCTCTGGGATCACAGGCATGGCGCCCTTCTGTCGATTGTCTCTCGGTAATGGAGGGGTAAATGTTGTTAGCAGCATCCACTGCGAATCACCCATGACAGATGCTCGTCGTCAAGCCTGAACAGCTTGGGACTGCAGAGGGTGTGGTTGCTGGTTCTAGATCCCTCGCTGACGACTTGGATGCATCCAGACAGTTACAAGGGAGCATCGACAAGCGCCAAGCTCGCATCCTCGCTATTGCATTCGATCCAGCTTCGGGCACTTCCTACGGGCCGCTCGCACGGGCCTCGAGAGATGGATGAAAAGACAAGGGAGAGGCATCGGTCCATTTTTAGGTTAGTCCGGCACCGTAAGATGCAGCAAATCAGCATAGCCGTTGGGAGTCTCGCAGCAGCTCGATGCAGTTGCAGCGGCCCAGTCCCGTCGTCTCCAGATGTCCAGGGGCCTTCAAACTTAAGATCTGAGGTGAGGCGGAGTCATACCGTATACTGCACGGACCATGTAAAAGGGTACGTATTCGCGACGGAGCGGAAGAAGCCGATCGGCACGTGACAGACGGCTGTCGAGACGTCATTTTGGAGGCTCTGGGCCCATGCGCCGAACCACTCACTGCTCGTTGACGTGCTCCAGTGCTTTTTAACGGGGGAGGGGGGGTGCATTGACATTGTGCCATCAGGCCGAGGGAGCTCCAATTTGCAGCTTCCCCATGTCATCTGCACCACTGACACTTCTCAGCCTCAATGGGTTGGTCTGTACATTACGAGCTTTTCGACGATCAGACTTCCCTCGCAGCTGGCCAGTCTGTGCCTTGCAGCACCAACGAGCCCAAATACCCTGCCACATGACCAGATAATTGAATCGTCGTACCCGACCGGCACCGAACTTCAAATAACTAAGCCCGTCACTGGACGGATCGACCGACGGCTGTCCCCGCCCGAGCATCCCACGCGCCGTCTGAAGAATTCCCGATCCATCAGCCATCAGCCCACTCCTCCATCTTCCTCCACCCGAAATTCACCACCAACACTACCGCAGCCGCAACCACCTCGACGACACGCAAACTCCACGCCCTGTCGCCCTTAGCCCCCCCAATGTTCCGTCCACGCACTCTCCGGGCTCTGCCCAGGGGTCTGCCGCAGCCCGCCGTCCGAACCTCGCGACGCACCCTCTTCTCTCGCCAGCGCACCTCGTCATCCCGCCCCGTTGAGAAGCTCAACGTCAACCAGCTCAGCGAGGCCCGCTCCAACTACGACCGCGACCGCACCTATTTCCTCGCGGCCGGCGCCCTCGCGGGCATCATCTCCTTTGTGTACACGGCCAACAAGCTGCGCAAGGCGCTCGCCGCCGAGAAGAAGCGCAAGGCCCTCAAGAACGGCGACTCTGACGGCGACGGCGGCAGCAGCCCGAGCGACGACAACCACCGCACCGGGTTCCAGCTCGACTCGTCGGTACCGACCGAGACCTTCACGACCGAGGCCGGCAGCAAGCGCAAGGTCGTCATCCATGACGAGGAGGGCAGGGAGCTCGTGCCCACGGGCAACAAGACGGTGCCCAGCTTCCCCCGGACCATCGACCTCTCCCTCAGCCAGCCCCACCGCGACCCGGCCGCCCCCATCGCCGCCTCCGTCATGGACTCGGACGGCGTCGAGTACACCCTCGTCGGCCTCGGCATCCGCACCGTCAGCTTCCTGAGCATCCAGGTGTACATGGTCGGCTACTACGTCGCCACGGCCGACGTCGCCAGGCTGCAGCACTACCTCACCAAGAAGATCAACCCCATCGCCACGACCCTCGTGCCCTCGGAGCGCGACAGCCTCAAGGCGAAGCTGCTGGACCCCGCCGAGGGCGAGGAGACGTGGTCGGCGCTCCTGCAGGAGGTCGGCTGCCGCAGCGCGTTCCGCATCGTGCCCGTCCGCGACACCGACTTCCCCCACCTGCGCGACGGCTTCGTGCGGGCCATCACGGCGCGGTCGGCGACCGACAAGGAGGCCTACGGCGACGAGGCGTTTGGCGAGGCAATGAAGGAGTTCAAGAGGCTGTTCAGCAGGGGCAAGGTCCAGAAGGAGAAGGAGCTGCTGCTGTGCCGCGACGAGAAGGGCGCTCTCGAGGTCCTCTTTGACGACGGCAAGAGCTCGGGCAGACAGACCGTCGGCAAGGTGCAGGACGAGCGTGTGTCGAGGCTGCTGTGGCTCAATTGGCTGGCCGGCAGCAAGGTCGCGTCCGAAGCGGCGCGGCACAGCATCATTGACGGCGTCATGGAGTTTGTCGAGAGACCCGTCGGCACCGTCGCGACGCAGGTCGTGTAGAGCGCCACTGATGTATAAAATTTGTAAAAGTCACAACTCACATGTACAATAAATGGAAAAAAAAAAGTTCTTCACAAGGGACCTGGGCAGCATCTTTGTTTTATCATTCGTTCGTGTTGGAGACGCTTCTAAGCGCTAGTCTGTATCCCGTCCCATGACCCGGTGGTATCTCGACGGTGACACACTCTCTTTCTCTGTCTATCAAACACGGGCTACAGCATGTTGAGCTACAGCTTGGACGGCCTTTATGATCGAGTTGCGCCCCGTCAGCCTTCTGTGTCTGCTGTGCGAACCCTTTCTATCCCATCAAAACAACAAGGACGGAAGTGTTGCCTTACGCCTTGAGGGCGCCGGCCTCCTTGAGAATGTTCTCGAGCTTGCCGCCCTTGAGCAGGTTCTGCAGGTCCGAGTTGCCGCCAATGTGCTGCTGGGCGATGAAGGAGTTGGGGACGGTGCGCTGGCCAGTGATCTCCTGGAGGGCGTCCTGGATGGCGCTGCCGTCGTCTGCGGGCCAGTTAGCAGGTGATCTGACTTGCGCAAGGGGGAGGGGATGCAGGAGATCTTGACGAAAGGGGGTGCTGCGTCAACAAAAGAAGACTCACCAATCTGGTCGAGCTCGAGGACGGTGTAGTCGGTGTTGAGCTCGTCGAGGAGGGACTTTGTCTGGCGGCAGTAGGGGCAGTACGACTTGGAGAAGACGACGACCTTGTTGTCGTCGATGAGCTGCTGGACTTTCTGCTTGGTGGCGGCCATGTTTGCTGGTGATGTCTGAGCGGTGGAAAAGAGGCGTCTGAATAGGGATGCCATTTCGAGGAAGGGGAGGGGATGCAGAGGGGTGGAGGGGTGGTGATGATATAAATACGGGTGGATGGGGGAGGGGCGCCGGCGTGCGTGAGTAAGGAAGTGGGGGTATTTGTCAGTGGGAGCGAGCGTGTATGTGTGTGTGTGTGTGTGTGTGTGTCGCAACCGCAGGGGATTTCAAAGCGTTGCACGACTGGAACTTTGCGCGCGCGCGGGACGGGGACTGGACTTGTGGTGTTGGAGGGGGAAACTGAGGTGAACGAATTCGGCCGAGTGGATGATGCAATCGAGAATTGCAAATGGACAACTTTTCTGGGACGGGGTGGAGGGGCCCTGCCGCGGCAGTAGGTATGAAGGGGTCTAACTCGCCTGGGCTGCAGGTCGGGGTCCAGATTTATAAGATGGGCGGTGGCTGCCGGGGGCTTGGTAAGGGCCGCTCCGTGTACAGAGACCGAGGCGAGTGAGCTGAGCTGAGCTAAGCTCGTGGCACGCCTAGAAGCAAGCAACTGTTTATTTAGCATACGACTGCTGTTTCTCAGCTCTGGAAGAATGCACTCCAACCCGCCAGAATATGCATTGCCGTCTAAAGCGCAAGAGATGGCACGTTACACATTAAACGAGAGCTCTTGCGTACCTCTGTTATGTTCAGGCAACACCTTGTGCCTTGGTGGTTTGCTTCTCGGAGCTTGGATGAGATGACATAAGCCATCAGACAACGATAAGATAAGAGGACCCTGGAACAGGAGTGCACCTTACATACCTAGGTACCTAGTACACTCACCGAGATCGCGGGATCCGCCTCAATTCATCCATCGACCGAAGTATTGTAGTTGATGCTAAGGACTCGGTAACTGAACATTGACGCTGCACGATATGGAGAGGGCCCGATCTTTCCGAATCACTCACAGATACCCGCGCCTAGCGCCTGACCGGGTCCTCGGGCACCCATACAGCGCAGCGCACGTCGTAAGGTTCACGATGCAGGCCGCAGCTGGGTTGGGTTCCGAATCAGTAACCCCTGCGCCTGCAACCATTGAATGTCATATCAAGTATACCATGTTTCTATGCTTTCAGCCGCCTCGGTTGCTCGCCTAACCATGGAGTGTACAGGAAACGCCTCGCAGTTGCAAGCGACCCGGAGCCCGGTTCCTACTGCCGTTTGCCACGCTGGCTTCCTGAGTCGCCGTCGTATCATGTGAGAAAATATATGCTGAAAATTACCTAAGAATACGCAAACACCAAGGGACCTTCAACCAGCTCGTCCTGCCCTCTTATATCAAGATTCACCGGAACAAAAACCTCGAATCGATTTCTGTTGTTCTCACCTAATTGCTTTGCAAAAATTTCTGGCCTGTCAAACGCACCCGGATAGTACGGCGCTGACCAAGGTACGTTCCTCCGAGTCGCATCAAGGCCACACATTCCAATACACTAGACGCCGTTCATCGGCCCGGCCAAATGACCACGGCTCCTCCCTCCGCAACGCCCCCGTCATTCGCTGAGCAACCTTTCCCAGTTTTCTAGAACCTCCCCTCCACATCCCACATCCACTCGTTCTCTTCACCACCACCAGTGCACACCTCACTACCAGTGACCACTCACGACGTGCCATCGTCCCCGACTTTCTGCCGTCATCTTTCCGACTCCCGTTCCATAGGGCCACCTCTCGTTTCTGCAGCTCCAGCTCTGTCCACCACACACGCGCACCACCGCACCCCTGCCTGCCCGCCGCCTGCTCACCCTCACTTCGCCCGAAGCTGACAGCGTATTTGCCATTCTTTCCAGTCCTGCTTCGAAAGCCTCACCCGAGCCACCACCTGGATCCTTGACCCAGGCCGGTGATCGTCGACGCCAGTCTCGTCCGGCGCCATACCTGTATCCAAACCCGCTTTACTGCATCAGTCAACTTGAGCCTTCCAAGGCCCGAGGCAGAGCTTGCGCTGTGCGTCGTTGCGTTGCTGCAAAACGGCCTGATCTTCGAACCCCGCGAGTCGGGAAAAAAAACACAGACGAGGGTATCCCCACGATCACCCCCCATCCCGCCAAACCACCGCCCGTGACGCACGATACGAACCGCTGCCATCGTCGTCGACTTTGCCTCACTTCCTCCTCCTCCACCTTCCCCTTCCCTCTCCATCCCACTTTTTTCTTTCCCCGGTACAGCGTCCTTAGCTTTAAGGACCGCCTACTTCCGCCAAGGTGGCTTCCAGTCAGCCGCTTCTGGCATCTTCTGGTGCCCTTTCCAACATCACCGCACTATTGCCCACCACTCTCCAGGTCTACCTCGACAAATCCATCGCCAGCCTGGCCAAAGTCATCGCTGACTCCTCCGAATACGTCTCCGACAATACCGGCATCGATCCGAATCTCATCCTCTACACCACCATCGGCTGTATCCTCCTCGCTGTGCCATTTGCCATGTCTCGATACGGCTGGTCCACGAATCGGGACCAAATATCCCCCTACTCGTCCACCTTGAGCGGCGTGCCCGATGTCACCGATGAGGACTTCAGCTACATCACCACCGAAGACCTCCAGACTTCGCCTCTAGGAGGCTCGGTCCCCACGAGAACATACGCCCACCAACCCCGATCCCGCGGCAGCGTCCCCGAAGACGATGTGCTGCTCATTAAGAACAAGGGCGTTACCTACCCCGCCCATTTCCCCGCGTATGCCATTGGCGACGGCAAGCTGCGGGTTCGCGACGTCCGAGACCGCGTCGGAGTCATGCTGGAGCTGTCGGACCGCCGCCTGCGCCGTACCAAGCTCCTCTACAAGGGCCGACAGCTCAAGGAGCCCGCTGCTCCAGTCCGGGACTATGGAGTCAAGAACAACAGCGAGGTCATGGTGGTGCTGCCGGACGGTGAAGTTGACGCCGAGAGCAGCGACGACTCGGACGAGGAGATGGTCGTCGTGGGCGGCGATGGCGCCAGCGCCGTGGGCAGCACCGGTGGCACCGATGACGGGAAGAAGCGCCGCGGCAAGAAGAAGGGCCGCAAGTCCAAGAAGCGCAGCAACAACACGAGCCCGCGGGACAGCGCCTCAAATCTCGGTGTGCCCGGGCAGGACGGCCAGCGACCATCGTCCCCAAACAACCAGGCTACCGGTCCCCATGCCAAGCTTGAAGCTATTGCTGCCAAGTTCAACGCGGACCTGCGCAAGCCCTGCGAGGACTACATTGCCTCGCCGCCGACGGATTCCAAGAAGAGGGTTGACGAGCACCGCAAGCTGTCCGAGACGACGATGCAGCACGTGCTCTTGAAGCTTGACGAGGTTGAGACGGAAGGGGACCCGGAAGCCAGAGCCAAGAGGAAGGCTCTGGTCCAAGACGTGCAGGACGTGCTGAGGCGTCTCGATGCACGACTGAACAACTAAGGAAACAGCCGGCATCGAGAGTGCCCATGGTTTCTACCATACGTTTATTTACTAGGAACGGCCGACTTCTTTTCTAGATGAGCATGTGCGGAGGTTTTTCAGCCGAATTGCATTTAATCACAGCGAAAGTCGCATCTAGAGCCATGCCGCAGAGAGCGGACGCGTTGAGTATGGAATTCAGGGCAGGATGCTGTGTTTGCTACGATAGGACAGGGAGGGTTGTCCAGTAGAGTCACTGCACAGAAGCAGAGTAGTGGCCAGGATCCAGAGGCCGAGACACACAATGAGGCGATAAGACGCCGTAGACAATAATGGTCAAAAAACAGCCCGAGTTTCTGGGATTACCGCTTCAAGCATTGAGCACATGATGTATCCGTGGTGCCTTGGAATCGCGTCGTCGTCAGTCGACGTCGGAAGCAGGGCTGCAGCGTGACGTTGACGACGAGGCCGGGTCGTGGGGATAATCCCGGTTTGGCGTCGAGGAGCGGAGCTTGACGTCGTCTGCTTAGTCACCAAACCCATTTCCTGTGATTGTGAATTTTCGTGTCGATTGCGGTACTCGGTGACAATCAAGGTGAGAACCATCGGGATCTGGCCGGCCGCAATGCCGACTTGGAGCCCCGCCACCAACCGTTGATGCAGACCGGGACGAGAGAATGGGTGAGTCAGCAAGGTGAATGCCAACGCAGCGAAGGGGGTGGTGCAGAGGCGAGGTGACAGAGGGAAGGAGCTTCTCTGGTAGGTCTTTCCAGCCCTAAGTTGCCTGAGGCCCCACCTAGAACCCTCGCTTGCGGCGGAAAGCGCTTTGCCCAATACGGCTAGCGCACTTGTCGTTCCTGCCGTGCCATTGGGGGGTTTTGTGTGTGCGTGGTGTAAATTTCTCGCCCGGAAACCCAGCCCAGTGTGCCCCCCCGAATTTCAAGATTGTCGCGACGGCCTCTTGCAAAACTCACCCTCCGACAATACTAACCCCAACGGCAGCACACCAGATCTCTACAGAGGCACCCGACCTTCGCCCAGAGATTTGAATCCCCCTCACCCTTTTCCTTCTTTTCAGATTTCAAGGAACAGGAACGATGTCGTCTTTCGAGCCGGTGGTGAGTTTGCACTCTGCATTCCGTTGGACGATTCGAGGGATCGCGGCACTCGACGACGATGGATTTCGATATCGGTGTCTTTTGTGTGCGAGCGGTCGAGCGAGAACGTTCGATGCGCGATGGACCAAGATAGCTGAGCTGCGACTGTGTCCTGCCTGTCGCCGTCGCTGTTCCTACTCGTCCGCCTGCTGCAACGCTCGAATCACTTCCTCATCGCCGACCGCGGAACCATGAGGGAAACGCAGATCGCTGACTCCAATGCTCTACACAGGTCGTCATTGACGGCAAGGGCCATCTCCTTGGCCGTCTCGCCTCCATCGTGGCCAAGCAGCTTCTCAACGGCCAGAAGATCGTCGTTGTCCGCACCGAGGCCCTCAACATCTCTGGCGAGTTCTTCCGTGCCAAGCGTATGTCGAATCCCAATCCACAACCATTGCACCCTGTCATTCAAGAGGAGGAACACATCGTCGAGAAACAAACAGGGTGCACAACCGAACCGAACGAACCAATACTGATGAATGACTATAGTCAAGTACCACGCCTACCTGCGCAAGATGACCCGTTACAACCCGACTCGCGGTGGTAAGCCAACACACATACATATAAATCCGGGCTCTGCTCTGTCTCCTAGATGAGATATCAACTCGAGGACATTCAAATGTCTGACCTGACGAAATAGGTCCCTTCCACTTCCGCGCCCCGTCGAGAATCTTCTACAAGACCGTCCGTGGCATGATCCCCCACAAGACCGCTCGCGGTGCCGCCGCCCTTGAGCGCCTCAAGGTCTTCGAGGGTGTCCCCCCTCCCTACGACACCCAGAAGAAGATGGTCGTTCCCCAGGCCCTCCGTGTCCTGAGATTGCAGCCCGGCCGCAAGTACTGCACCGTTGGCCGTCTGTCCCACGAGGTCGGCTGGAAGTACCAGGATGTCGTTGCCAGGTTGGTTCCCCCCGATGGACTTGCCCACCGCCCCTCCCCCGTGATCGTTGTACTGACATGCCCAGACTCGAGGAGCGCCGCAAGGCGAAGGGTGCCGCCTACTACGAGCGCAAGAAGGTCGCTCAGCGCCAGCTCACCGACGCGAAGAAGAACGCCAAGGTCGACCAGAAGACGGCGCAGGCCCTCGAGGCCTTCGGCTACTAAACGTGGCCGACAAGTCCCCTTCGATTGTTACTGTGGTTGCTGCAGGGGTATGGAGGAGGAGGAGCGAGGAGGGCTTTATTCCCCGTTGGCCGCCGCGCCGCCACCACCACCATCCCCCGCGGTAGTCTGACGTGGCAAAAGACCCGGAGGGTGATTTCTTGCGCATTTCTGTCCTCTTCCTCGCGTTTCCTCATTAGATTGGCGTGGGCGGTTCATAAGGGAAATTCTTCATTTGCTGATGGCACACAATGGGCTGGTCATTGGAAGGGGGAAAAAAGATGATTTTGGGGGGGACCGGAGAGAAGATTGTGTTGGTATTCACTGGAGTGAGTCGAGAGACCCATTCCACGAAAGCCTTCATCCTGTTCACTACCCATCTCCCCCGCGCCGCCGTTCACGGTGTTTCGGTCCGGTTCAACCACCCCCTTCTACTCGCAATAAGTCACCAACAACAACACACAATCAAAGATGATTCATGTCCAACGGGCTTGCTTGTAATGATGGTGGTTTTACTGCAAAAAATGGGGTTCTCTGGCTTCTGATTATTATGGGAATTGATATCACTTCAACAACACAACCAACCGATCCTGTTCCCTCAAAAGTCTCTTGTTTTCCCTCACCTTCTCTCTCCAAGGTATCCCTAGACGAACAACCATTACTTCCAGATGAGGCGATTTTTCGAAGAAAAGGACAGGCGAAAAGAAGATGAAGATGAAGAGAAAAAAGTATACCACGGCATTTTGGGAGGGAACCTTGGCGAGGCGTCTTGTGCTTAGAGAAGTAATTGCATTGCATTCACGGAGATTTGTGCGGATGAATTTGTGACGATGTGATGAGTGATTATTCGGATGCGATGATGACACGACGGAGATGGGCTAATAGACGAGGACATGAGATACAGAAGTAGTGAAGAGCGTGCGCTACGGCTCTGTGACATGAGCGTCCTAACCTATGATCTCAATCACCCACGGCTGGAACGTCACCTGTGTACGCCACGATAGCTCACTCAACCGACGTGACGAGCTCGCGGTCCGACGCGTTTCGTGTGCCCTATCTTAAGTGACCCGCCGCCCTAGTCTTCCATACCGTCCGGGGATGACGCCGGCGCTCGTCAGGCTCGCAATTCTAGCGCACGTAAGGCTGGGGATGGTTGCCAGATCGTAATCGAGCCCATTGAGGCGGTATGCTCGAAAGGTAGTCGCGTAATGCAGGCATTGAAATGCAGCAGAACCTCTCAAGACTGCGGCATCTCGTTGGGGATGATGCCGCGCAGCATGTTTTCATGTGACTCGCCCCGGCTGAGGCATGTCACCGTCCGCCTGTCCCAGGAGAGGGAGAGGGTCTGCTCATTTCGCTGGTCGGAGAGTGCCCCGGTGCGTCCTCGTCGTCGCCGCTTGCACCAGTTCGTTGCGGTACATAGGACATTTTGTAAATGTGCCTTTCAACAACGGGCGATTGGTTTAGTGGTATAATGACCGCTTAGCATGCGGTAGGTCCTGGGTTCGATTCCCAGATCGTCCACATCTTTTGTCATCTGTGACATGTTTCAACTTTTTGATGATTGCCGTTTAGGTTATCAAACGGATGGCGAGAGCTCATGGTATGTTGTGAGAATCCCAGATGAAAAATGAGTCTTTCTTTCCAAACTCTAATTTTACTGGTGGTTCCTTTGTTTTATGACGTGAACGCAGCGGTGTGCCTTACCATCCATTTCGTTCGGTTCCATGTTGTTGTTTGAGGCCGAGAGGTGGTCTGTGCTTTGACTTCACATCGCGATCGAAAGATACAGATCTGAGAACGACGAGCGTCATGTCTTCACCTACGAGGCGGACAACAGCACATAAACTTCATCAAGACGAAACTATGGAGTCAAGTGGCATTGCATCGAGTGTTGAAGAGGGCGGCGGTGACGCATCCAACGAGTCTACACATAATGTCACTCAATCGCTCTCTCAAAATGAAAACATAACAAAAATGACAGAGAAAAATGACAGGTGGGTCAACAACATCATTTCTTCTCATTGATTCTTGAAAATGAAATCCTTTTACCCCAAAGTAATAGTAGGAAGACTTTTATTGACTTCAATTTACGCGCAGAGAGTTTGAGGAAGCCTCGGCGGCGGTGGCGCGGCATGTCGCGCTGCTGCGGGAGTACAACGAGATCAAGGACGTGGGACAGCAGCTGATGGGCATGGTCGCCGAGAAGAGAGGCGTCACGGTCGGGAGCCTGTATAAGACGGGGGAGTTTGGTGTTGGGCCGAGAGATTGAACTGAGGTGTACAGAATCAGACATGCGATTGAATGAACCTGAGCTATGGGAAAACTGCGGCAAGAAACCCAACGCTGATATGCTTTCCTTATTCTATAAACCAGGGAAACTCTGAGGTCATCTCCTCGTAAGCTTCTGCCCAGATGGTGTCTCCGGGTAGGTCAGAAGTGTTGTCGTCATTCCTCAAGACCTCTCTGATTTCCTCCAGCGTCGAAGACGGAAGGGGGTAGATATACGCCTCTTCGGGACCATTCTCGCCAACCTGAGAACTTGTATTATCAAATTGATGACCTGAAGGCCGGTGCTGTGTTTCTGATCCTTTTTGATCCTCTTCAGAACTCTCATTTACCGCCTGGACCGAGCCTCTGTCATGTCTCTTATGCCACCTTGCGATACCTTCTGAACTCTGGTCGTAGTAAAGAAGAGTGTCATCGTCAAGGATCTCCTGGTCAGCTTCAGCCCAGGGTCGAAAGGATTTGAGAAGTTTAACAACAATGTGGTGGCCTTCCTTACGAGCAAACTCAATGGCTCGAACGTACTGACGACGACCGTTGCCGTGGGTTTCCACCCCTGAGTTGAGGAGTAATTGCACCACGTCCAACCTACCATGCTCAGCCGCCCCTTCCAGCGCCGTTCGCCCAGAAATCTCTGATCCTGGTGCATTGACATCCGCATTCAAGTCTCTCAGTCTGCAAACGAGACCACAATATCCCTTAATAGAAGCAGCTTGAAGTGCCGTGACCCCACGGTCATTGGTGGTTGGGGGGGCGTTGATGTCAGCTCCAAGTGATATAAGCCTTTCAATCAACCTGATGTCTCCCCGCTCCGCTGCGGCTTGCACGGGTGTCCTGAAAAAACCAATTTGTTTGTTTTCGCGTACATATTCGTTAAGATCCATGTTCAGAGACAGCAGCCATTGGGTACTCTGAGGCATTTTGTAGTATATGGACTCCGCAAGCAACCGCGGACTCATTCTTGTCCCATGCTTTTGTAATAGCTGAAAGAACTCCAGGCTTGTGTTCCACATGGAAATTTCAGGGCAATGAGGTGGCAGCTGATAGCCGAACCGTATCAGTAATTTGAGATACTCTGTTTGTCCCACCTGCATGGCGCCATGCATCATAGAGAGGGAAGTGTGTACCCGACCGCGCAGAACCCACCAACGCCACTGGAGATAATGGTCTGGCATCTGTATCTGACCATCATCATAAATCATATACTTTCCGTACTGACAAGTTGTTGGGCGCATGCCTGACGTCAGCATGAGTTCCGAAATCTCATGTACACCTAGTTCCGCTGCGAGAATTATGGCTGTTCCTGACCATTGATATTTGAAAATCGATGTATTCGAAGATTGCGCAATAATGCGGCGGATGATGGCTAAGTTAGAGGCAGGCTTCGTGGTGAAGATGGCTGCCCATAGAGCAGGTTCGTCAACGGCCTGAACATCGGCTTCGATGATTTGTGAAATCATATTCACATCCTCTGCCGACAGCTGCCTCAAGAACCGATCCATACATAGAAGCGGCTGAATTGTCTCTAAGTGAGGCACCTCTTTCCAGAAGCGCATCGGTAATAGATTGTTGGCGAGATCGGATGGCTAGAGCCAACTCACCGCCTACCAATCTTGCGCCTGCTTTCAGCAGAAGCATCGCCACTTCTGTGTTTCCACCTATGATGGCCGCTTGTAATGCAGTTTTCCCCAAAAGACACATGCTGTGTCTGGAGTCGATAATCATTCTTTCACAAATCGGGTAAAATGCATAAGCAGAGTGACAAAAGTTGATGTCAGCTCCCCAGCGTAACAACTGACGAACCATATCAACGTCTGCATAAAAAGCAGCACATTGGAGGGGGGTGGCAATGGTCCAGGACGTGTGATTTCGTGTCGACGGAGCCAGCTCAGCTCCCAGCTGTAGTAATTGCTCGACTGAATCGCTGGAATTGATACACACAGCTGCAGTTAACGGCGTTTCTCCTCCATCATTTGAGAGATTGATAAACTGGCGCTTATCTGACAGCAGATCAAAGGTAAATCTGCTCTGTGACCTGATTGCCGCAATCAGTAACTTTGATATCGACGCCGATCGACAAAGTTTGGCCCGAAAGAATTCAATGAGATGATCAGAGACCTGACGATCCAAGCCATATCTAATAATGCGCTGAAGCAATTCGCATACGTAGAACTCATGTTCCGGGCGGAAAGTGTAGTTCGATAATAAAAACGTAATGCAGCTATGAGAAGCCGAGGTAGACATCTTCCGCGTGTAGTCCGCCGCATGAAATATATCAGTGATTTTGGTTCGGATGTCGGCTCCAAACTCGATAAGAAGTTCCAATAATGGTGTATCGTACTTCAGTAACGCGTAAAAAAGTGCTTTAGACGCCCTGAACCAACCAGATTCGTGACAAATGCCAGGCAAGGATTGATTGACATCAACCCCTATTTGAAGTAATTGCCGTACAAGTATGAGTTCGGACCGCTCAACGGCTTTCTCAAAAAGACGGTTCAAAGTTGACTGTAAGCTCAGTGGAAGCCTTGCAAGTTGTTGCGTCGCCAGAGAATCCAGAATGCGAGATCTTTTCACCATGTCCAGCAGCAGCCCGATGACTGCAGACTGTTTTATCATGTTTTCGATGGAGCATTTTGCTGCGAGGATGTTGTTGGATAGAAGAAAAAAAAGCACCTCAAACGAACCTGGGTCATTGTAGCCGGAACTTCGAGACAAGAAAAGGCTTTCAGCGAAAAAAGCGTGGTTTTCCTGAATCTGTTCGGGCATGATCAATGTAAGCGCTTGAACTGTATATTGAAGCTTGCTTGTGTGACTGGACAGATCAGAACAATTTTCGAGAGCGAGAGAAAGTAAATTTTCCACCAGAGGCTGTAGCGAGTCACTGCTACAATGGGGCCGAAGGAACGTTCTAACGTTTAGCCCTGTGAGGTGTTCAGTTAGCATTAAACATGTTCGATACCATGAAGCGCAGGATCACGACTACAGTCCATACCTTTAAGGAAGTCCTTTAAAAGTAGCCATGGGATATTGTATGAATCCCATATTCGTACTTCGGCTGGCGGGGACGGTGTGCGTATGATCAAGGATAAGTTTTCTGGTGATGGTTGTGCTTCTTCAGTAGAAATTCCAGTCAGCCGTCAACGGGTTATTTAAAGAAACTATCCGGAAGGGCACAGTTAACTTACTTCCAGTGATTCTCTCCAGGGTGGACTCGAAGGAATGGCGACTTCTCGCCTTTTCAACTGTTGCAGGACGTAGTGGAACCCCTGACAGGTAGACCTTGCTCTCTTTGCCGTGGAGACGCCGCCTGCGTATCCGCATGTCGACATGCTTCCACTCAATGCTCGTCATGTTTTTTGTCATGTGCCATTGCTTGAGTTTCCACTCCAGCTGGGCCTTACTGTACCCGCACTGTCAGTCTGGTTGTTCTATGCACCGTTGAGAAGCTTGAGACTCCCATGATGAGAGCGACACAATCCGAGGGATTGAACTAACCTTGGACGAAAGTCATGAACTGTGCTTAGAATCACCGTGACGTCTTTGAGACTCTTGTCTTCGAGGAGATAAAGTCTGCGAATGATTGGTTGAACCCTCCTCCACTCCTCGTCCTTGATGACGGCACTTCTGGCGCGAGAAGACATGCTGATAGTCACTGATTCGAGTGCGTCTCGGACACAACTTGAAAAGTTTAATTCGAATTCAAGCGCAGATGAGCTGTAAGGTGGGCTGTGGAGGTATGTCCTTTGGAGATCAGCCGAAAATCTGGGGTGGAAGATCAAATATTCGCATCAGGCTGTGTTGATGGCGGGTACGGGATAGTATTTGTAGTTTCGACACATCCGATTCTGGTGATCTATCTGATTGGCTCATGCCTGAATCTTATGCTGTGGGTTGCTTGTGATCCTGTACAATTGGGTAGTTGAGCGTAGATGTCAATTGGATAGACATTTCATTGGCTGCTGCCGGAATCTGGCCTGCCACCGCAATCTGGCTGGCCTCCAAATCGGTCACGTTGAGCTGTTGCGAACAACGTCCACAGCTGATCTGCAGGCTAATGCTTGCTGACGCCTCTGCCACGCAGGATGGAGGGGAGATAGAATCCACTGGTCCGCCTTGGTGGCTGGACTGCACCACTCCAATCACGTACGTACCTCGCTCTATTGGGTTGATGAGCTGCCAAGCACCTATCGGAACGCATACGACACATAGAAGAAAGGCGGACGTGCCAGACTGATGATGCTTAGCACGAAGACAAGAAGGTATCGCAACAGCTGAGAGTCTAGCATGTAAATGTAGTTGGTTCTAATGTCCACGACGTGGAAGAAGTCATTTGAGTATGTACAGCCATTACAACGTCATATCATGTGCCCAAAAAGTGACCTTCATCACGGAGCACCATACTGTGGTCTCTTTCAGCAGTTATTTCGATAACCAGGCGACAAGGGCGTCGTGGAACTCCTCAGGGTGGGAGATCTGGGGCGCGTGGCCCAGCTCGGGGAAAGTGTGCAGAGTCGCATTGGGGATCTGAGCTGCAACAGCCGGGCCGAGAGCAGTAAAGTTGCCCAGCTTGGCGGCGACGTCGGGAGGAGACCACTGCTTGCCGATAGCGGTGTTGTCCTTCTCGCCAATCATGAGCAGAGTGCGCGGTTTGACGAGGGGGAACTCCCAGCTGACGGGCTGGGTGAGGACGAGGTCGACGATCTGGGCCTGATTGAGCGCGTACGTCTCGGCCTTGGAACCCTTGTAGATGTTGACGAGCATGTTGACCCAGGTGTCGTACTCGTCCTTCCACTCGCCGACGTAGTAGGTCGCCTGCTCGTAGCCCTTGATGGAGGCGTAGGAGCTGGCAAGCTCTGACTTGTAGTTGTCGTCGATGGGGAGGTACGGGACGCCGAGCGCCTTGTAGTCCTCCAGGCCGACGGGGTTGACGAGGACCATCTCGTCGACCTCGTCGGGGAACATCAAGCCATAGCGGGTGGTGAGCATGCCGCCAAGCGAGTGGCCCATGACGGTGGCGCTCTCGATACCGAGGGTCTTGAGCAGGCCGTTGGTGTTGGTCGCGAACTGCTGCAGGGAGAATTGGTAGCGTTCGGGCTTGGAAGACTTGCAGAAGCCGATCTGATCCGGGGCAATGACGCGGTAGCCGGACTGGGCAAGGACGCGGATGGTAGTCTCCCAGGTCGGGCCGCAGAAGTTCTTGCCGTGGAAGAGGACGGCTGTCTTGCCATTGGGCTTGCACTTGGGCTCGATGTCCATGAAGGCCATCTCGAGCTCCTGCAGCTGGGAGGTGAACTTGTACAGTTTCACGGGCCACGGGTAGGTGAAGTTGGAGCCGTTGAGGTCTTCGGGGAAGGAGTCGGAGTTGTCGTCGATGATGCCCTGGGCGGACACGAGCGCGACGCCCGCCGCCGCGAGGGTGGTGAGGAGAGAGAAAACCTTCATTGTAGCGGACCCTGGGGAGGGTTAGCTGTGTGCGCGAGGTTTGAAGCACGGCATGGTGAAGTGCGCATCTCATGAACAAGACGGACGTGGTGGTTTCGAGATCAATCGAGATGTTGGATACTTCATGATGCAACCAGAGCGAAATACAGGCCACCGGTGCCGATGCGGCACTCCAAACTAGCTTCGGATGAAGGAATGAGACGAACGAAAGCTTGCTTACCTGTAATGACAACACGACCTAGACTAGACCTAAGAACCCCGGTGACGTGAGCAAAGAGCAAACTCCTGGTGCGTGCGAGGGGAGATCGTATATTAGACTTCGATCTAGGATGGGCGCCTCTTGTTTATATCACGACATCGAAAGAAAGGGTTGCTGGGAACCAACACGTGTGTGTCGTAATACATGGTGGGCATGCATGGCATAAGTTGCACATGAGATGGAGACGGGCGAGGGCCTCAGGGAGGGTCACAGGGAGGGAGACAAGGAGTAAGACAGAAGCAGGTCAGGACGCGGTGCCTCTGTTGGCCGCAGCAAGGCGAGATCCATACTCGATAGCTTCGTCTCCAGTGGGCCGAAGCATCGCCCTAATTTCCGCTCCAGTGGGTCTCAAAGCTTCTCGGCTCCGCTGGCGAAAGTGCCCCGGATGGTGGGCTCGCGCTATTCCTCCTCCTTGTCCAGGTTGGATGCTGCGCCGTCTACTGTGTAAGCCGAAGGTGCTAAGAACACGGAACTGCGTTCGCTCGGCTCCTAGGCGGGTTCGCCTCAAACGAAGGGGAGGGGCCGAGAGGAGTTGTACTGTCTCTGTTTTGTCCTCCGTAACTATATCGAGATCTTGACAACAGTACAGTTTGACCACCGGCTGCTCGTAGAATACCACGATAGAGGGCGACAGTAGAACAGTGTAGCATCGCCTCCTGCTCTGTTAGTTTAAAGGACTCGGAACTGATGTTCGCATGATCCCGGTTGAGCCTTTTCCTGGGGAAGCATGCTGAGGTCATTAAATGAGAAGCACCAACAGAGCGTTGCAGCCGGGAATAACGAGAACTGATAGAGGCCACAGGGGGCGGCACCGAAGCGTGTTGGTGACAGACGGAGATGACATCCGAGCGCAGGCTGCTGGGATCTCTTGTGCAGGAGGGCAGGTCCTGAGTGATCCTTGTCCTCGGCGAGAATCTTTTGAGGAGTTGTGAAGAGGGGCGAAGCTCTCCTCTTATTGACGTGTGTTGGGCAGTCGAGGTAGTGGAATGTCCGAGGCGACCACAGAGGAATGTTGCATAAATCCCAAATCTCCATCAATGGTCTTCCGGTGGTGCTTGTTGTAGGCAAAGGAAGTGGTATCTAGTGCAAGCTTTAATGCTGCTTTCGTCGTCCGGCGAACTAGATAATAATCACCCAATCGTTCATCCTAGCCGTCACGCGACACAATGAGGCCGAGCTCCGAGTAATCTTTGCCCATCGGCCAGACGTCAACAATGCGAGGGGCTTGCTAATACTCACCGGAACCGTGGATCATGTTCTTTCGGACCTCTCATCAACCCGGCGCCAGGTTCTCCTGCGGGTTCCCAAATCTTCGTGACATCGTCGCATTCCGTTGGAAGGCCAGCAGCCCTTTTCGACTTAGACTGCAGCGAGCTCATTTTAAGCCGTGGCCGATGACAAGGGTCCCCGCAGCTTTAGCGCTCCGTCCCGGGTACCCGCGGTCGCCCCATTGTTGTCCAACAGAAGATGGAGGGGAAGGAAAATGCCTCAGAAGGGTGTGTCTGGCCGACGGTGCCCCCAGGGCCTACCGAGATTCATGACCAGCGCTGCCGTCCATCCGGGACAGCATCAGTCAGAGACGACTGTGGCACAGAGGACAGATCGAGACTGAGAACGGGGATATGATGAAGGATTCAGTACCTGCTTTCATACTAGTGATATTCAGAGCCCTCGAGGTTCGTCATCCTTACCCAATGCTTGCAGCAGAAGACTGTCCACACCAGGAAGGTCTGCTGAAGAAAGAGGATTCAGTGCCTTGGTGCTGCATGTTTCCTTCGTACGATAAATGGAAAAAAAGTAAACAAAGCACTGAAGAACTTTGGTAATGCCAAGTCCCATCCCTGGAGCGTTTGGCACACACCACCCGGCGACTATTGCTGCCTAGAGGGGAAGCTCAGGGCCGCTGACCGAGGGCCTCATCGAGTTACCATGATGTACGCATCTCGGTGGCCAAACTAGATTTGAATGCAACATTACCTCGCGTAGGTGGATGTCTTCTCGCTAAGTGCAGCCAGAACACCACCTCGTCTCTAGAAGGCTTACCAGCCACTCAGCGCACCCAATTAGGTATCGGACTGGACTAGAATCGAATGTCAGATCTCTATCGCTCGGCTGCAACGAGAACGAACGGATTTCCGCCAAGCTAAAAGGGTCAGGGGCGGCAACCCGAACGGGACGTTGGCGCCACGCCCGCCCGCAGCTCCACGCCCCCTCACAAAGGGACCGAACATGCCACAGCCCACAAGGCAGAATGAATCCATTGTGGTGATGGTTAGGGCCCTAATGTCAACGGATCCATTGCGCACAGACGGGGGCCTCCGGATGCTACGGGTGCGTTGGGAACTTTAAACGAACTTATCCGCATAGTTACGCCGATGCAACTCCTGTTTACCCAAGACGAACTGCACGCCTCAGCGAACATTTGATGGCAAGTAACACACAAATATCCCGATGAACAGCGCACAACGTCCAACGGATGGAGAAGCCCGTCTTGTGTGACGCAGGACTGTTCGATAGTGGCGCAACATGGAGGTGGCCAGGGCACACTCCAGTAAAGAAATCTTTCACAAAAGCCTGTGCCACGAACGAGATGGTTTCGTCTCCAATAGATAGTGATTTTTCCTCCTTGGCTTCTGCTAAAAGTGCCACACGCGTGGGTCGGGTCTCGTAAGGTTCGAATTCGGAACTCCACCATCCATAAAGTCTACACAATCCCATAACCTCTCCACCCCATCTGATGCGCCTGGACCACCGCAGTCGTCAGCCCTGGGAGAGGAGACAACACCTAGATAATGCTTACCCACGGAAGGTTAGTGAAACCAGGCCCGTTGTGGACCGATAGCCCAATGCACGTTGCGCCTCATTTCCCTTGCGAAGGCCACACATCTCGCGAAAACAGGAGCTAACCCGTATGGTACCACGGCCCGATGCCCAGACGTTCTTCGGTATGTTGGATACTGGCGTAATATCTGACAGAAACAGGTGGTGCCTGGATTATCCCCGCCATGAACAGGTTCGTCACACGATTTTTCTCCTTTTTCCCTTTTTGGGTGTTGTCCGTAACCTCCGTGCACTGTTGGGTGTAGAGCCTGCCAAGGTTCTTGCTGGTCAATCTCATGAAGAAACTCCCGTCTCAACGGTGTTGCATACGTAAGTCCTGGGCGAACTGCTACGAAGGTTCTGTAGACATTGACGAAACCTTCATCGTGCCTTATTGTGAATAACTCCGAACATAACGCCGAAACCTCTTGTGCGCCAGAATTGAATGTTGTACGGTGGAGGATATCGAGGACGGCCCAGAGCTTGGTCCTGGCGGCACATCGATGGACGGACAAAGCCCGTGTCTCCGTGTCTCCGTGGTGATCGCCGCCTCTCCTCCTCTCTCGCCCGGGAGAGGGCTTCAGAATGTAGCTTCTGGGCCGTGTCGCGATCGGTAATTCTTTTTACTGGCCGTTTCCTACATACCACAACCCTACCATCCATCCCCCGTTTGTCCCTCGATACATCTTACATGGCGGCCCACCCACCTATGTCCCCTTCTTCCCGCCCTTCCTCACCGCCGATGCAAGCACTCCCCATCTTATATTCTCGGCAGTAGTCTGCAGACTGTCACATTCATCCCACGCCACCCGCGCTTTTGGTTCTTGCAGAAGAAGCGGGAAGAAGAAACTTACAGGCCGCGTACCTGACAGCAGGAAGACGGATGGATCGCTCGTCCTGTCTCTGTACGCACACTTTTATGCCGTCCAATAAGAATTGCGCTATCCAAGGACTGCAGAGTATTTCGACCTAGCCAAAGGGACTCTCCCCAGTCGAAGGCCACCCTAGTGGAAAGGTTGCTCAGAGGAGAGCTGGGCATGGGCATGGGCATGGGCATATAACCGTTTGAGGGGACCCATTCGACCCGGTCTATCGGATTTTCCCTTGATCGCCGTCTGCCTCCCTTGAATTCTCCCGGTGTCTCGCTCACAGCTTTTTGGCCCCGACGAGGTCCACCATCCCCATCAGATCTACCAAAAATCTTTGTGTGTGCGCGTTTCGATCACGCTTGTCACAATGGTGGAGGGGAATCTCCCTGGGGAGAGCAATGCGCTCATGGTTCAGGTGCCAGCCATTGTCTTCTTTATCCTGACGCCCATGTTTGTGGGCATTCGGTTTTGGTCACGGATTAAGATGAGGTCTGGTTTGGGATGGGATGACTGGACAATTTTGTTCTCATTCGTAAGTTCGACCTGGTACTGGGGCGTTGGGCGTCGACTGACAGTCTCACAGTTCTGCTGCCTGACTGTATCAGTCCTGATGATGATCTCTTGCGAGTATGGTTTCGGCCAGCATATCAAGAACCTGTCGAAGCCAAACAAGTTGATGACACTCAAGGTAAGTCAGACCAACTGTCAGACTATTTGGTCCATAATAAAGCACAACCTAACCTTCGGTAGCTCTTTTATGTGGCTCAAATCTTCTATAAGATCACTATCAACCTTACGAAAGCCTCTATCCTGCTCCTCTACCTACGCATCTTCGTACAGCAGTACTTCAGAGTTCTGTGCTATATCCTCCTCACCATAATTCTGTCATACATGGTGGCCACATCGGCGTCATCTATCTGGCAGTGTACTCCCATACCTCGCGCATGGGACAAGTCTATCCCCGGCACTTGCATCAGCTTGACGATGAACTGGTACGCCAATGCTGGATTCTCCATTGCCACCGATATCCTCATCATGGCACTGCCCAGCATGTGCTGTGGAAGTCGAAACTTCCCGTCAACCAGAAGAGGGCGCTCATGGTTGTCTTTGCTCTGGGTTTGTTCGTTACCATCACGAGCGTCCTGCGCATGACGACACTAGATTTCTCCACAACGAGCCCAGATACTACATGTGAGTCAGCCTCGTACCTGTTCTTGACTCGAGAAGCTAATAGGCCGCAACAGTTGACATTGCCTCTACCCTCTGGACCCTCGTCGAAGACAATGTTGCCATCATCTGTGCCTGCCTACCCATGTGCCGTCTCCCCTGACATATATCTTCCCATCCTACTTCGCGTCCAAGCAGGGCTCAAGTGCTGGCAGCTACAACATCGGTTCGGCACCGCGCACGAACAGCAGCGCCTTCATCCACGCTGGCACGAGCCGCAACGACTGGCATCCATATCAGGGTCGTGAGGAGAAAAACGGTATCCATTTGACTAGCGTGCAAGCCAGGCCCAAGGTTGGGGACGATACGAGTGAGGAGTACATCTTGCCTGCGGAAACAGAGGCCGGACATATACGAACTCCGAGCGAGGATACAGAGTTTCGAAGGGCCATTCGGAAGACAACGGCATTCCATATGACTTATGATGAAGAAGGGAAAAAAGCTTGAGTAAAAGAGATGCGAAGAGTCATTCAAACAAAAAGGGGACAGCCCGAATGATACCTGTCTTTGGGAAACACGAATTCTCACATCCGAGAGGCGAACATTTCGAATGATTGTTTTTCACCTGTCGGCTACAAATTACTGCTATCTGTGTGCGTAGAATGAAGGGGTTAGGACGGGAGGCTTCGCAAGGTGAAAGAGCCCTACTCTAAATAGAGACCTTGCTAGTTAGACGGCTTCGGTGTGCCCGTTTGAAATCATGTTACCAAGCATAGTATAGAAGTGGAATCAGTCTCCATAACCAATCAAGACCGGTCATCTCGAGACTGGCGGCCACACGAGGCTTGGTTGTGTGCCTGTTTGGAGAAGTGGCTGCATTACTACAAAACCCTTACCTCATGTTAAGAAAGACAAGTATGTTTTGTATAGTTTAGTTTCAAATATGCGGGATAGCTCGTTCGAAAAGACTCGTCGTTATATAGTAAAACAATGCGCGGCGACATAATGTCCTTCAATGATTGCAGCAATCTTAAGGAAGAATAGTCTGAACTAAGAGGCATTGCAAGATGATCTATTCGAAAGCTTTGGAATAGAAAAGATCTCAGTGCAGACAAGCCTTAATTCTACTTGGTCAGAATCCCAATAACATGAGGGATAACTTCGTAGGTTTCTTCGTCCAAAGGGCGCGCCAAGTCGACTTCAGTCCAAGCCCCAACTTGTTGCAGAGCTCGGCCACTTTGACGACATAGATGACACGAGCCCATCATACGCTCCCAGAAGATATTCGTAAAACCTAAAGATGTGTCAACATCACGCGTGCGTCTTGGAGAAGGGGACTTACGTTGAAATAGCGGGACCATGAGACCACGCTCGGCCTTGACATGCTCGTAGGCATACCACCGGCCGCCTTTCTTCAGATAGCTGTAGAGCAAGCGGATGTTCTTCTCTGGTTCCGGGATGCTGCAGAGGCATTGAACCGTTATGATGCAGTCGACACTGCCTGGATCGATTCGTCTGCCCCAAGCTGCCTCATTCTGCAAATCCTCAATACCAACAGGCACGACCTCGTAGGTATCCTTCAACCCGGCTTCCTCCACGCGCCGCCTCAGCGACGCAGCAGATACTGGGTTCGGCTCGATACCGTAGATCTTTGTCGGGCCGTCACGAGACTCGGCCTTTGCGGCACCGACAATAGTGGCCAGCGCTTCCGTCCACATGCCGCTGCCGGCCCCAATCTCGAGCACGACACCATCGATGGGTTTGCTGGATCCTCGATTTGATACTTTCCCGCCACGGATACGTCCTTCGAGAAGGGGAATGACTCTCCCTTCCCCGCGGGACTTGGATAAAGGACCTACTAAGGCCCAGAACTCGCCGAACCAGGCATCCTTCAGCGCGGACCATGAAACTAGAGTTTGTAAGTCGCCAGCAAGTGCGCGTTTGGCAACGGTGAGGAAGAAGTAGGCGGCAGAGATGGCCATGTAGATCCAAGGGACGACGAAAATGGACAACAGCATCGTGAGACTTATGGAGGTTCGAAAGGGGAAGTGGTAATGCAATGAGAATGGAATTTGATCATAGATGTTGTGGTATGACACCGTTTTAACTGCGATAGCAATTCCGGAAACATTCGCGAATTTTACTAAGCCATACTGAAGCTCGGACACTTTCGCTCCATAGAATAAAGGTAAAAGAACCCAGAGACATCACAGCTTGCCCGTGGTGCCCCCATTCCCCGCATTCTCAAACCCCACGCCGAGGTCTCTGCTGAATGTGTCAATTGCACTGAACACCACGCCTCAAGAGACCGGCCTCCAACTCGGGCCAGTCATGACAGTAATGCGATGGTAGGCTGATGGAATGGAGAGTGTATCTTTTCATTGATGACATCTATACACTGTTAGACTGGATTTTGGAGTGGCTGGCAGTCTGTTTACTGATTGGGCGACGAGGGGCGTCGGCAGGGTCAAGAGGCTATATTGGCGTAGCCTTTTTACCCAGAGTTCACGAATCTACGAGTATACGTAGTCTGAAAACTTGCTTGTTCTATCTGACTGCAATTAGAAGCTACAAAAATGGCTACTAATTCACGTGAACGCCAAGGCAAACGCAGTTCTCCTATTTTTATGTTGAGTGATTGCTTGACCATATCTCATGAGGTGCAAAAGGTCTAGAAATCTCTAGAAGAAGACCGAGTTGAACTGAGATGAGATTTTCTTATATACAATTCGTTCCTATATGCAGCAAACTGCCTGCTGATACAATCAAGAACGCTTAATTATGATCACTTCATGTAAGATTTTGTCCTGGAGGTTCAAAGGTTCTTTGCAGGCTTAACCGCAGGCTCCTTGGCAACACGCTTGCTGATGGCCTCGTGCTCGTGCAGCTCAGGCTTGGAATCCAAGGGACGGTCAAGTCCGAGGCGGTGGTAGGTGCTGTATGAGGCAATGCCGCCCTCGGGATCGGCTTCGGTGACGAGCTCCTTGCGGCGGGTGTCGACTAGCAGACGGATGAGGTCGGGGCGCATGTAGTGGCCGGCAAAGTCAGCGAGGACCTTGGTGAGGTGCGTTTCGTTGAGGTCAATGTCAACAAACATTAGACCGTCAAAGTCCTTGTCGGGCTTGGCTACCAAGCTGCCGTCAGGCTTGTAGATGCGAGCATGACCGTTGTAGACGGAGGGATCGGTCTCGGGCTCAACTCCCTCGGGGGTGTTCTTCTTGAGACCCTCCACCGAAAGGCGCTGGAAGGGAGCGAGAACCCAGGTGCCGGTCTCTATGGCATAGGCAGGGGTGACGAGGTCTGATGCCGGGTCGGCGTAGTTGGTAGCGGGATCAGGGGCGACCTGGCGCTCCTTGCCGGGGTAGACGGGCCAGGCAGCGACGTGGACCTGCTCGCCCTGGGAGACATTGAGGGACTTGAGGAAGGGGTTCATGTTTTCCCAGCAGTTTAGTTGGCCGACGCGACCAATATCGGTCTCGGAAACGGACAGGAAGGTATCGCCTGAGCCATCTCCGTAGACGAGCTTCTCGACGTGGGTGGGCTTGATCTTGCGGCGGTGATTGATAACGGTGCCGGTAGGGTCGATGAGAACCTGGGCCAGGTAGAGCGTGGCGTGGTCGATCTCGGAGAAGCCCATGGAGACGAAGATCTGGTTGTCGCGGGCGGCACGGCGGATGCGACGCATCTCTTCCGAGTCGACTCGGAGAGAGTTCTCGCGGTACTTCTTGAGCATCGGGAGAGATTGCAAGTAGGTGACCTTCCACATCCAATAGGGGTAACCGGGAATCCCTGAAAAAGGTCAGGATGCTGAGTGGGCTGTATTCGAGGGAAGAAGATGTGACTTACAGACTTCGGGGAAGGCAACCAGCTTGCAGCCGGCTTGGCCAGCCTCATTGATGAAGTTGATGGTTTTCTGGACACCGCCTTCAAGGTCGAACCACTGATGAGATTAGCAACGCAAGAAAAGACATAAGGGGTGAATTACTTACACCAGGTTCGGAGGTGACAGCGGCGGCCTTGTATTTGGTGATGGGCATGTTTGCGGTGATGGGCTTGAGGGAAGTTGGAGTTCTTAAACCGAATATGTGAACAAGTCTTGAGGCCTTATTATAGATCTTGTATGAGTGTGATGCTCTGAAGAAAGATGAGCCAAGTTTGGAAAAGTACTGGGTGTCTTTATATGCATTCTCTCTCCTTGACTCCTTGTGGTTGACAACAAACGTTAGGTCGGTGGTAACGGGATTTGGAGAATGTTTTGCTGTCAGTCTGTTGACATTTGAAAACGGTCAATGCAGACGGACCCTACTGTCGAAAAACTTCAAAGGCCGCCTGTGTCATAGTTGGTAATACAGACGAGATGCAGTCAGACTCTGAATGAGCAAGTCCTGGACCCATCATTGTGTCGTATGGTTCGTTAATAACTTTGTGTGGCGTGATTAGACTTCGAGGGTGCGGAGTGCAGAGAAAATACATGGCCGGAATCCTACGGATGGGCCAGTATTGCGGGTAACAGCAATGTCAATAGCGTATGAAATCGAACCAGAACAGCTCCAGAGAGGATAGTTACGAGAGGTGCGAGCTTCGTCCGGAGTTACAATCATAAGCCAAAAGCCGCGCCCGAAAGTGGCATGTTGTTTGTGACGTAAACACCGACCGACTGCCGTCTTTCTCCGGTCCGCCCAGGCGAGATCTATGGGTTTCCATAATTTGGTTCCCGTGCTCCCGGCGGGGAATTCAACATGCAGCCCCCGGGTCAATGCCGGAGGTGGACCCCGGGATCTGGGGTTGACATGGATTCAAATCCCGGGGGGCAAACACCTACATGGTCTGATATTCGGGAACCGTCGGCCCCGGAGTTGGGATGGAAAGTCTTGAATAATACGCGAGAGTATGACTGCCTTTGATATTGGTACTAAAGGGGGGACGGTCCTGCTCCAGGAGAGTGATGATGGCAACCTCACAGGGAGATTGTTTTACAACGTCCTGCAGCTTAGGGTTGCACAGTTCAATCCAAGACGCCGCACCTCACTTCCGGTGCAGTTTGCCGTATTCAATTTGGCTGCGAACGGACCAAGAGAGCTCCGTACAGTGGCGGTGGCCACATAGAAGCTTGAGTCTCCAAGTTCGCGAAAGTGATCGCATGCTCGCTCGAATCGTATTAGAGCGATTCGCAGCGAGATGAGAGTAATCACTAACACGGGAAGGGTGCAGAAAAGGCCGGATTCTTACATCCTCGCAACTTGGGACATGATGAACTGGCACGAACTCGGATGTGGCAACACGTTGCACGTCTCATCTCTACTTATGGTACTCGGATGATTGCCACCTGGAGTGGAATGGCGCCAGTCCACCATAAGATGCGATTGCAGTAGTGATCCGCACCACCACCTTCGCAGCAGCAGTCAAAGAATCTGCTTTTCCATCCTAGCGCCTTCACCAACGGGTTCTTCAACACCATTATCAAGCTATTGCCACCACAATCTCAACTCTTTCCTGCCGGTATTGCCACCATTAAAATCTTTGGATGGATGGGTTTGCTGCCATGACATTTGGCCTTGTCTGGACGAGTACAAACAGCCAGCACGGCGGCTTGTGAGATGGAGTAACTGTAAGGGTCCGGACATGCAGATTGGCTGGGTTTGTTTGCAGGAGAGGGCCGCTGTGGGGCCGGTGACGGGTACCAGCACAGACCTGCCTACAGGGATTTCTTATAACAGCATTCTCAAAGCAGCCGCCCTCAACCTAACGTTATCTGAAGAAGCCGCTCGTGTGGCTGCTCAGACATCACGTGGGCGAGGCTCCAACTTGCAGCTCGGGAAGGTACGATCATTCCCCGAGCCATTGGAAGTTACGACTTCGGGCTGGGTTTTCTCCGCAACCCGGACTTGCAAACAGGCAGGAACCAATAAACCTCGCTTTATCCCCTCCCGCTCATTGCTTCATCCAACTAGGCACCCAATTACACATTCCCTGGATGGAATTTGTTCAGAGACGACACCAATACACAAGACTGCTCTGAGAGACACTCATTCAACCCAAAATACCTTCGCAATGGAGCACCCCGCTCGCTCGTTCAACGCCCTTCCCAGGCCCAATACCACCCCGACTGGCTTGCCCAACCGCTGGGTCTTCGGCATCCGCCACGTCCCACTCAATCCGCCTGGAGATCTTGTCGTGGCGGTTCATCCCCCGAGCCGCTACATCGTCCAAGGCGGTCCAGGACAAATCTTGTCGCTGCCTAGCGCCTCTGCCAAGGCAAAAGCTCTGGTGCCGCTACTTCTCGACGCTTTCATCCACGGTCACAAAAGCCCGGGGGGAGCACAGACCGATGATCCTCAGCCGTTTGCTCCCTGGGCGTGGAGTGTTGACGATCCGGAGCTGGCGGCTGCGATCGAGGACGAACTGAGGCTTCTTGGTGTCAACGATGCCCTCCACAGTGTTGAAGGGTGTTCTGTCGAGGAAAAGAAGATTTTGGATGAGACCTGGCTCAAGTTTCTCGACAAGTTGGTCGGCATGTTTCCTGCCACCTCTTCGCCATTGACTGTCCCACCGGGCGACGACTCGAAATGCCACGGCTGTGGATTGGACCGCGGAGACTTCCCGGCGCCCCTGAAGATGTGCTCGGCGTGCAAACAGGCATGGTATCATTCGCAGGACTGCCAGCGCCAGCACTGGAAACAGCACAAGAAGACCTGTCTCGCCAACCGCTCGGGCCCCAGCGCTTCTCCGCATTCAACCGCCGGCGCTGCTGGGTCTGCTGGTACCAAATCGGATGCCTACACGTACTACAACCAGTTCGCACGCAGCTCCCCCGACGCTCAGTCGTTGCTGCGGTCTCTACATCTTGACCCAGCCTCGGCCGAGGGTACGGCCAAGCCACTCCGACACCTTGTTATCACTGGCCTGGACAGTCCGGAAAACATGAAGCGACTCTTTGGGCCGAACGCGCTTGACATTATGAAAGAAGACCACGAGAGTGCCCGCCTCGAAGTCTTCTTGGACCCTCCCCGCGGCTCTCCGAGCTACAAAATGAGCTCATACGACGACTGCTCCGCCCTTCATCGATCGATGCGGCCGCCCACCGAGGTCGAGCAGCAGAAACTGCAAGAATTGCGGGACATGCAGCAACTCATCCGACAGAAGGTGGGGGTGGGAAAGTCGCCCTCCAAGGGTGACATGCAGAGTATCTTGACGTCTTTTGGACCGAACTGGCCCACCAAACTGCAACTCTACATGCTCGCAGTCAACACCATGGACCAAGGTGTCAACTAACCCTTGAGCTATATATGCAGGGACTGGATTCGGAGTTGTAGGAGTGACTGTTCTGGTGACCTGTATCATGTTAATATAGCAATGACCGGCGTCTAATGGGCCCCTTCAATTGAGGGGGTTGGTATGAAGAGTGGCATGCGTCCCTGTTGTAGCATACGTGAGTCTAGTCCTCCTGGTGGGAGCTCACTTCGTGCTGTCTGCTCCATTTGAGTAGATAGGGGTCCTATCACCCCGCCAGCATGGCTCGCTCAGCTGCTCACTCGCCTATTTTCCTCTTGTCCGGGCAGGTCAACTCGGTTGACCCGCTTGAAAAGCAATTCAAATTGATCAAGTTGCTGAGTTCAAAGCGTGATATGGCAACTAAGAACGTGAATAACCGTATCCAATTGAAGAAAGCCATGTGGTTGACAGCGTGTGGATGTGATGTGATTGTGTGCATGGACTTCCTTTCAGCTCCTCACCGAGTTTCTGCTAATCACTACCTTCTGGTCTTGTCTTCTGTGACTAAAGTGAGAGTGACGTTCCTCTTGCTTTTTCCGCAGAAATTCCGATTCAAAGGAAGGCGACTTGTTCCCCAACAAACATCAGGCAAGAGGTCACCTGCACCACAGCACTAGGGAAAGGCAAACCCAAGTCACTGGCTTCCATGGTTTCTCATACAAGATGGGGAAATAGCCTCTAATGTGGTGAAGTACAGCCTACTCCTGCGCTGTCACCAAATCGGATCGTCTGACTTCACCAGTGGCAGACTACCGGCAGTCCGTCTTCATATTGCAACATCACACATGCAATTTTTCTTGACCGACCCTCACAAATATTGTTACTACGACCAGAGATTATCATCGAGTAGCCCCTGATCTGGGTAAAATGCTTACTGATACTGCGCGCAACATGCGCATTAATTCCATTCAGGGGGAACTCCAGAAGATCCGGGACGAGATCAACCGAATCCGCGATCTCATACCAGGCGAAGATTTTGCTACCTTCGTTGCCGAGATACCAATATCGAATGATCCCGATTGGGATCTCCTTGAGACTCCTCCGAGCGACGGCTGGATTGCTTGGGCTGCATGGGATGATCCTGAAGACTTGATTACCGAATCCGACATGCTCCTCGCTCCAGTGGATACGAAGGTTAGCTTAAAAGAGGTTGCGAGGCAGCTTCTTCCAAACGATAAATCACTCGACAATATAGACTCGAGAGACGATCAATCAGATTCCAATAGCCTCGCAAGGCTGGTTGAGAAGTTCGGGTTCGACACAAACCACGCCAACGAGGATGACAGTAGTCGAAAATTAAGCCCTGTGCACAGAACGCCCGAATATTTCGCCCAGCACACAAACCAGCCGAGAAACGGCTTTGGAACAACAACAGGCAAATCAGAAGTAACGCCAAATGTCACACTTGAGCCTCAATCAAACGTCGATTCGGCCTTTCCTCAAATGCCACGCTCCACATGGCGCACCGTCGAAAAGTCTTCTACAAAGTTACCACTTGACTCTCAAACTAGCAATAGGGTGAACGCTAGTGATGGGGAGGATACGTGTCCAAACAGAGCATCAGAAGTAGTCCAGTATAAGTCTCTTCACGTTGTCGTCCAGGACCAACCTCCAACCCAATGCTCTTTAGACGAATCGAAGACCCAAGACAAGGAGTATTTCCTTCGCCAGTGGCATGAGCTGACATGTATACTTTCATTGTTCAACCTGCTGCAGTGTCAGGAAAAGTGCCTGATACGAGCGAGCAAATGGCGCACTGAAAAATATCAACTGAGGAGACGGAAAGCCGTTGAGCATCCTTTAAGACAGAGCGTCACAATTGAGGACTACAAAGCAAGTCAGGGGAAGATTCGGGAGAGAGAACCCTCCGATAGAAGGATAGTGTGGTAAGTTGGTTGATAACGACTGGAATGAGTTGTATCATTGGTGCTGCATGGTGCGATTGGCAAGGAACGGGGGGTCGCTTTCTATAGAAATTGGGCGCGTGCATCAGCGGTGCCTACGGTGCTACTACTACTATGACTGCTACTATAGACTAGATACAGTCGGCAATGGAAACCAATAAGCAGTAGATGAGCAAAACTCTTGTAGTCAATCTTGGGCTTGAGCATTTACAATTCAAGAATTGCATATAGTGCATCATTCCTGAGCACTCGGCCCTTGTAAAGATTTTCACTGTGACGGATAACCTCTCTCTTGACACTACATGTCCTAGTATTCATTGCAAGCTTGATAGTGCCGCGTCTAGTCTTGCTGTTGCATCATTTTCACTTGCTATTTCTCTTGGTAAATGTCCTGAAGAACTCGAGTGGCATGATGGCCCTCGCTCTGCTTTCCCAAAGAATTTTCGACATCACTTCCGAGAATCTTTCTGGAGAACACTAAAGATTTCGTTAGCCACCGAATAAAATCTGCCACGGCTGTAGTGTCAAGTCGCTCACCTGCGTCCATCTCTTCGAGTGACTTGCCCTTCGTCTCCGTGATGAAGAACCATACAAACACTACGAGGGTCCAGTTGAAAATACAGAACATGAGGAATGTCTTCCAGCCAAGATTCTGGACTGCGTGAGGTGTAGCTTGGGAGAAGACAAAGTTGAAGAGCCACTGCGTCGAGGTTCCGATTGCTATACCGGCTTCGCGGATGCGAGACGGGAAGATCTCGCCCATGTACACCTGTGGCATGGTTAGTTGAGGGTTTCCGCGTCGAGGGAGAGAGTCAAAACCCACCCAGGGCGCAGGGCCCCAAGATATGTTGTACGACATGGCCTCGAGGTAAATCATCGTCATCGAGGCAATGGCTGTCGAAGTCAAGCCCTGGTCCACTGACTTGGGTGGGTGTGTGGCAGTCAGACAGGCGATTATAAGCATGTAAGTGCCCATCAGGAATGCTCCGCCAAGAAGCGAGCCGCGTCGGCCGATGCGCTCTACAAGAAACAGGAGGTAGAAAAGACACGATACGACTTTGACCAACCCGAAAAAGCCTGTGATAAGGAGGTTGTTCTGTCCAGCGCCGACAGCCGCAAAAACCTGAGGGGCATCTGTTGAGTTAAGAGTCAGTGGCGTTTCTATGAGGACGAGTATAAATGCGGCCTAATTCTTACAGTATGCCAAAAGAGTGTTGCCAGTAAGTTGGACGCCTAGATATCAGATTAATAATGAACAAGTTTGGCAGCCATGTTAGGCTGGAACTTGCCAATTTGGAGAGCAATGATAAGAAAGATACGGTATCGGTTGATGGGCTCGTTCAGCTCTTTCCACGTAAGCCCTTCCTTCTGATTTTGTTCTTCCTCAACACTAGCCATGATCTCGGCAAACCTGGGAGAGTTGTCAGCACTATGGTCGTTTTGGAGTTAGTGGAGCCTTCATACTCTTCCTCAACCTCAGGCGTGTGTTCGCCGCCGCGAACCCATATAAGTGAATGCAGAGCTTCCTCTCTCCGACCTGTCTTGGCCAACCATCGCGCACTCTCTTTGCACAGCAACGTTCCTAGCCCAAGAATCGCACCGGGCACAAGCTGCAGGACAACAGGAATTTGCCATTGTAACGTCGACGCTTTGACGTGCTTGCTGACGCCGTAGTCGACGAAATACGAAGTCATGACGCCCATTGTGACAAAGAACTGAAACATGCTGCCGAGCATGCCGCGGATGTTCTTGGGCGCCATCTCAGCCGAGTACATGGGAATTACAACCGTGGCCATACCGACACCAACGCCGCTGACGACGCGGGCGACATAAAACGCAGCAAGTGAGTGCGTGTTGATGGTTTGGACGATGGCGCCGATGCAGAATATGACAGAGGCAAGGATGATTGACCACCGGCGGCCAAATTTCGCGGTGAACGGCCAGATGAAAAAGCAGGAGAAAAAGGCTGACGTTGGCAGCTCACGTTGGCTGGCTCCGGATCTTTTGGTTTGGAAATTCCTGGTGTCATACCACCTGCTTGTAACAGACTCGTCGAGTTGGAGCCAACGCTGGCCTTTTGAGCTGGACCGTAACGAAAGTCTTTCTGGAAGCCCTCAAAGGTGAGGATGCCGCCAATGATTCCGGTATCATAGGCGAATAGTAAGGACCCGATGCAGCAGAGTGCCCCAAGGTAGAAAGCTCGAAATGTCCCAAGTCGTGACATGATCAATGCTGAGACTATGTCTCTGTGAAAGCAACAAAATAAATCACAAGTTGGTGTGAGACGCTGTCCAACTAAAGTTCTTTCTTGGGAATGAAGACGTAAGTAACAAGATGGCAGCTTACTGACTGACCCCCATTATTCAGCAGGCTATATCGAGACATCCAATGGTTGCGTCGCGGGGCCCAATGGTGCAGTCGAGAACCGCAACCTCTCGGGCCATTCTTCAGAGTCTTTTAAGCACGCAATTTGAACCTTGCTCGAAAAGCTGGGATCAGCCGTTGTCATCCAACACGATCCCTTCTTTTCTCTTTGCAATGCTGAGATAGCTGCTAGTAATCGGTCGGTTGACTGAATCAAGTTTGATCCAACGGCTGAAGGATCTCCACATGCCCCTTTGGGATGCCGGACCGACTACCGAAAGGTTCGGAACGAAGTGGGGTACTGTAGCAGCAAGACTTGATAGTGCCGCGTATACGTCCCCGACCATCCTCCGGCAAAGCGTCTTTGGATAGCTCATACCGGATATCGTCAGCGCATCCCATTCGGGATCAACCATCAGGTAATTGCTACACCAAAGGAGGGGCTCTGTGCAAGGACAGAGTGCAGCCTTGGATGAGCCTCGCTGCGGATTTTGGACTTTCCTAGGGCTTGGACAGATGCACCTTTCCCCTACTAATCAAATGTACTAAGGGACCTCGGCATCTCTCGATTTACGTGCTTAAGCATCGAACTTTGCCATTGAACACTTCATTTTGACTTACTATTAGTGACGACCGCTCAACATGACGATCGCCAGACCCAACATCGTCTTCATCATGGCTGATGACCATGCCGCCAAAGCCATTAGTGCATACGTGGCTGGCATCAATTACACCCCCAACATCGACCGGCTAGCGATGGAGGGTATGAAGTTCAATCATTGTTATGTTACCAACTCAATTTGCACGCCGTCACGGGCGGCCATTCTGACCGGAACTCACAATCATGTCAACGGCGTCATGACATTGAACGACAACATCAACAAGCATCTGCCCAACGTCGCGAAGCATCTAAGGACTGGCGGATACAGCACAGCAATGGTCGGGAAATGGCATCTAGGTGAAGGCAGAGCACACGAGCCGACCGGCTTTGATTACTGGTCCGTCCTTCCAGGACAGGGAGATTACTGGGACCCCGAGTTTATTGACGCGACTGGAAGGAATGCAGAGGAAGGCTACGTTACCGACGTAATCACCGACAAATGCCTGGACTGGATCTCGGAGACAAAGGATACGGGGAAGCCCTTTTTCCTCATGTGCCACCACAAGGCGCCGCATCGTTCATGAGAATGTGACGAAAAGCACAAGAATCTCTACACCGACCCGATCCGAGTCCCTGAGACCTACGACGACGACTATAAGAACCGCGCCAAGGCAGCGAAGGTGGCAAAGATGAGAGTGGCTGAAGATATGACATATCAAGACCTAGGGCTCGTGCAGCCGGACGGCGGGAAGAGAGTCGGCGAGAGGGTGGTGCAGGAGTCCGGGTCGGCGCAGCGCAAAGTCCCAGTTGATGCCAAAAGACTGATTGACAAGGAAAATGGGACAGTTTTCACCTTCAAGAGTAAGGATGACCTTGCTCACTTCAAGTTTCAGAGGTATATGCAGCGATACCTCCGTGTTATTCAGTCTGTCGACGACAATGTTGGACGCATGTTGAACTACCTCGAAGACAATGGTTTGGCGGAAAACACCATCGTGATCTATACCTCTGGTCAAGGCTTCTTCCTTGGCGAGCACGGTTGGTTCGACAAACGGTTCATGTACGAAGAGTCCTTTCAGATGCCGTTTGGCATCCGTTACCCTGCGGCGATTGCCAAAGGCTCAACCTGCAACGACATCATCTGCAACGTTGACTTTGCGCCAACATTCCTCGACTTTGCTAACCTTCCAATGCCGAGTTACATGCAAGGGGTGTCTTTCAGAGAGTTGCTACAGGGCAAGACGCCATCGAACTGGCAGCAGATCGCCTACCACAGATACTGGATGCACAACGACATCATCCATCACGCTTATGCACACTATGGTGTCAGGGATCAAAGATACAAGTTGATCTATTGGTACAATGAGCCGTTAGATGTCGAGGGCGCAAGGCCAGGTGGTCAGAAGGACAAGGAGTGGGAACTGTTTGACTGCGAGACAGACCCCTTGGAGCTGTTCAATGTCTACAACGACTCAGGCTATGCAGAAGTTGTGAAGCATATGACGAGGTTGCTTGAGCTGAAGATGGAACAGACTGGGGATGAACCAGTTCATCCAAGAGATCCAAGGGACAGTCTTGTAAGAGGGTCGATTGAGTTGGCCAGTAAACTGTGAGACGACTAGACTGAACTGTTGGGCCGCCACACAAACTATTTACAATTTTAACGATGTGTCGAGCGAGGGTCCTAGAGGAACATTGTCGGACATCGGAATTTCTATCCGTCCAACGTTAGTAGATAGCCCGATCTATACTCACGTCCGAAATTGAGCTGCTTGTTATACACTTATTTCAATTGTTTTTGGCTTAGTTTTGGCCCGTAGTAACCACCGCAGCCAGATGCGAGTTCAATTACGCGACAGTAAAGATGATGAATTTACCAACGGTGTTGCTTGTGGTAAGAAACCATTTACAGAACTGTGATCGAACGGGAATGACCGGACATGGCGGGGAAGATATGTGCAAGGTCTTTTGATGGGGTTCAGCCGTTGGATGGTTCGCCCAGCCCCGCAACTATCTGGCCCAGCAAGACCCAACCTAGATGTCGTTAACCTTCCCACTTCTGGCTTCATAGCAAACTAACTTGAGTAGGCAAGGTGCCTTTCTCTCCGCGTTCGCTTCTGTCAAGAATATCCACACAATCAGCCAAAGATTCGGTACTAAGGGAAGGGGAAGTCATATGGGGGATGCAAGAACCCTCTTCCATTATTTACCCTGCTTTAGGAAATCTTTCAAATAACTCTCCTGACGCATGCATACCGACCTTCATCGCAAAAACTAGCCTCTACTGACAGCCATCACTCGAAACCAATAGGTAGATTGGTTGAGTTGCGGCACTAGCTGCAACATGAGCCGGGGAGCGGGGATGATGCGCCAGGATACCATCGTTTCAAAGAAGAGATGATGGATTCGTTCATTGGTTGCTTCGAAGCTGGCCCAAGCACGACACGTCCGACATGTTGCCAATGCCGATGGCGCAAGGTAAGCGATTCCGTCAAGCGCGTGATGCTAGGTATTGCTGGGGATCCAGTCATGGTGAACATTGCATATTGACGTGACTCAAGGTTCGATGTGATGGCGGCTTTGACCGATCTTGTGGGACGTGCGCTCGTCTTGGCCTCGAGTGTTCCTATTCAACCGGTGTGGAAGCCGGGAAGGCTTCAGTCTTGAGTCATCGACAACCGATTTCAGACAAACCCCAACGCTTGCGAGACACGAGAGCATGCAGACCCTGCCGAGAAAAGAAGGTTCGCTGCTCAGGAACTTCGCCGCAGTGCACGAATTGCAAACGTCATGGTCGAGAATGCGCGTACACAACTCCTGCGCGCATAGTGCCAGCCCCTTCTCCACAGAGCACCTACACGGATGGAGACGAGGTTTTTGAGACTGAGATTGGCCAGTATCTCCCCGCCTCCGTTAAAAGTTTCTTCGAAAAGGTCTATCCACTCCCATCCCATGCGTTCTTGCATCCTGAGACGACTAGGGAACGCTGCCGTGAGGGGAAGATCGACCCGGCATTGGGGCATGCCATCTGTGCTTTGGCGACCCTTCACTCCGGTTCCGATTTCCAGATCCGCGACAGAGCAGCGGCTTGGGTTCAGACGGTGGAGCAAAGAATATGGCAGCACCTGGAGAACCCTACTATCCCGCGCCTGCAGGCTCTGTTGCTTGTCATTCGTTACCAGATGGAGACGTGGAAGTTTCAGAGGGCTTTCATGCTTACAGCTACCGCGGCTCGCTTTGCGGCAGCTTTGCGCTTGAATCACGAGCGGCCTGATTTAGACTTCGTTGCACAGGAGGTGCGTCGGCGAATCATGTGGTCCCTCAAGGTCACGGAACGATACTTCTCAGTCGGACTGCCCGAGTTTGAAGCATGCCCTATCGAGACGATATACCTGCAGTTTCCGCGTGTAGTCTTTGCGGCAGTTGACGCCGCATACGTCGCGTCATCTGAACAAAGCTGCTTGCTGCACGCCACCGCCATTATACAGATTCTGACGAATTTGAATCAATACAGCACCAGTCATCTTCTCTTGGAATTTGATGCAGCCATTTGCGCCTATCATGCAACCAGGCTCTTACTGTTCATCTCTCAGTCAGGGAGGGTCCCAGACTGCCCGTCTCCAGAGTTCGCCGTAAGCCGTGCTGCTCTATGCCTTGCTGCACTCAAGCGCTTCTTCCCTTCATCAGCATTGGCCAAGCCTATCATAGACGACATGGAACGCTTGACAAAAGGCCATGCACCACAGGAGAGCGGTATCGGTGGAATCTCTTCACCTGATTTCCAGGAGGGAAGTAGAAAATTGGACGAGCAACTCCCAGATGCAGCAAAGGCAAGACAGAGGTTAGCAATCCACAGCCTGCTGAGACAGGCAGATTTTACCGACGAGGACGACGGAGATGGATACTCGTCCTCTCTGTCTCATGCTGGTTTGTCTCCTGTCCTGACGAGATAGACTTCGTGAATTTAGTAGTAATGAACAAGTCAATGTCACCGGCGATTTAAGCTAGTCATCGCAGCGGTTGAATTTGTGGGCGGCCTTTTCGATCACGCTGCTCATAAGACTCAGGAGAAAATGATGTACTAAGGTCCTTTACTTCACTGACTACTGTTCTAACAACGGCCACCTACTATTAGACCAGTAACTCATCACCACGCAGGTAGGTATCAAGACTCCCTCGCAGTAACGTTCAAGTGACAAATTATGGATATTTAGCAAACTCAGATTAATGGCGACGTCTAGAGAAAGTGGGATATCATGTATTCATGTGGCAAATATGGAGATTTGGCACGCCTACGGTGTACAATGCATGGTCGGCGTGGTATATGAGCTCGAATTGTTAAAATACCCCCTCCAGGCCACCAAGAACGTAGTTACTCAACTGCATTTAGACTTTAGCAACCTCACACAAGTGAATTAAACAAGTGGATACATATCATTCTCAGCCCCTCCAGTCTGTAACTTTTCTTCGTTTCAGCTCGTCTTGAGGCGTCCCCGTTCTTTGGTTCCACAAAATGGGCTGTCTCAAGTGCCGTGTTGCAATGACTCAACCAATACTATCGACATTATAGATAGATTGTATATAGATATGTAAGTTGAGATTTTCATAAGACATAAGATGAACAAGTACGGACTCGAATCCCGTTATAGATGATAGTATTGGCTCAACTCATTGCACCATAGTTCCTCTTCCTGAAGATTACAACTACCATTCTTCATATTACCCAAATAACCCCCTTCTCATTAAAGCTCCCGAAAAATGAAGTTCTGCACCATAATCTTCTTAGTAACTTCTGTCGCCGCTGTTGCTCTTGACACCGGTGTTCCTCCCGAGCTCAGTCAGCCCGGCCGCCGAGGCGTCGACTGCGGTGCCTGTGATAGACTGAACTTCTGCCCTGGCAAGCCTAACAACAACGTGGAATGCGAACTAGATGGTTGCTGTAAAAGTTAAACTATCAGCTGGGTTAAGCTTCTAGAGGAAAAGGCCACCAAATTTGTGTATCTGCCTTCCAAATGTTACATATAAAAGTCACTAATATCAGTAGCATTTATTATGTATCAGACTCTTTATAGTTAGCGGATTTGTTAAAATCCATGGCAAGAACTCTGGATTCCGGGTTTCCAAATGATCTTGGTGTCTCTATATTGGTAGACTTCTGGTGGTCTCGTAGAAATCTGGTAAATTGCACAAACTAGAATTAGAACCATTACTTATGTGGCATTAAGTTAATGTGACATTCAGATTCTGAAGATCCTCAGTTTTGGAGCTACTTCCGATCCAGAAGTTGTACAGTCCTAGCTCAACATGCCACTCCCCATCAACGAAATATCCCAATTCGTCAATTGGAATATTGAAGTCGACTTGCTTAGACTCTCCCACTGTGTCATCGACCTTTTTGAAGCGGATTAACTTCATAACAGGAAATTCAATTTGGGTGTACTCCGGTCTGTAGTAGGGCTGTACCCACCTCCTTTCCTGAAACGCTTCCTGTGTTTGTTACCGTAGCGGCCACGGTCAATAGGCTGTTTTTTTCACACAGTTTGGCGGTGCTATTGTTGATTGTGTGACATCTTAATGATACCGCTGAGATGGTGAAAGTAGTGTAACTCATACCAAAACCGAATCTGATGGATGCATCGCGCGTCAGTTCCGGCAAGTGCCAGTCGAACTCAGTTGCAGTGCCAAAACCACCTTCATCGTCGGGAGGGAAAGTAATCGTAGGCAACGGGGAAAGCACCCTGAGCTTCGGGAAACGTTATGGTCAGCTTGCCGCTGGGATTGACGTCGCCAAACAGAATCTCCACAAGAGAGTCAGCTGTGAATTCTCCTGCAAGCCATGTGTGTAGAATTGCTTCCGAGCGCTTGGTCGAGTTGTTGAGTAAGAAGGTCTGGCCACCGCTGAGGACTAGAATGGTTGGCACACCAGCATCAAGAACCGCGTCCAAAAGTTGTTGCTGCAGGCCAGGAAAACCCAAATCGGGATGGCTGAATCCTTCTCCGTCGGTTCGATGCAACGATTCGTACGAGTTGTCAAAGAAACCCCAACCAGAACCGAGGACCACTACGGCCAAGCCAACTTCCTTTGCCACAAAAACGGCCTCATCAATACCCGAGCTATCATTTGTATCCAAGGTGTCAACCCCGGCAACGAATTTTACATTCTCAGCACCAAGTTCTTGCTCGAGGCTACGGCGGAAAGTGTTACCATAAGTCGGTTCAGCTGCGTTGTTTGCGGCGTATTGCCCGGTGTTGAGAATATCGGCACAAGGGACCAATAACGCGATTCAAGACACTTTGCCTCGTTGAATAGGAAGCGTGCTTTTGTTCTGGATAAGCACAATTGCCTCACGTGAGATATTCCTGTTGACCTCAAGATGCTTTTCATTTCGCAAAGTCGCGTTGAGGTTCTCGATTGAAGGGAGTGGCAGATCAAAGGTGCCGGTGGCGAACTTGATCTCAAGAATTGCTCTGGTAGATTCGTCAATCAAACTTGCAATTTCGGGGTCATTTACCGAGTTTATGGATTGGAAAGACAGATGGAGGTCGTGGAGACAGCTCGTGTTCCAGGCCGCCGCGAAGGGCCTTCAGACCAGCATCTGAGAAGGACTTGGCAACCTTGGATTGCGTGTACATGTTCCGGATGGAGCCGGCATCGGACATAATTAGCCCTTTGAAGCCTAGCAAGTCTCGAAGGGTCTTCTTGTTGAGATATTTGTTCATAGACATGGGGATCTGGTCGATGCTTGCGTAGGAAACCATTAGGGACATAGGGCTGGACTCCTTTAAAGCTTTGGCGTAAGGAGCGCCAATGTCGTTTAAAAGGTGGTTCAAACCTCCTTGCATGCTGGCCGTGTTGACGCCGCCGTTACTAGACCCATAAACCCAGTGCTTAATTGTTGTGGCGACTTTGACAAAACCGTTCTCGTCCTTCTCCTGCATCTTGTTGATGTAGTGTGTGGCAAACTCGCAAACAATGTACGGATCTTCGCCAAACCTGTTCAGCCTGATTAATATGAGCCCAAACTAATTGCGCTGAATTGCTGACATCTCGCCATTCCGACCATTTCTGGGATTCTTCGCAAGGTCAACCTCAGGCGACAAGACCCAATGAGTGCCCATAGCAACATTCTCGTCTCGAATAGCGGCAACAGCTTGCTCGTAGAGCGGAATGTTCCACGTTGAGCCCATTGAAATTGACCCAGGGAACAGGGTGCCACCGGATATCATTAGTCCGTTGACAGAGTCCGCAATGGTGATATACGGAATGCCAAGTCTCCTGCTCTTGATCTGCTCTGCTCGGACTTTGTTCGCAATGGGCAACAAGTCCTGAGCATAATTCTGAGGTGCCCCAAATCTTGATATGATTTAGTAAAAGAGTCCTTGGAAAGTGATCTAGGAGGGTGTAGCCGTACCGATCTGTCCATTTTGTGTCTTTCGAATCTCCTCGAATGAAGTCTCGTTATATAACACCTTGCCACTCACAGTCTCCGCGAGTCTTCGGATACCACCCAACTGGCCTACGTTCTCCTCCCAGGTCATAAGTCGAAGTAGGTCATCGGCTCGTTCTTTGGGAGAGAGTGTTGGGTCCGGATATGCCGAGCCGTTGGCCGCAGAAATAACAGCGGCAAGGCCAAAAGCAGGACATAATGCCACAGCGAAAAATGAGGCTACTGCTTTGACTATCCTGACTTCAAGCTTCTCCAATATCCAGAACAACGCATTGAAGTTCAGGTATCTGTGAGTAGACAACCACGTCGATCGGTTTTATCATCAGGCTCATTTGAAGTTTATACCCATCGTTGCTTAAGCATGTCAGTGGTGTCAATTCCCTGCCGGTATAGTAGCCAGAATGAGCGGTTTACCTATCGGGGTTGTTCTCTCAGCTTGAAAAGCAGGACTAGACCAACACTCCCCACTTAGTCGGTCAGGGCTCCGAGAGTGTAACATCGGATGTCGGCCGGCAGTCTCAAACGGGGAAAGTCCAATAGAGATTATCCCAGCTAGTCCCGCTTATACCATACTATAGAGATGCTGTCATCGCGCTCGGAAATCAGCAACTCCATCAATATTGTCCATCGATATCTCTCATCATCGACCGGTTACTAACGGGTCTCAAACTTATTTCCGGCTGACGTTTATCATAGCACTTCGTCTAAAGCACTGGTGATTTACCACTGTTTCCACCCCCAGATATCGGACCAGCCTAACGAGCAACGCATATTTTCTAATCGCTTACTGCTCCTCGACATACTTATTTCGTCCAATGCTCTTCTGAGACAAGTTTAGTACGAGTGACAATTTAGTTAATTCTGATCTACTAATAAGCGTAATAGCCTAGAGTTGCGATATGTTCTACTTTCAACGGATCGGAAGCGCCCCAGAATCTCTCCGTGGTGCCGAGGAAAAGATTTCTTTCAGCTTGTCATCCAACCACTTGACATCGTCGAAGTTCCCCGGAGGACCTCCGGCCCAATGTCCCCAGATAGATGGGAAGACCGCCAATTCACCAACACCCTCAGTCATGCACTCGACCTCAATTTCGGAATCCTCGGGGCTGGAACTTTTAGTAATGGTATAATAAAGTCACCGCGGATGACTTACGGAAAGTAGAGATCAGTCTTAGAAGGCAGCACCAAAGTTTTTGCCTTGATGCTCGCCATGGCCTTCTTGAAATCACCATTGTAGGGTTCCTGCTTGCTCACATCGGCGCTTTGCCACGTATGAATCATGACAAGGAGGTTTTCGGGGTCCTTGCTTAGAGCCCATTTCTCCCAGAAGCTCTGGAGAAATTCTTCAAGGTCTTGGGATTTGTAGTGCTCCTTGTAGACTTCTTGTCGGTAAAATGCTTGGGAGAAGCCCCATCCAGCATACCCACGACCAAATGCCTTCAGGCCGGTTTGCCTTTCCTCATCTGACCATACTCTAATAGACTTGTCGTCGGCGGCTGCAATGCAACCCTTGCTACTCCCAGCCGAGCTGATCTTCTTCGCAGCAAGGAGAGCTGACTTGACTCCTTCTAAGAAGACTTGGTTATGTAAAGCGCACTTGGCTGCACCGCAGAAAGGCACGCAGATGTCCATGATGTCAGGGTATTGTGTCGCCCATTGATATGACTGAGCAGCGCCCATAGACCACCCCAGAACTGCTCTCAGATGCTTGATTTTGAGTTCTTCGGTAACGAGCTGATGCTGTGCGCGCACGTTATCGTAGAAAGAAACGTTAGGGAACGGGTTGACATCGGAGTTGGATGGACTAATGGACTGCCCATTGCCGAAAAGCGCAGGAATGATGATGAAGTACTTTGACGGGTTAAGAGTCTTGTCATCTCCGACTAGCCACTCGTTGTCCGCAATGGCACCGGAGAACCACGTGGGATAGACGACAGCTGGCAGGGAAGGTTCGCCGAAGGTCTTGTAGGTAATCCAAGCTCCAGGCAAGGTTTCGCCGTTCTGGAGCTTGAAGTCACCGAGCACGAATTTCTTGGTATCAGTCATGGCAGGCGAGGACGTATTCTTCTGTCGAGTGTCAGAACTGTGCTGAGGTGCAAGTTTAAAGGCTTTTCGTAATAGAAAATGGGCTTGTGGTTGATCGCGGAAGAGGGGAACTCCACATCCGCCGAGATAACGACGCCCTTATCTTCGTCGTCACCATCATGCCGCCGGCCACATACACCTAAGTCCCAAACCCCGCACTTTAGTAGGCAGCTTGGTGGCTTTCTGTTGGGGCTTTGATAAGCCAAAAGTCTATGAGCTATTAATTTAGCATGAACTGGTGGCGCCACACTCCGCTGTCCATGGGGCATTCACCTCCCGCACCCGCTCAGTTTGCAATGGCTGCTTTTATTTGTTACCGCTTACAGTGGGTGGAGTAAGTAGCAGGCGAATGTGAGTGGGTGGGCAAAGGCTCATTACGACTTCCAAGATTCATGGTAACGGTTTCTGCGTTTTAGGGACCTGCTTATAATTTGTAAGAGGACTTAGTCTAACCCCCCTGGGATCAACAAGCCCTTGTAGCAGAAGATCAGTTTGCCTCGGTTGCATCCCGACTCGATCCCCAATAGGCTGGCTTTACTTCCTGAACGTTCAATAAGCATAGGTACGAAAGGGCACGAGATGTTGCACTCATGCCACATGTTCTGACTAGAGTCGCTATTAACTAGAAATCAACGTCAGTCTACCCTCGTGCGGGGTAGAACCAATGAGGGCATACGGTTCCATTTGAGTTGGCTAATGAATAATAGCCAAGTTCTCTCACACTTCTATTCTTTCTATATTTGAGTCATACCAGAGGTGCTGGCCTTCCAATTGTTTACACAAGCCACGTCAAACCTCGGTGAAAGATAGAGCGGAGTGGAATGAGAAGATGGAAAAAAAACATGGAATTGATGGTGAAGGGGGCGAGAGTGTAGGTAGAGACCGGTACGAGACCTGCACTTGGACCCATCACTAGGACTACTGAAAAAAGAGGAGTAAAACTTCCAGCGGAAACATAAAGTAGGTTTCAAAGCAATCTCTGGAAACAGTCGTACATGTTGAGGTTCTTTGGTATTTATCACTGGTGACTGGTGACCCATTTCATGCTTGCAAATGATAGAATGATTGGTCAATGTCAAGGATTACCCGACCTGCCATCTGATCTATCTAACGCTTCATAGATTGAGCCAGAACATGGCGACCAAGGTGGTTAGTTACTTTGAGCGGGAGGCAGTTACCTTATCACCTTGTTGTCATAATGTCGAAGTCCTGCTGCTGGTAACTTAGTTATCTTTTCCGGGCCATAGCGCCATATTCTATGATAGACAATGAAATCACATACTAGAGAAAGTGGGTACAAATGAATAGCGCATGGTCGTTCTTGTGTGCGATGAGCAGTGGGCCTAGTCTTTGACCGAGTGGGCAATCCAGTTCCAATGGAGGAAATTTCTGTCACATAATAGATGAAGCCAAGAACTCTCTTACTCCCATGAACTTCCGACTGACTCGAAATGAGGGCGAAGCAGTTGAGTCGAGCTTTCAGTCTCCGAGTGTTTTCGGTCATCTGATGTCTCTCGGCGATGCAGGACAAGACTCTAGGGAAAGAAGGTGCTGTTGTTATTGGTGGGTTTCACTCAAGCTTATTATTTCAAGATCAATCGATGCGGAGTCGGTACCTGGAGCAGTTGGACACGGTCAGCTCATGCTAGCCAGCAAAGCGTTGCGTGCCAGGCGAGCGGGATATGAAATGCCTGCAATAGCTGGCAGCTATTAACCTTCCTTCTATGTTTAAGGTGCCTCTCGGTTGTGTTTCCGTATGGCTCTCTAGCGAAGATGACTATTTGTCCCATTCGTGCAAAATTTTCAGCCGTGAAGATCACCGCTCACTCGGGCGATATGAGGTAGGAGGGGCGGGATTAGAACCAGTTGCATCGTCGTTGAAAGACTGGGAACAGGCGCATGTTTGAAATGCAAATGTGCACGAATGCTGAAGGATTAGACGGCAATTCTACCATCGCGGGCCGCTTCGGTATTAGACCTGCAGCTGTACGAACCAGAACGTGCATGAAAAAGCTGGGGGAAGCTGGGGTACATCGTCGGTTGTCTTCAGCTGCAGCAACGCCCACGTCATGACAACGTCGTCCCCGTGTTTTATTGATCTTTGCAGCAGAGGAGCTTATTACACATACACATGGCCTTGCGTGACTTTGAAATCTTATCATCTGTCAGGTCTCCTGCTCTCCGCTTCCAAGGATAATCTGTCGGTACTATATTGGTTCTCCTTTAGTAAGATTATCTTCGAATATGAGCCGTTGAATAGTGAGGCACAAGGCTCCTGTGTAGTAGCGCGCCAAGGCCGAATGAATATAAGCCTCTCGAGGCAATCGCCTCGATTGGACTGGTGAGAGGCGAGCATGCCACAGAACCCAGATTCAATGGGCGAAGCACAGCGTGCCGGTAATTGTACTCCTGCTCTTACGCAAGGCAAGAAGATGCAGAGGTGAAAGTGGGCAGTGAAACCACGCGGGGATTGGAAAGAAAAGTTTGCGAGTACAGGATGCCAATGTTTAGAGGCTTGGCGGTCTATCCCCTTTTAATAGTGCAACGTGCCAAGGTTGCGGGTAGATGCAAAGGTCAATCACCGCCCCTCTCATTTTGTCTCTGACGGCTTTGTTGTCGTACAGTACAAGAGCTTAGTGTTAATCGCCCACCATCGTCCAACGAGCAACAGGGAATTCAAGTGTAGAGACTGTTTGGCGTTTCCGTTGCGCTTCAGTTCAGAACTATCAGTGCGAAAGAAAACATCAAAGGCACGAATATACCAGAATTCTGCAAAAAAAACATGCATAGCTGATTTCGTCCTATCATAGCCAGGAATTTCTTCTAACCGTTCAATAGTCTTCCAGATGCCCACTCCATAGATCAGCAACGGGTCTGCTTAGAAAGGTGGCAACTCCTACCGGGCTTGCACGGCGGTGGTCGCGTTTGAATTATTCCTCCAACAGCCGGTCCTCGCTCATATATACCAAATCTTGGCGTTCATCTATCTCTGGTGTGCCGCGCGCAAAATTTACTTGGGCTCATGACTTGAAACACATGAGATGGCAATACTAGCGCAGGGCCACACCTTCGGCGTTGCTTGCACGCTGTTCGGATGGGGCCCGATAGGTTCATTTATTCTTTCTAGGGTGATTTTAGCTAGTCACTAGCAACGGCAGCCGACTGAGCCTATTGCCGACCCTTGCACAACCCCAATCAATTTCAAGATTGCCATCCAGAGTGCTGTAGACTGCGTGTTTGCCCCGCATAACAGAGTTGCTCTGCAAGATCCGCCTGCTCGCCCATAGTGCTCTTTTTGGAAGTGAAGCCATGCCCAGTCACCTGGTTCAGGTATCCTGGTCGACTTAGGATGGACAAGACGTGATCCTCATTCACTCGCGCCGGTCCTGTCGACGTAAAGGCCTTCTTAGGGCCAATCACACTTCTTTGTGTCTGACTATGGCTAGAGTTCCGTCCACGGACTTTTTTTCCTGAGTGCCTGGCACCCTGGAATGAATTCGAGGTTACCCTGGCTCTTGCATATGGCGAAATAAACGAGGGCTTGGATGGTAACAGAGGCTACATGGAGTTGGGAATGCCCGACCATGTACACTAGCTGTCAGCGTGGGGTCGCCTGCCTTGCACTTTCGAGCATCACGAATGACACCATCTACTCAAACTAAGAAGCCAAGGCTCGAAGTCCATTCGCCTATATAAGCCATCGCCATCGACACATCAGGTCACCAGCCCTTCCCATTTCCCATCGCGCATCCTCAGTCTTTCATTCTTTCTTCTGCCCATCCCGTTACTTCCAACTTCGGTAGTGCTAGTCACCTGCTTTCCACTTTTACATCTCATTCTATCTGAACCCCACGCTCATCAAACAACGACTTCCAACAACCATCAAGATGAAGTTCTCCGCTGTTGCATTCATGGCCGCTGTGGCCGCGGCTTCCCCTACCAACATTATCAATGCCCGCAACGAGCTTGCTCTCCGACAGGCCGCCGAGGCTTGCAACATTGGTTACTGTACCAGAATGGCGGTACTACTGGTGGTGCGGGCGGTTCCAGCGTCACTGTCAAGACTGTCGACGAACTCATCGCCGCCGCCAAGCGGACAGGCCCCCTTACCATCGTTGTCTCTGGCGCCATTTCCGGCAGCGCCAAGGTACGCGTCTCTTCCGACAAAACCATTATCGGAGAGAAGGGAAGCTGTAAGTAGATCCGGGCCTACCGTGGGGTATACAACCATGAAAATAGTACAATACTGACTGACCCCTTAGCCCTGACCAATGTCGGTCTGTATGTCCGCCAGGTCAAGAACGTCATCATCCGCAACCTGAAGATTGGTGGTGTAAAGGCCTCCAACGGAGATGCGATCGGCATCGACGAGTCCACAAACGTCTGGGTTGATCACTGCGACCTTTCTGGCGACCTGAGCGGAGGCAAGGACGACCTTGATGGTCTTCTTGACGTTTCCCACGGCGCTGACTGGATTACCGTCTCCAACGTCTACTTCCACGACCACGTAAGGCCTCTGTCCATTTCATCTGCTCTCTATCGCGGATAACAACTAACACATGCACTTAGTGGAAGGGATCTTTGGTCGGTCACTCCGACAGCAATGGCGGCGAGGACAAAGGCAAGCTCCATGTCACTTACGCCAACAACCACTGGTTCAACATCAACTCCCGTACTCCCCTCGTTCGCTTCGGTACCGTCCACGTGGTCAACTCATACTACAACAAGCTCCTCCTTACCGGTGTCAATACCCGCATGGGTGCTCAGGTCCTTGTCCAGAGCACTGCCTTTGCCAACAGCCCTGCCGAGGCTATCTTCTTCGCCGACTCCAAGGAAACCGGCTACGCCGTTGCCGAGGATGTTGACCTTGGCGGCTCCAAGAACTCTGCCCCTAAGGGAACCCTTACCTCTGCCTCGCTCCCCTACAAGATCGCTGCCATCGGTTCCAGCAAGGTTGCCAGCACCATTCCTGGCACCGCTGGCCAAAAGTTGTAGCGAGCGTACTGGAACCAGATGATGTGGTTAACTCAATATTTCTTTGTACATACTTGACTCAGTATATATGAGTGGTGACGATGGCATGTTGACATGCACCTTTACCGTATACATATTATGGGGCCGAATGTTTCTCCACTGCTGGAATCTTTGGATGCATTGTATATAAATTTGACGTCTATTATCGAGCCCTAACAAGCTTATCTCGACTGGCTTCTACACTGCTCATGTAATTACGAATTTGGAGCAGTGACCATGACATGGCTGCAATATTGGGTTGAATGCAACATTCTTGAAACTTTCTCGTGCCACCTGTAAGGTCTGATGATGCAGTGATAGCCAGACAGATGAACCGAGTGTGATCTTCTATTTACAAGGCGGGAATGGTACCTTACTCACCCTTTTGGATCCGGGGAAAGCAAAGCCATACAATGGCAACCACAGCAATAAGGGATAAGACGATGGGCTGGAGCACCGTAACGCCCTTGCTGGTCGCAATGGCACCAATGATGAACGGGAACACCGTTCCACCGGTGCCGCCAATGGCCATAGCGAAGCCGATTGCACTGACATGAATATGTTTCGGAAGAAGTTTGGCCGTCATCATGACAGCCCCGGGGAACATCGGTCCTAAGAAGAACCCGAGAAACGCAACAGCAATAGCTGAGACAATGAACTGTGGTACCAGCCAAAAGAGAAGCTGGAGAGCGATGCAGATGACCAGGTAGATACTGATGCAAAGCCTTTCCCCAAATCTCTCGGTTACAAAGCCCAGACATGCCCGACCAAGAGCCTGTCCTGCCCAGAAGCCTGTGGCAGAAACACCAGAGGCATAGGCAGACGCCTTGCGGACACGAAGCATAAAGGTGACAATCCAACCACCAAGACCAACTAAAGACGGTGTTAGGCATGTGTGGAAAGAGGTGAATTTCCTAGCCGTTGCCAAAACATACCTTCGACACCCATGTAGGCGAAGAAAAAAATGGAGCAAAGCCAGGTAACTTTGGACTTGAGTGCGACTCGAGTGCCAGCGCCTCCTTGGCCCTCGTTTTCGTGTGCGTGTTCTGCGCGGTACACAGCACCCGTCTTTGGCCAGAACGTGACGACAAGGCCAACGAACTCAAGAACAGACGCGCCAATCTGCAGGATCGTCAGAATCACTGTGCACATCAAGTTTTTATGAATTTTCGACTCACCATGAAATAGTAATAGTTGTACCATGGTAACTGAGCAGTGACTACCATCGACGTGGCAATCAATGGGGAAATGAGGGCGCCCACAGAGTAAAAGGAGTGAAGGAATCCTTGGATCGTGTTGGCCTTATCCATGGCGCCGATCCACGCACAGAAGCAAGCATCAGTCAATCCGTTACCAAAGCCGCTGACTATGTTGGCCACCACGAGCACTGGATAGGGAGGGTGCAGGGCGAGAACAACGTAAGTGACGATGTGACACAGCGGAGCCATGATAGCGACTCCTCGTTGGCCGAACTTCTGGTGGATTCTAGCATTGGTAAAAGCTGCAACTGAGTAGCCGGCGAAAGGCGTCAGGAAGATGAGTGAGACAATGGTGTAGCTTAGGTCGTAGTAGGTTTCGAGCTGTCCACGGCTAAGGATGGCTGGCAAGCTTTCAAGGCAAAACGACGGAACTTACGTATGGAATCAAGGCCTATGTTGTGAGTACGTGTTCCTGATGCAGGGGGCTGGAGAACCTACACCAACTGCCGCATCATTCATGCCAGCAATAATGAAGGAGAAGAAGGCGAACCCCAACCTGCCAATGTTGCCCTTGGGTGAGTTCCACCGCTCGACAGTCCCGTAGGCGTGCGGCGGAGGATTATCCTCTGGAACATCTGCCGATTGACGTTCCTCAGGGCCATTCCGCTTCTGTGGAATATCTCCGAGTGATCGGCCATGACTGGAACTCACACGACCAAGCTCGTAAGCTTCTGGCCCAAGATGCTTGTGTTGCTGCGTCTCGGAACGCGTCTCAATGGCAGTCTGCGACATGCTGACTGTGATAAAATCAAGAGCGGTGTTATCGATGGAGTTTATCCAAGGAAACCAAACAGGGTCGTTAAAGCGATGAGATGCTCTAGACTAATCCAGCATCGGCAGAAGGTGCAAATATGGCGGTCTTAAGTGGCGCGCCGGCGAGGTGGGCGGAGCGGGGGAATGACGGGAACCTTTGCCCCGACAATTGCCCGGCCGACCTAGGGTCTCATTCAGAGTCTGACGCGGAGCGCTAGCGGAGTATCGCTCAAGTACTCAGGTAGTATAATTTCGGTATAGTGGGGACCCCTGTAGTGAGAAGGCGGGTTTAACAGGTCGTGATTCGCGGCTCTGTTCGGACCTGATGCTTGGCTGGCTCACAGACAGCGATTCTCTCCACACAGTCGACATAGTCACTAAGCCTTGTTAACATTAGCGACCATAAAGTACAATACATGCTATTAAAAAAAAAAGCGTAGTCATTCTTTAGTTGAAGAAGGGAGCGGCTTGTCGAAGAGGCTCTGTCGGTTCGTGCCTTTCACCAAAGGCTTAGCATTCAATCATCTAATCCAGCCCTTCAATGATGCTGTTTCGAGCATCATTCACCTCTAAAGCCCGTTGACGAAAGGCGAGGGAGTGGGTTAAGCTAAACTACCTCAATATTAGAAACGACAAACTTTTGGTTCATTCACTTGCTAGGCAAATCTTCATATCGCAGCTTTCCAGAAACTAACCGAAGGAGTATGTCCCTAGTCCACTCATCGTCCTTCTTGAAACTCCATTCTTGGATTCTCCCAAGCGCAATTTTTATTTCCAAAGCATCCTTCTCTGCCTTTGCGATGCCCTTCTCCCCACCCTCCGGAAGCGGAATAGCCTCGTCATACATGTCGTCTTCCGGATTTATCATATAGTCCCCACTATAGCTCATGTCAAACATGTTATAGGCGATGACGCTCGAAAGATCTGCGATTGCCTTAACTAGGGCCCTGCTTCCGCTGCTCTCTTGAATGATTATGCGTAGATATGCGGCGCAAAAGGCGGGCAAGGGCACTGTGAAGATTGTGCCGGAAGGTAGATGATGCTTGGGTGTCGGAATGACTTCCAGTTCATCTTGGTCGATGCCAGTCCAAGAGAGAGGGAGCAGGATAAATCGGTGCATAAGGTCACCGAGGACGTATCGAAAGCCTTGGTTCGCGAACTCGGAGAGATACGCTGGCGAGTGATCGCTTTGATAAGCGAGACGCTGGCTGCTGGCCGCGGTGATGTTGTTTGCGCTTTGAAGTTGGTCGTCCGGGATGAGAAATATCAAATCCTATCAGAGTCAGCAATTCGGGGTCTCGTGCACACATAGTAGGAAAGTAGGATTAACCTAATATGACTGACCAACTTGGATGCCAGTGGATAGCCTAAGCGGCTCAACAGTGGGGTTTCCCATTCAATAATCGTGATCTTAGACTTCTGGAAGCCCTCGAGTGCTTGGAGGACGCGAGGATCTAAGTCGGTCTGCATGTTGTTTGCAGGATGACACGAGCCCTGGGAGATTGTGAGATGGATATAGAAACAAGTCAAACAATGCTTTCAAAGGAGATTGAAATGTAATAGTGGACGGCGGGGGTGGGGCCGGAGGAGTCTTGTCCGTTTATAAATATCCTTTACACTATGTTGGTGACTGAGCCTGTTGCCACGATACGTACAAGTCCTTCATTCGACCTTTGGTTCCAGCGAAGCTTAGCGAATTTCTTCCAAGCATCTTGGAGAAGCCGGTGTGCACAGATTCAACCATCTTGTTGACAACTTCTGTACCATAAAGGTGTGCATCTACTTTGGCAATCTCAGCAATCTCTCGATGAAACACCTTCTTCCGCTCCGCCACATCTAACGTCGGTAATCGGTCCATCGCCATGCCAGCGTCAGAGCACTGCTGCGTCGTCTACTGATTATCATATCAAAAAATTTCACCACTGAGAGAGTATGAAGTACTCTACTTGTTGTGGAATCCCCGGGTTTCTAGACACATGCTATATGAGGATCGGGATGTAATTGTGTGCTCTCACCAACTTACCCCAAACGTGATATTCAATGTTAGCGACAAGCCGAAGTGTCTTCCTTCAATGGCAGATATACATTATTGAAATTCAGCTGCTGGACACGAGGATGTCTAGCTGCTGATACAGTTATCAGGGCATGATTTAGTGCTGGGTTCCCTATGGTTGCAGAGGCCATATATAGTAGCATTCAAGTTGCGTGGGCCCCTCCTGTTCTTGGTTTGCTGGCGGTTGGACTATTCCCCGTGCCCATCATGTTTTGAATTTCTGGCGCACTGGTCCGAAGATTGAGTTGATATGCCCAGGACATCAGCTCTTCGACTTGGTCAATTTGATTCGTTAAGTAATTCCTTTAGGACCGGCCCGGGTCATGAGACCTCGGGTGTAAATCATTCCTGAAGGGGCGTTCTTTTATCGTAGTGAATAAAGCTTTCCACTGCGGGGAAGACGGTTTTGTGGACATTGGTGAATTGACATTAGTCTGGGAGAAACTCTACAATCAGACAACTAGGGGGGTATAAGTTGAAGTTGGCTTATTTGTATTAACAGAACATCTCATATTTAGGGTGGTTGACGGGCGCCAAGGCCTTAAACTTGGCAGTCCAGGTCGTGCAATCAATTTTTCGGCACCGCCGATTGAGTCGGGTTCCACGAAAAGAAAATCATGTTTTTCCCAAGTCAGTTTTTGTGTATTGAGAGGACTATTGAGTCTTTTTCGATCAACAAGGAGGGTTGCGAGGAGCGAAAGAAGACTTTGAAATTAGAGACATCTGGGATGGCCCTGCTGAGTCATTTACATGTTCTGGAAGGCCGCTTGCCAGAGGCACACGCCATGTGTGGTGCACAACAAGATCTTGGGAAGTTAAGTTCGGGTGGGGAGTAGTATTCAACTATCTGATAAACACAGCTTCATCGCCCACTACACAGCTTTGTTTGAATGGATCCAACTTTCTAACTTCCATCATCAATTCGCCTCCAAATGGCTTTCCGGCCCATTTTGCTTACCATCGCGTAGGTTCTCCAACTTTCCATGCGCTCACGTCCGGTCACTAGCTCACCAACCACAGCACGTGCGTCGCTAGCTCGGTAGCATCCATAGCAAGCTGCCAAGGGGAGTACTACCCTGGGGTCTGCCAAGATGCCAGCGCACCTGGCCTCACCCACGACGGAATTACTGAAAGCTGCTGCCAACCTCCCCACGGCACAACGGATTGTGATGTTCACGGAGTATTCGTATGGACCCATTTGCTACTTGTCGCAAACAATGAGTTTTGAAGCTCACGAGTTCTCCGCAGTGTTGCGTTAGAGGAACCGCTGAGAATATCGAATATCTGAATGCGTGCTGCTCAGCCAGCGGCCAGAGGGACATCATTCTCAATCACGCCGGGAATCTCTGATGTTAAAGAAGGACCACTCCATAAGGGATTTTGGAGCCTAGGTGGCAGGCATAAACAAAAGTTTGATCATTTCGAGACAGAGGCAAACGAATTTACGACACACAAATACTTTTAGGTAAAGGTTTATCGTTCTAGAAGTGTACAAAGACTTATCTCTTTTTACAAGACAAATCAAACAATTTCTTTACGGTTTATCATTTGACTTAGGTTCTATAGCCATGAGTATACCTTTAGCGGATGCTAGGAGGCCTGAGCCTGTGGGTGCAGAAGTCTAGAGAACCTTGAATGGGCTAGACCACATCCTTAACACAGCTGGAGAAAGCTCTAAATAAGATGTTTCGATTGTAAGCAAAGGTCTGGGGAAAGTTCTCTGAAGCCTTCACTGAATTTGATACTGGAGTGTCCAGCTGCTGGCTGCGAGTGTCAAGCACCATGTGGTGTTAAGGGAAAGGACGTGCCGGGGAATCTAAACGCCGAAAGTGCGAAGTGTATCTCCGGGCGCTTAAATGACGCGAAGATGATCCATGAAAGAACGCCGGTCTGTTATTGGGCCGAGCTGGAGCTTGCATTACTCAACCTTACCTTCTCACCTCCCACCTCCAATCACCCTCAGCTTCAGACGACGTCAAATTCCCGGTACAGCGCCGACAAAACCCGTGCAGGCCGTGCTGTGTTCCAAGACAGCTTCACCACAGCGTGCATATACGCAGATATGCCTGGACACGGCCTTCTGTTCTTCATTCCTGGCAACCCAGGACTCGTCGACTACTACACCGACTTTTTTGACGCGCTCAAGGTCCGCATATGCTGGGCTGAGGGCCACATCCACATCCACGGTCGCGATCTCTTTGGTTTTCGTGATGATAGCCATGAGCCCTTCAGCAAAGACAACCCGCCGTACGACGTCGAACGCCAGATTGAGCTTGTGTTTGATCATTTGGCATCACTGAGACGGACGGACTCGTCGCGGAATGCGCCGGGGAAGAAGGGCGAACCATATGACTTTGTCGTTCTAGCGGGTCACTCGGTCGGTAGCTATATCGCCCTCGAAATCTTCCATCGGCATATGAAGGATCCATCGCGTGCGCCTCATCTCAAATTGCAAGCAGGCATGCTCCTCTTCCCCACAGTCACGCACATAGCTCAGTCGCCGAGTGGGAAGCGATTTGATCTCCTCCGCACGACACCGTTTCTCAACAACACGGCGCATGTTATTGCCCAAAGGTTTCTGAATCTGTGGCCGGCGGTGGCGCTCCGATGGTTCGTCGGCACCGTACTCGGCTTTGGGGCCAAGGCAGCCGATGTCACTACCAAGTTCCTGAAGAGTCGGGACGGGGTGTGGCAAGCGATTCACATGGGGAAAGATGAGATGAGGGTCATTACCGAGGAGAAATGGGACAAGGAACTATGGGAGGTCGAGGAAGAAGATGTAGGCGCTGGCGGGCGGGCTGCTCCGAGATTCTTCCTCTTTTTCGGAAAGAAGGACCACTGGGTCGGCGATCATTTCAGGGACCATTTCATCAGAGCCCGAGAGAAGCATATTGAGAATGGATGGGCACGAGTTGAGATTGATGACATAGGGCTCCCTCATGCCTTCTGCGTAACTGAGAAGAATAGTGAGGTCATCGCTGGCAAGGTGGCAAACTGGCTCAAAGAGGTTTGGGATGGCTTGGCACAGCCAGCAGCATGAAGAAAACCACATCATCAAGTCATGAACAGCGGCTAGTATAATTATTAAACAATAGACAATAATGTGTTCTTTTCAAGCCATATTTTGACCGCTCGTAGTCTTGTACACGATAAGATAGCAAGGTACTGCGTCTATTCTCTCTCCGTCACGAAAATTAAACAACGATAGTCTGACGACAATCTAGATTCATAATACCCTTACCCGTTCTGTTGAAGAATCTAGGTCGGCATTGGCCTTCCGATCTGCATGCTCTGAACACTAGCAGTCTGCGTCATGATTAGGCAGGGGTCAGACTATAGCATTCTCAACGAGATCTTACCTCTGCCTCGGCCTTGACTTTTCTCCTCCTCATCAGACCATAGATAAAGGCTCCCATGGCCAATAACGACACGCCAGCTATCCCATGTGTGAGTAGATGTTTACATTTCGATTGATTGCGAAAGTGGACTTACCAACACCACCGAAAACACCTAGTAAGACGACTGCGGTAGGAGTGCCTGCAGCACCTTGCGGCGTGCTCGATGCTGATGCTGATGCCGAAGACATTGCAGAAGTAGCCGAAACCAGGGGCGGCACCGGCAATGCGCCTGATCCCAATAGGGGAGTCGTTATGCCGCTCACAGGAGGCGGAGGAGGCGGTGCAACTACCGGCGGCGGCGGCGGCGGAGGCGTACTCATAGGAGGGGGTGGGGGAGGAGGGGGTGGTGATGTTGTCTGTGGTGGAGTTGGCGGTAGAGGCGGCGGCGGCGGCGGAGGATTGCTTGGTGGTGATACTGGAGTCGCAGTCACTGTTACTGTCGTTGGGACCATGATCACGACAGTCTGGGTCGCAGGCGGCGGAGTCACTGTCACAAAAATGGTAACTGTCGGTACATTTGCGTTGTTGTTTGGAGGCGGGCTTGCATTGGGCACAACTGTTGCCGGCACTGGTGTCGCTTGCGGTTGTCCGGCAATAGGTCCCAAAACCGATAGTAGCTGATTCGGATCCAAAGGCAGTGCATTGAAGTCAGGAACAGTAGCTTGCATGGCACCAGCGTCGAAGGCTTCAGTATTGGCGGTCTCGGCATCCCTCATCTGTCGACGCACCTCCTGCGGCTCCTCCTCACGGTCGACGGCGTGGTTGTTTTCCATATCCGTGGCTTTTAAGAACCCTTCACTGTTGTGGCTTTGATCCTTTGGTAGCCAGTTCCTCTACTCTTTCCTCTCGCGATTGCGACTTTATCCGGAATATCGAGGTGTGGTCTAGAAACGAATGTCCTAGTCGGTAGACGAGCCGAAAGATAGTGGCGCACTTGCAAGCGTATCACGGATGAGCTTGCTTTGCTAGTCCGGTAGGGAGGCACCGATGAAAGGGTCTTGAATGTTACGCAGGAGAAGTCCGGGGATGCGAATGAGGTGGAACCCATGCACTTCTTATTTAGGCCTTTGCTCGTCCTTCCGATCATTACTTGGGTTGACTGGCTTTCATTTGACTTTTGGCTCGTGTCAAACTCACGCGGCCGAGGTGCCGCCACTCGGGCCCTCTCGCGCTGTTCTACGGATTGATGATATCCAAATGAGGTAAGTGGGTATCAATCTTTCTACTGGGTAGTGGGAGGTCGGCATGTCAAGGACTGGGTGCCATGATATGGTGGCCGAAGAAGGGAAGAAAAGAGAGAGTGGCTTGGGGTGGGCTTCGAGAGAACGTGCGCTCCTCAAATGTCCCCTCTTGCTTTCCTCTCGTTATGATCTGTTTCTTCCGTTCTCAAAGTTTACCCCCCTGGTTTGCGGCGAAAGAGGAGGGTGCTCTGAGGAGGTCGGAGAGCCATACTCTTGATGCCTCCTTGGAGCAACCCGGACGCCGCATCGAAGCAATCTCATTGTTTCATCGGGGAGAATTAGGTGGTCGAGAAGATGGGATGCAAAATGGGTTTAGTGTTTTGCGAAACGTTCTTCTGTAACCCTCTTGAGCCTCCTTGCACTTCCCCGTGCATTCGAGGGGCTGAGCGGCCGTGCGTGGCATGGCAGGCAGGCAACCCCTGGCCAATTCCAAAGAGGCAAAGCCTTTCTCCCCCACCATCAATTCTGCAGTAGTATTCTGAGCTGAGGATCTCAATGCGGTTCGGCTCTTCCCCTCGTCTTCGCAAACCAATTGACGTCAGGTCCGATGATGGCCGCCAGCTGGCTGCGTCACTGCTTAGCAGAGAAAGATGCAATTGGGCTTCCAGACTTGCCGGTGCTCATCATCGAGACGCCCTTATATGCGTCTGTCAACCGAGCGCAAAGGAATGGCGGTTTGTCTTAAGATCGGTTTACCATAGTCTCTACTCTTCTGAACAGAAAGAAGAGAGAACGAAGACGGCGTCCAGGAACTATGAATACCAACCGGCTGCCACCACAGAGACCGCCCAGACCTGACCTGAGAAGAGGAGTTTTGGGAAGTCTAACTGCTGCATCAGCTGCGGCCTATAATTTTCTCGCCCACGACTTTGAATACGTGCCAGATCGGTATCAGGACGAAAAGGCCTACCCTACTCGGTTATCTCGGGCCGGGTCGAGCATCCGCCTCGGACAAGCGCTCGGCCGCAATGACTACCCTCTAAGGCCACCACCTATTCGCAAGAGAACATGGCAGAAGGACGAGAACGGCGAACTGCGCAGCAAGTCTTTTGAGGATGCTCAGTACAACCAGTACGATGAGGCTCGTGGAGGCCGGGACAGAAACCCTTTCGACGACTCCAACGAAGTCGAGGACCAGTATGGAGAAGACAAGGACGAGAACGAGGAGCCTTTCTCTGTATACTCAAGGAAGCAGAAGTGGTCGATCATTGTTATCATTGGTTTGGCGGGTCTTTTTTCTGGCTTGTCCTCTAACATCTATAATCCGTCATTGGACGCCATTTCAAGGGTATGCCAATAGTATCCCAAGCGACTCCCGCGCGCCACAGATGCTAACTGACTCTCTAAGGAATTGGGGGTAACTGCATCTCAGGTTTCCCTCACCATAACGTCCTATTTAATTATGCAAGCCGTAACGCCGCTATTTTGGGGTCCCATGTCAGATACCCTCGGAAGACGGCCGACGTATATAGCGTCTTTCGCAGTCTACATTGTCGGCAATGTAGCCTTGAGCTTTTCTCCTAACTACCCGGTTTTACTCGTTTTCAGAGGTGTTCAGGCTGCAGGGAGCGCCTCAACTGTCAGCATTGGTTGGTTTCTATTTACCCCGTCACTTCAGTTTCATGACTAGGGACATACTGACCGGCAACTCCAGGTAATGGTGTTATGCAGGACATAGCCCCGAATTCGGAGAGAGGCGCATTTATTGCCTTCTATCAAGCGAGTGAGTCTTCAAACCACTTGTTCAGGAAGACAGACTGATGACGGATGCTGCGCAGTTCGTAATTTTAGCACGGCAATTGGCCCAGTCTTGGGCGGCGCCTTGGCCAACTCTCTTGGTTTCCGATCAGTATTCATTTTCTTGTTAATCGCCTCTTCGCTCATCCTCATCGCCATTGTATTTTTTCTACCAGAGACTATGCGAACAATCGCTGGGAACGGCTCGCTGCGTTTGTCCGGTATCTACAAGCCTCTCTACAGATACGTCTCGAAGGAACCCAAGTACATGCAAGATCCAGACGGGCCATTGAACCGACAGAAAATCACCGTATTCACCTTCTTGAGACCTTTTAAATTATTCAAGGAGAAGGATCTTGTTATTAATCTCGTTTGGGGTGGGGTTATTTACGCCATCTGGAACATGGTCACGACCAGCACAACACCACTTTTCAAAGCAAGTTTCGGCTTAAGCGAACTTTTGCTAGGCGTGGCATTTATACCGAACGGTATGTGTCTATGCATTTTTCTAACCTCGGAGATGATCGGGTCGACCATCACCCGACGAATGTAGTGGCTGGCCGGTCGCTAACATGTGTCTAGGATTCGGGACGATTGTCGGCTCAGTCATTGCCGGGAAACTCTTAACTCGAGACTACAAAATCATTGAGACCAAGTACAAGGAAACGCACAACATTCCATACGACAAGGATTTTTCCCCAAAGGATATTCCACCCGATTTCCCATTGGAGCAAGCCCGCCTGCAACGTCTGCCGTGGATTGTTACTCTGTTCGTCGCTTCCGTCACCGGATACGGGTTTTCACTAGCATATCCGACGATGACAGCTCGACCCGGATGGATTACACTGCCGTTGATTATGCAATTCCTCATTGCGGCATCGGCGAACGGCATCTTTGCCCTTAATCAGACCATCATATCAGATCTTTGTCCTGGACAGGGCGCGAGCGCGACAGCTGTCAACAATTTGGTTCGCTGCGGTCTTGCCGCTGTTGGCGTAGCTTTTGCGGAGCAAATGCTAAATGCGGTCGGTCCTGGGACAGCCTTTTTGGCTCTTGGAATGGCGGTTGTAGCCGTCTCGCCCATCCAGGTGGTTAACCAATTTTGGGGGCCCAAGTGGCGAGCACAGAGGGAAAGGCGGAGGTCCAAGGTGAGCGTGACGGACCAAGATCGGCAAAAAGCTTAGAGGATCAGTTTTGCTTCGCAAAAATCAACGACAAAGATTTTTTTGGTATTCCTTAGCCAGGAGTAACTGTTCACGCATGAAGCATATTTGCTTGAGGAGCTTACTGAGTTAGGTGCATTAGCATCATAGCTGGAGTTTTGCATTGGTAGCTTATGACCCACGACAACCGATACACGAGCATTTGACGGTTACAATAGCCACGTTGCACATAGACTTACTTGAGTCAATCAATCCTGTCATCACACCCAGAAATACGTGGGCGTAGGCTGCGGTCTTTGACCAAGATCCTATGGTCAAGACCTCAAGATCTCTTGAATTCAACCCAGACTTTTGCCTCAACCCTTGGCGCCATCATCGCGGCAAGAGTGACCAAATAACGTGGCCTCTACTATTGCTAACCTTATTTCGTGACAGAACCGTTTACCCGGGGCAGAACTTTGTTTAGCCTAAGTCATGTGCTGGCCCTGCCGCGGATTTAAGAGTTTAGAGTTACCCTGAGGCGATCTTTCCTGTTACAGGTCGTCTGATGCTTGCGCTGAAACCTGATCTCCGAGCAGCGAGCATCCCAGTTTGCATCTTTGCATCGCATTCACGAATCATATTCAGTACCTAGTCCGGACTCTTGTGTCCAGACGGCGCATGGCCTTCGAAAATGGGAGTGAGTCGCGCAGCTTTGCGATTGCGTAGAGGCTATGTTCACGTGGTATCTCGGCTTAGCGTCAAGTGTTGATTCGAAATATCATACGGGTCTTCTCAAAGCGCCAAGACTGGGTTGATTTATGGTATTCGGGACGCGGCATGTTCAATAGTTCACGCGAGTCTGACAGATGCAACTGCAAACGCACTTTCCGGAAAGAATCATATAATTACAGAACAAGTTACTGACTAACTCGTCAAGTAAATGCTGTGGACGCGTGTATCAATAGCACCCTTTTACGGGCTTCTAGTGCTGCTAAGGTTGTGTTCTACACCAGGAGCGGAAATCCTCCGGAGGGTTTTTACAAACCTAAAGTAGCTATCCCGCGGTGCTGTCCCGAGCCAGATCAATGTTTGCAAGGGGCCCTTGTTTCGTGACTGAGCCCCAACATCAGCTCCAGGTCATTCAGATAACGGAAAGCTTGAGAGAGTCTACTGTGTGTCAGACCAGCACGTGACTGGTAAAGTTTTCTCTGCTAAGTGAAGACTAGAATGCATGTTAACGCAAGAAACACTTTAGGGCCCCCGTAAATAAATAAAAAACCTAAAGAAACCCCTTGTTACTTAAGTTTTAGCAAGTAAATGACGCACACGTTGTCCTCGATAATTTGCTAAGACAGGACTTGCACATTCGTGGCCGTCAAGGAGTTGCAGACCTACTGGTGATATTTTACAATATCGACAGAATGTGAACCAAGTTCCACCTTGGTTATTGTTGGTTTCACAGGCGGAAATACTCGTACGAGTGGGTAGCAACTATCACGTCAAAGTTGGTGATAATTGCTGGTGGTTATTATTGTGAAGTGAAAGGTGGAGCTGAAGGTGGCCGTCAAGAGGATATTAATGGGTTGGCAATCAGATCCGTAATATCTGATCGGTCGAAGAAGGAGATCACCTGACCTCCGCCACCCTTCAGCCACCTGAGGTTGTGGATATTCCAACAGTTATAGATGGCAACTTCTTGATTGATCTACATGCCAATGGCTTAGTCCAACTTCTTCCTTCTTGGTCACTTAAGCTAACGGCTGTATTCGGACTGAAAATTCCTCATATGGGCTTCGTCCGGGTTATTTAATGTATGAAAGAAGCAGAATAGAGGATTCGTTCCCTTGAACAATACATGACTGAATCACCAACCATCGAAGTACAAGTTAATGATTCAAGGTCTTTGAGTCCAGCTGGCTAGAAATTTCTTGACGATTCAGAGCTGGAGTTCCTACTCTTCCCAAAGGTCTGCTGTCTCGTAACGCTTTTGAGGGACACCAATGGCAGACACCTCGCCCCGAGCATTGATCCCACCATGACCAACAAGAACAATCCTCTCCACATCAAAGCAGTTGTTTTTATATATGTCGCCACAGAGATTGTAGAGTCGCTTAACAGTCATGTCGCAGTATGTTTTCTCTCGGAGCGAGACAACATCGTATCCATACGACGAAGTACTGTTGCAGACCAATGAAGCCTCGTGTCCTTCTGCTCTGGTAACAATGAGGCGGCTAATATCCATGTTTGTACCTGACCTCTTTGATACCTTCGCCCTCTGGATGTTTCGTTCAGCGGATGACAAAGACCGTTTCGGCTTGGCTTCAGGGATTGGTTGAGGATCTGTGTAAGCCATCTTGTCCCAGTTAATCGTGTCAATGGCTAGTTTCGGGTCCTTGTCTCTACCTTCCAACCCGGTGATTGCGTCGATCTCGTATTCCAGAGGAGGCCTGAAGACAGGCACCTGCGAATTCTGCCACAGGTTTCTCCAATACGCGAAGCGTGGGGTACTTTTGCAAAGGTAGTCTCCATTTTCTTGGTACATTTTCACCTTGTCGGGAGTTCCAAGCATGTCGTTGAGATGAAAGCTCATTGTCCGCGCGTTAAAGCCAACAGTATGATCCGCGTCGAGCCAAACGCACTTTGGATGCGGTTGTTGCGCGCTCAGCCGGCGTCGACTGAAGAACCAGCTCTGGCCGCAAAAGGCACCAATGTCGCCATAGAAGACAGCGGAGAATTTGCCGTTGGAAAATTGCATAGCTGAGACACAAATAGCATCAGAACTCCACTGATAGATAACTGCATACTTCGGGGTTTCCATTGGGTTCTGGTGCAAGTCGTGTTGGATCTTGTAAATGTGATCGTCAAGATAGTTGTTTTTCGAGACCGTGTCATGGGATCGGGTTGCGCGAGTTCCCAGGGCGTTTCCCTTGTCATCGAAGAGTTCAATAGCTGGTTGATTACCACTTGCACCGTTATCGTCACCAATCATCAGCGTAATAAGTGTGTAGTTTACATGCTGTTCGGGGATGCCTTTGTCGTGAGACCATTGAACATTGAAGATCTTATTGTTGACGCCGAGAAGGATACCCAGAATCATACGTCCTGGAATCATCTTGACAGACTTTTTTTTCGAAGAGGATAATAAGATCTGTGAAGAATACCACCTTTCGGAATTGTTTGGCCCAAGATGAAGATTCGTACTTCAAAATGTTCGAAGATGGCAGCGGTTAACAATGAGGCATGTCTGTGGACCGTCCGAATTACCTGAAGCTAAAAGCATCTAGCTTTCTCGCGAAAAGCGTTCTCTTATACTCTTGATTTGATCCTTCTATAACAAGCTGATTAGTGCGGTGGCCTACGGATCTTTGTTTTCTTGAGAAAGAAGCTGTGTTACTGGTAGTCTCGGCTGAGCATGTGAGGGGCATACAAGGGGGTATAAATCTTTCAAGCCTCGCAAAAGATACCACCACTAACCGATCCCGGCAAAAGGCCAGCCTATTTCAGCTCAAAAGACTGACTGATTCTTTAATTTTGCAACAGACTCAATAGAGGGAGCCCTATCACTTGATACTTTGCGCTTTGTTTTAAATTACGATTTCTCGCTCCGAGAAATCACGGTACAGCTAAAGCCACCCCTGAGTCGTTTCTTGAGTAAAGACTAGCTGTAGCAATCTCTTTCCATGATTTTTGAACGTGGTAGCTTCTATGGAGATACTTTGAGCTACATAATCCGTCTAAGATATAGCTAGTCAAACCTCTTTTGCGGAATTCTTCAAAAGCAGCCCGAAAGTAGTCCTGGGTTTATGGTGTGTTCCTGCCTGTAAGACACCCGAGGGCGTCACTAGAGGAACCAACCATACGCGAAATATGCTTTTTGTCAATGAATTCATCATGGAGCTTCTCATTCTGATTTCATCAACACTAGGCTTTGGGTCCTTCTCTCAGTGCTACATACCCAGTCTCGACTCCACCGAGATTTTATTCAATGGAAGAAAGAGACTTTGGAGAACAAGAGAAATTTAACTTCAGCAAGAAAGTTGAGAAAGAAAAAAACAGCAACTCCAAGGATAGAGGACGAGTCACTGGGATGACATGGCCGCGGGCACATTCGCTTTGTTCGATTAGTGACACGACCACAGCAAGGGGCTCTAGTAACACCACAGCTTCATGAGGCCCGTCTCATACGGCTCATTTCAAGAGTCCAAACAAAGGGCAAACTCTTTGTAGGATTTTTGGACGCCATCATCATCATTGTGAGTGGCTAGCTGTTATACGAACCATACATTTTTTTTGAAAACGACTTTATTACACTTCTATTGTTCATAGAAGAACCAAATGACATGTTTGAAGTTTAAGTATACAAGAGACTCATCTGCATATTGTTGGAACCAATTCCATCAGTAATGGCCTAGGGAATCATAGCCCGTGTGACTTTCCGGTTGCAACTGTTTTGTTTCGACAATCTAACCTCGAGGATAATAGTCTTACAACTCGGTGGGAGAGAAATATGTGAGAAATTTGTGAGTGATGTTTGGTTCAGCTGACCAAAAAAGTCTAGACTTATCATCAATAGCAAAAGTACCTGAAACCGGAAAGATTTTGAAAGCTTCTGAAGCCAAAGGCGCGAAAAATTGGCAATCCATCTTTCGCAAGCCACTGATTAGGGGTTTGCTTCCAAAACAATAGAAGAGAAAAAACCGCCCCTCGGAGCCGCAAGCTCGATCCAGTTAGGTTCTAGGAGGTTCTATCGAACCGCCTACTGTCATTGAGTTCGTAAACTCTGCGGCAATTCTGCGTGCATTTTGTGTTGCTTCATGCCGTTTACGGGGTTTCCCAGGGCTAGTTGCGTGGTCGCGTCACTACCAAGCGTCAATATCGTTGATCATCCTGAAGGTTATTCTTGATAACAGATTATTGAACGCACTCCACAAACTATGTGTTGTTCTTATTCTGTCTTTTTCCACCCCAGAGGATCCACGAAACACTGCGTTCTTGATACGGGACACAGGCTGCCAGAAAGATAATATATGAGCAGAACCAGCTAACTTCCACTGGATCTACGTCGGCTTCGGCATAAAAGGTACATAATGAATAGAAGTCCCAAGATAGCACTTCAGTCTTTTACAAGATATTTGAGAAGGTATTCGTTTCCGAGGACACATGTATCAAAGCAGGTTTCAATAACGGAAAGTACCACCAGTATTGCATGTAACGTATTTCAAACAGTCCCAAAAGCTAAATCAACATATTATCTTTGCTTTTGGCTCGTATTATAGGTCCTTGGGTGCCTAACCTCACGCAGTAGTGCCCGGGTCAAGATTGGGCTTGCATCAGGTGTAAACTTTATAGCCCTCCAGCCACGAATCGAAATTATTCCACTGCCCAGGTATATGCCTCTCTGGGCGCATTTGGCTTTCCAGAGAAACAACCTTAGTCAGGGACCGGAAGGGACCGAAGAGGAATAACCTTGTCACGATGAAGCATCAACGTAATGGAATCCTACTCGCGGATCGGTCATCATTTACCAGCCGTAATTCCTATGTACATCGCATCCTCCTTCCTAGCTAGGCCAAAGCCATTGGCATCCCCTTCGACGGCCCCCGAGATAGAGCTACTGAATTATGGGGTTTTGGCCCAACCATGAAGCGCGAATGAAAAACGTGTCAATCCAGCTATCCCGTACGATGTTCCTTGTCCGAACGAAGGCTGACTTAGTTTCCTGCACAAAAACCGCTCGTCAACACAAAAGTTCATTCAAGGGTCTTCTTTCCGGGAACGGCAAGGGGTAGGCCACTTCCGGCACCTTGCTTCGGGGCAGTTGGAGGTGCCGCTGCCGGCTTGCCACCTTGGGCTCCTCCTACGAGCGCGCCAGCCACAAGGGCTCCTGCAGGTGCAGGGGCTGGGCTATTAGGGTTGCCGGCTGCAGGTTTGGGCTTTGTAGCGACAACGCCGACTGGGGCGGGGGCAGGCTTTGTTGGAGTCTGGTTACCTTTGGCGGCACCGTTGGCGGCCGCAGCGGCCCCGGCATTAGCAGCAGGAGCCGACTTCTTCGGAGCGGCGGCAGGCTGATTGGCAGGAGGGGCCTTAGGAGGAGTCGCGGGCGTTTGCGGGGTGGCGGGAGCGGCTGGCTTGGGAGGAGCAGCAGGTGCCTTGGGAGCAGTAGGTGTGCTAGCCTTTGGCGGAGTTGGGTTCGCCTTGGCTGGAGTGGCTTTGCCCTTGGCCTTGGCCGGAGTCGCTGCGTTGGCCGGTCTGTTCGCAGTGTTCGCATTGGCCTTGGCCTTGTTCTTGTTCTTGTTCTTGTTCTTGTTCTTGCCAAGAAGCTTGCCGAGAAGCTTGGCGATCTGTCGGGGCTGGATCTCTTCGCCGTTGCGCGCGTCTAGCGCGGCTGGCTGTTCAACAGCGGCTGCAGCGACTGGAGCATCGATCTTGGGTACGTCTGCCTCTGCACCAAGCTCGCTGTGGTCTGTTAATCCTGTCTTTTGACGTATTTAAAGGGTGGAGTAAATTACCCGTAGTCTCTGGGCGAGACATCGGACCCAGCCGGGGCACCATTGATGCCGACGAGGAGAGCCGAGGCAAGGAGGAGAATTGGCGTGGAAAACCTCATTGTAATGAATGGTAAAGTTGCTTCGATAATAAAGTGTGTAAGGAAAGAGAAAGGCAATATAACCAAGTCAAGCTTAGTATGTGACAAGAGAAATGCTACTCGTATCTGGTATGCCGTAGGGGGTCGGCGTAAACTGAGGGGCCTGCCTGTCCTTCCATTCCTAGAACTGGCGACGAGGCCCTCCTTTAATAGTGATTCTGAACAGCCTCTACTCTTCGTGCTGATCAGGGATATCAACTCCTCGTCCAAACCTTAGAGATGTCGTCCACGCTACCAGCCGCCGAGTGCCTGTCGATCCATTCACGGCGACTTTAGATTAACATTTACAGAAAGCGCGACTCGCGAGCGTCTGAAACCAATAATCGTATCTCTTGGTCAACAGACGCCAGAGTTCATGGCTCCCAGTGGCCACGCCCAGGTGAGCCAGGCACAACGTGGGATCCGGATCGGCGTCTTGGTTTTTTTTTTTTTGGGACACTACCCTGCAACGAGATCGCCTTGGACTCTTGGGGGGATGAAGGCGTCTCCCTGCATCGTCACCTACCCCAGCTTTTTTAGGCGAAGGCGCGTTTCGATGCGGTGTTTCGAGGCGAAGGCCCTCTTCGTCTGGTGTGGGATCGAGAAACCTCCGAAGAACAAGGCGAAAAGAAAAAATTCGTCTGATCTGGTGGTGTTTCAGCGTCCCCAGAATAGCGTTGCTCGAGACAATCTCACTGTTTACTCGGCAAGCGGTACCCTGATCTTAAGCTTACCTATCGCGTGAAATCCGAAATGTAGAGTTGCCAAGCAAGGGGATGGCTGTCAAGTTTGGCTGGCCACACTGACGGTTCGCTTTTCCCCGAATGCAGGCTGGAAGCTTCGTTGAGTTTGTCCTCTCGCGATGCGTGAAATCTGACGATAGTTCAGAAGGTTTGCGTTAGGTCCATTTCGAAAGTGTTTTGAACTCCTGACGCTCCCTTGTGTGGCCCGTGGTTGGCCACCTGCAGTCTGGCCTGGGCAGCAAACCATCTCCTACCGAGAAAGTCAACTTCTTAGCGTATGCTTGATGACAACGTAATCGATGTATAAGCCGCTTCTGATCAAGGAAGCAGAAGGTTGTGTCCTATCTTGCGTAGAAAGATGAAAATGGAATTAAGGTCAGTCAGCATAGCTGGGCTAGCCCGAGACTCTGTTTGAAAGTTTTTGACTTTGCTCACGCCATAGATCTTAGCATCATGAGCCACATAGGCAAAACTGACGTTCACCTTGTGTTTTGATATATCTCTGCCAAGGCTGGGGCTCGTTGTTCCGCACGAATTCGACATTCGTGACAGCTGACTGAAGAACGACAGTTTGCGCTTCAGATGGCGTTGTTCAGGAGCAGCTCTTGGCGAATTGTGGTGGTACAGCAGCACTCTCAGATGATAAGATCGGGTGTTGTGTGCTTTTTCATGCAAAGAGAATGCTCACAGTTTGGACGGCAAAGCGGCAGCGGTCACGGACGGTCGCGGAGATCAGCCGCTATGGCGCGCGGAGGAGGCCAATGCATGAGGTTGCAGACCTCGTACAGGAGCAGGACCTATGCTGTGCGTTTTTACGTCGCGGATTTCCCAGGATTCTGGGAACTGTTTCCCCGGATAGATATCTAGCGCCGATCAAGTTTCGTACGCCCCTCATTGCTAAGGATATGCTGGAAAGCGGGCGCGATTATAGCTTGCCGAGGTGCCTGAATGCTTTACTGCTATTAGCTTCATCTGATGAGGACAGATTGAATCATGCTGGGTGACGTATCAAAAGACAGGATGCTCCAGCAGCAGATATGCAGGTACCGCACTGTAGGCAACGGCCACTTCAGGGACAATTCCGATTTAGGTTGTGCTCATGTTGCATGGTAGCCATTGGGGTGAGGGGTTGGGGTTGCCATCGTACAGTGACAAAGTTCCATGGTCTGTCGCAAAAGTCGTGTAATTGTGCTTGCCCGGAGATCGAGAACTTGGCAAAATGGCCCCGGATTCTCGCTCGAAACCGAAAACGTCGGGTCAGCCGATACAATGGAAATGTTGTTTAGGTCTCATGGACTGACGATACGTGAAGTAAGGACGACGACAGCATGACACTGGCTGGCACAGGCTATGAAGTAGAAAACGGCACGGGCCTAGTTCTTGTTATGAACAGCGTCCTTGGACCGAAAGCTTCCGCTTCGCAACCTTCTAGCCTCTGGCTCCCGGGTTGGATTGAGGCATAGCAAAGGCCCGTCATTGAGGCCGACTTGAAGGCAATTGTCGAGTCAAGAACTTAGTGGCTTGTGTTTACGTAGGCATGGGCCATGGCCCAATTACTGTGAGTCGCGACTTAGCCTCGATTAGGACGGGAGTTGATGCATCCGCATGATTTTGAGACGAAGACATCGTCAAACAAGCTGAGTCGCGTCGACGCATAGTACCTACCGTAGGAGTGAGCAGACTGCGTCTTACATAATACGCCTGGATGGCTTGGATAGCTTGGCTCGGGGTTTCTCCGGCTCTGTATTGGCAAAGAGGCTCGCCGAATTTCAGCCGGACCCCTCGCTGAAGTAAGCTGGAATCTTGTCCGGACGGAGGTACGTATCGGTCTCCATTCACGGAATTTCCTCCGCAACCCCCGGCGTCCTCGGCACTTGTTCCCCGCACGGGGTTTTCACCCTTCGGCTCCTAATACCTACACTGTAGGAGTCGTTTCGCCAACTGCCTTGGACAGCTCCCGTGTTTAATGGATTTCAATCTCGAGCCGTAAGCGAATGCTTAGCCTACATCTCCAGGACATTCCCCTCCACCTGTTGTATGTCTCTGCCCGCCTTGAATTGGGGGAAAACAAACCAGACCTCAGATCCTTACGTCATGACTTTTTCTTTTCCGGCTCTTATCACAATGAGCTGCCTTTCTGGGCTGAAGGCTCCAATATCACCGCGTCGCAGGGCTTCATGATCCCAGGCTTCTCTTATCAGCGTTGCCGTGCTCCGGGACCGTGCCGGCACGATACTTCACGCGATGCAGCGGTGCATCAGGCTAAGCATGCAGGCGGAGCTATCTTGCTTGGGCCTCGATAGTTATATTACATCCGAGCCCGTATGCATCAATCTGCGAGGTGGTCGGATATCCGCCGTACTTGTTTGAGTCCTGAACGTTTTCTCCTCTCGCTCTTCACATCATCATGTTTGTGTCGCGTTCAATTCTCGCTGTGGCCCTTATCTGGCTGAGGATCGCCAACGTCGCGACATGTTTGAGTGGTACGTGTCAGATGCGTCGTAGACGTGATGGTAACGATGATTGATGTTGTTTACAGTCAAGGGCGTTCCATTCCCCAGCCTGATCGATGTGACAATCGACGAGCTGGCAGAGGGCCTGGAAAATGGCCTTTTCACTAGCGTCGAATTGGTCAACGCCTATCTCGGTCGCATCAGCCAGGTGAATAGCACTCTCAATGTCGTCGCTGAGGTGAACCCCGATGCGCTCTCCATCGCCGCAGACTTGGACGCCTCACGGGCCAACGGAACAATCAAGGGGCCACTTCATGGAATACCTATTCTCATCAAGAACAACATCGCCACTGCCGACCATATGAACAACACCGCAGGATCCTGGGCGCTCGTTGGTGCCAAAGTTCCCCAAGACAGCTTCATGGCAAAGAAGCTCCGCGAGGCGGGTGCCATCATCCTCGGCAAGACGAACCTGAGCCAGTGGGCCAATTACAGAAGCAACAACACCAGCAATGGCTGGTCTGCGTATGGCGGCCAAGTATACGCCGCTTACTATCCCCAACAAGATCCGAGTGGGAGCTCCAGTGGCAGTGGTGTGTCCTCCGATTTGGGGCTCGCCCTCGCCGCATTGGGCACTGAGGTTTGTGCTGAAGCTTGCACTACGGCTTATTGCTCGTGCTGACACATTCAAGACGGACGGCTCAATCGTATCACCTTCTCAGCGTAACAACCTAGTCGGCATCAAGCCGACCGTAGGTCTCACCTCCAGGCATCTCGTCATCCCCATCAGCGAGCACCAAGACACGATCGGGCCAATGGCCCGGACTGTCAAGGATGCGGCATACATCTTGCACGCCATTGCTGGCGCAGACCCCAATGACAATTACACCTCGGCGATCCCCAACAACGGCGAGATACCCGACTATCCGGCGGCTTGCGACATGTATGCCCTCCGCGGAGCACGTATCGGCATCCCGCGCAACGCCATTGAGCTGTTCTCCGACAACACCACCGGTACCGAGACAGGCGCGTTCGAGGAGGCCTTGGACGTCTTTAGGTCGGCAGGCGCCGTCATCGTCGACAACGCAAACTTCACCGCCGCTGAGCAACTCGTGACGTCCAACTCGGAGACCATCGTCCTGAACGCCGACTTCATCTCAAACCTGGCTTCCTATCTTGCCCAGCTGACCTTCAACCCGAACAACCTCTCGTCTTTGGCCGACGTCCGTATGTTCACACAGTCCTTTAAGCTCGAGGACTACCCAGATCGTGATACGGGTATATGGGACGAGGCTCTTGACGATCAGGGGTTCAACAACACTGACCCCCGGTTTTGGGCCGCATGGCAAGAGAGCCAGTATCTTGGCGGCGAGGGTGGGCTCTTTGGGACGCTTGAAAGGCACGATCTTGATGCCGTCATCCTGCCGACCAGTTTCGCGAGCACGTGGGCCGCAATTGTTGGAGCGCCTGTTGTAACGGTCCCGCTGGGATTTTACCCCGCGAATGCCACGGTGATCAAGAACAGGAGAGGTAACTTGGTAGATACTGGTCCTCATGTGCCGTAAGTGATCCATTCCCAGTCGCCATGGCATATGCCTCCCTTGCCGCTACGAGACAGATTGACTAACGACCCGCAGGTTTGGCATCAGCTTTCTCGGCGCAAAGTTTCAGGAGGCTAAACTCATTGGTCTAGCATACTCGTATGAACAGAGGACCCTTACTAGGTCGAAGGTCCAGCCATATGTCACGCCCAACATTGAGATTGGAGACTTCGCTGGGTATTAGAGTGACAAGGCCTCTCTGATGGGAGGACTTCTCATGTCGTTGTAATGGATTAAGGCACGTTTTATTGAGTCCAGAGTATTCATAGACTAGACTAAAAACCCTAAACCTCTGGCTTATGATAAGGATCCAGTAGGCTTCTACTGAAGGAATCACAACTTCAAACAAGAGTAGCGAGAGTCTGTGCCATCTGTATCCAAGTTCAAAAACAACTCCTTTGCTAGCATATAGATCATCCGCCTGTGCAGGATCGTTTCAGGACCCAGGCCAGTTTCTAGGTCGAGTTCATGAGATGAGGTTCACGAGGCCCGCCGGAATGGAATCTCCTAGGCAGCCTCCACTTCATTCATGCTAGAAGTGTGCTTCGACGATGCCAATACCTACTTTGACTGACTGGATGGGCCTGCTTGCCGGTACGATGCGCCGAGGACCCATCCCATCAATCAAGTGTTCATTCATCGGCACATCCCACGTATAGACTATCACTGCCACGCAACGCAAGAATGAGGCAGTTTGCTAGTTGTGCAATACAACCTGGTTGCAAAAAATGCCTTGGAAGACCGAAGAAAAGAAAAAGCAAAAGTTATCTAGCACAACCTGGTTTCGATCCAGGGACCTCTGGGTTATGAGCCCAGCGCTCTACCCCTGAGCTATTGTGCTTGTGATAGTCACTCATTGAGCGATGGCATCATTCGATTTGTTCAGACCCATAAAGCTGGATTTTGTGAGTCATCGCATGTGGGTGACCTACCGCACCAACCCCACTCGGTCAAGTTTTAATTTGCCTTGACAAAAGCCGCGAGTTTCCGAACCACATCCACATCAAACACACCACTACACGTTGCAGGCCCAGAGAATAACCAGTTGTGGGAATGACAAGCTGCGCAGAATAGACAACATCTTTTTGGTCTAGATTGGGATATCTACGTAACGACTAGGCGGACCAATACGCCGTGGTATACTCGCAGGACATGATATTCATGAAACGACCGCAACACACTTCCTCCTCTTCTCATTATTACACTTTTCATTTTTTCAGAACAGCCAGGACAGGAAGGTCTTGTAGAACCATCCACCCTTGCCGCCTTTGCCGCCCCTGGCCTCCTTCTCGGCGGCCTTGCGCGCCAGGAACTCCTCCTCCTCACGATCAATGATGTCCTTGCCCGTGTAGAAGTCGGCCTCGTGGGGCTTGACGCCGCGAGTCTTGTAGTAGAACTTGTGGCCGAAGATGAGGATGAGGTAAAGAGGGATACCGAGGTAACCGGTGATGAAGGTCTTGTACTTCTCCTTGCCAAAGTCGCCGCCGACGAAGACATCGTAGTTCTTGGTAAGAGCGACGATGATGCAAAGGGCCAGAGCGCCGTAAGAGCCCCAGATACCGAGGGGGGCGACGTAGGGAAGGATCTCGTTGGGGATGTTCTGGGCCTTGCGGGCCTTGCACCACCAGATGTGGGTGACAAGGATCGAGATCCAGGTCAGCAGACCGAAGATGGTAGTCAAGTTGACGAAGTAGCTGAAGACAGCCTTGGAGTCGTTGGAGACGTTCATGAAGGCCAACAGCGCGAAGAGGGCAGAGAAGCCGAGAGCGTAGATAGGGACGCCACGCTTGTCGGTGCGCTTGAAGATGGCGGGGGCAGAGCCATCAGACGCCAGTCCGTAGAGGGTACGGCTGGCGATGTACAGATCCGAGTTGGACGCGGAGAAGACGAAGACGCAGATGCAGGCGTTGATGATGTCGGGGATGACCTTGACACCTGCAAGCTTGGCAGCGACGACGAAAGGCGAAGCGGAGGCACCGGCTTGGGCCTTGTTGGCGAAAGCGAGGTCCGGGGAGTTGTAGGGAACCAGCATGCCGATGAGAAGAACACTCAGGCAGTAGAAGAACAGGATACGGTAGAAGGTCAGCTTGATCGCACGGGGGATGGTCTTGCGGGGGTTCTGGGCTTCGGCGACAGTGACACCGACAAGCTCAGTGCCCAGGTAGGCGAAGGTGGCGTTGACCATGCAAGACCAGAAACCGAGGAAACGGCCAGAATCGCCAGTGTCGATGTACTCCCTGAAGGCACTGAGGGAATATTAGCCGAGGTGCACAACTCATGTGGGAGGCGGAATGAGGCATACCCAGGGTTCTTCCAGTAGCGGAAGCCTTTGCGGTCGTGGTCGGGACCACCGCCAAGGGCCAGGATGAAAGAGAAGAGGATGATGCCAACGATGGTGATGACCTTGAAGCTGGAAAGCCAGAACTCAAACTCGCCGAAGAACTTGATGCCAAAGTAGTTGATTGCGATGATGACGACAAGGAAGATGGCGATGAAGACACCCGGGTTCACAGTTTCGCGGTCTACCCAGAACTGGATGACGAGGGCAGCGGCCGTAAGCTGGTTGGGTGTGACGATGATGTACTTGAACCAATAACTGCGAGGTAGACGGTGGTAAGCATACGAGCGGGGGAGGCAGTGTTCGAGGGTGATCATTGTGTAACTTACGTCCAGCCAAGCGCAAAACCAAGCGAGGGATCGCAGAACCTCGAGGCGTAACCGGTGAAACCAGAAGAGATGGGGAGCCAAGCGGCCATCTCACCGAGACCAGCCATAACAAGGAAGACGATGAAACCGACGAGAGTGTACGAGATGAAGACGGAGCCGGGGCCGGCCTGGGCGAGGGCCTTGCCGGTTCCGATGATGAGACCGGTACCGATGGCACCACCGATGGCAATCATGGTGATGTGGCGGGCCTTGAGGCCGCGGTGCAGCGCCGTGTCGGCGCTGGTCTCGAGGCCGCGGATGTGGACATTTTCGGTGTCGTAGGTCTGGGTGTGGTAGCCCGTTTTCTCGACATCGTGGGCGCCCTCCGAGGAGGACGTCCGCTTGACGAGGCCGTCGCTCATGGTTGCTAGCGTGTGACGAAGACTATCGTACACGGTAGGGAGACTCTCTCTATCTGATCTGGGATGGAGAAGCACAAGAGAGGGGGTGCTTGACAGCAGAGAGCTCTATAAGCGAGAGGGATGAGAGGAAAGAAGGGGAATCACGGCAGAGGAGGGAGGGGGTCGGAGGTTCTTTAATTAAGATTTGGGCGCCGCCGCCTCGCGGGACTGGGAATGGGGGGACGGGGAACGCGATGGAGGGCGCCGCATGTGAGACGGAGGCAGCGACGGGCTATCATACGAATAGCAGCAGCTCGCATACCGTTGGACTGTCAGACCAACATCTGTCTGTCCCTCGCACATCCCCATCCCATCCCCATGCCCATGTCTCTCGCAGGTTCGTGGGCCTGGCCTAGCTTGCTTGGGGGTTTCTTGATGGATCCTGCAGACTGGGGTCTGGCGGCGTACGCTAAGATAGGGCCCGTCGAGCGACCCCTGCAGGCGTCGCTCGAGTGGTTTGTTGGAAAACAATGGACGAACCCGGCGACGTATTGACTATCGAAATTACCCTATAACCTTAGAACTAGGCGCATTATCTCCCGGTATCTCTCGTGCCTGCAACCCTGCGGCCGTACGTGCGAGCCCGTAATGGAACCGATGGAGACTACGGAGACCACGCGCACTGCGTTGGCGGTTTCTGCGCTGCGCTGCGCAGAAAGCAACACTGTGGAGAGTGAGCGTCCGTGTCGCACGGGCAGCGCCAGTTGCCAGGGTTAGCACCGGCCGAAGGAGGGGACCGGATGTTGACTGCTGAGGGAGGGGACTCTTGGTGGAGGTACGTATGGCGTCTCTGCCGGGGGTTGAAAGACAGAGACAAGGATGGGACGAGTACCTAAAGGAGAATGCGGCAAGGGTTCGCCCTCGCTGGCCCGTATCACGCAAGAGGAGGAAAGCGAAACGGTTCGATTTGTCGTGTGTACATAGTAATGTCTTGCGGAATGATTGGGCACTGCCGTAGTAGGAGGCTGCGCATCCAACGCTATTCAGCCTTGGCGGCCATCATCATGGCGACAAGAGAGTGGCGGCCGCGGGAACTTGGATGTGCGGGGATCAAGACAAGCCAGAGCTGCCATCGGTGAAAGAGTCGAGATGAGATGAAGTGGCACGGCGAGAGGGGGATACTTGGTGACCAAAGTCACTCGTTAACGCCAAGTATCGTCGGTCGCCACGCACGAGTCGTGGGCATGGCGTCGCTCGCAGTCTATCGCGCCCAGAAGCGCCCAGCTGCCCAGTCTCTTGAGGGCTCCGTCTGCGCGGTGCTGTGGACAGTTTGGAAAAGCTTAGATAGGACAAGCAAAACGGTCAAGCACTGAGGTACCTGACGAGGCCGGACGGCCCTTGCTCAAGGTGGACAAGATCGGTGGTACCAAGAAAACACCAAGACAATGGCTAGCTGCGCAGGATTCCTTCTATGGCGAAACGCCTCAAAGCCTGCCAGATTCTGCCTACTCGCTTGGGATGTTTTTTAGGATAGCGCCCGCAGTCGGGATGGAGAACCACAGGGTGGCACCCTCTAGCACATTGGGTGTAGAGATTGGGGTTCGAAATTTTCACAACACATGTAATATTGCGTCGATATCGCGTGTCAGGCTCTCTGAACCATGCGATGCTTATCTCTGGGGGCGACTCGTCAAGGTTGATTTTTGTTCTTCTCCTTCTCTACTACGAAGAGTTTATAACGGCGAACCCGTACGCCAACCAACGGTCGAATGTCTGCCAGCATCGTGTGACGGTAAGACACGGGACATTTTCTCAGCCTGGCGTAACGCGAAAGAGAAACGGATGCCCCAGGACGTTGGCCTCCGTCTTGCCCACCATGGAGCGTGGGTTGCCCCCGGATAAGGCGCACAACCACTACGATACCAAGACCATCACTACCACCATCTCCAACTGCTGCGCCAGCCAACTCGGGAATGCCAAGAGATAGAACGCTCATGCGATGGGCGTTCGTTCGGGCAATCTGCGGGGGCCTCTTCAAGCCACGATTCATACCCTTACGCCAATGACCGCCGGGGGCTTGTGCCCAGATAGGCTGTTCACTCGCTGAATCAATTCTTTGCCCGATGCTGGGAGTGCCTAGCGAAGCAACACTCGAGTCACCGACCCAGCTAGGCGAATCGAACCAAGGAGCAGTGCTCAAGGCAGCTTGGCAACTGATAGATATCGGGGTGCCCGTGCCTGCCCTGCGAACAATCTGGGATTGGGGGACATGTGCGACACTGACACTGACAGCTCAACACCCCAGACCATTCAGAGGTCAGACCAAAGCTTCCTGAAGGTGGTGGCTGCGTCTGGCTTAAGCTTGCTGTGCGCACCACGGGCTTTCCTGGCCGTCTTGGAAACGCCTCGCTACCGTTGTGACCAAGATCGCCTTGTCCATCTCTTGCATCTCTTGTTCGTTCTGGTGGTCTCAGCTCTCCCGCAGGCTAGGCGTTGCTAAGCAGCAGACTCGAGCAGCGGCAGAACGCCTCGCAAGAAGCATGGCTCCCAGTCTCTTCCGGGGGTCTCACCGAAGAATGCCCTAGGCGCTTCAGCTCGACTATTCCTTCGCCTTGCTTCTCCCGCGAGACGGCTGACACGTCTGCGCATGGTGCAACCCTGAGACCAATACGTATTGGTTATGTGATTCTGTTAGGTATTCAGGTGCCAGCGGGGCAGAGAATAAGCCTAATCAAGAAGCTGACACTAACGCTAATTGATAATATTGTCCTCGTGTGCTTTCCATCTTAGGTTCTAGAAACGTGCTGCATCTGCGCCTCTCGTCCCTCCCACCACCACCATCTTCCCTGTTACTGCGCTCTCCTCTCCTCTCCTTCGCCCCTCCATCGCTTCCCCAGCTGCTGCCTCGTCTTGTCCATTCAGAGCCCGTACTGTTCTCCCCGCCAAGACGTTTATCTCTATCCCAAATTAGCAGGTCCTTATCTCCTCCACATGCCCCCCTGTGCCCGTTCCCCCTACCTTTTCAGTGGGAATTCTAGGAAAGTCTGGCATGGATTCGACCGAGCTTATCCTCGCCCTTGGCCGTTCCTGGCTTAGACTACCGATGGACCACCTCGGATGGCTTGGGGCGGTTCGGGTCTTCTGTTCCCTCGTCCAAAGTCAATGGCCTGGAACGTGAGACTTTGTCTCTGCGCCGCCCCCCATTCCCGCGCCCGCCTTTGAAAAATCTGCCAAATTGTGTCCCTAGCGTTGGGGTAGCGGCACTAAGCCAGAGGGGCGGCTGACGTTGCGCTTTGGTAGCAAACCGCAATTCAATCGGGTTCGTCGCCGGATCCAACTCCCCTGCCCTCCATTTCACGAATCAGTAAGCGTCCTGGGGCGCGGGAGCCATTCCCAAATAGTCGGAAGCGTCTCCCACATTCCAGCGCATCGTGCCTCTCTGCATGTTTTGGGACTTGGATCAGGCGCGCCTCAAGCTGGTGATGAACACAAGCGTAGTTGAAGCACTGTCAGCCTTTTCCAGTTGGCAGCTGTGATGTACTGTAACGGTTACCGCGGGGCGGATTCGACGTTATGCGGTGTACAAGTCATGAGAGCGCGCCGGGTCAAGTACCGAAAGGGACCATCCTGTTGCGAGCAAGGTTAACAGGAGACTCGCGCACGCCGCGCTCCAGCAAACAAGGCCAGATGCACCGTTGAACTCTGGAGCCCACAGAACAGGTGCACAGATAGCCTTTCTGGCCTTTCAATGGATGGTCCGGATCTGTGGTCTGCGATGCTACGTCTCGACATCTCTGCCAGCCAACATGAATGGGCACTCAAGTCTATCCTCGTGTCCTCTACGCTCTGTATCCCCTAGGCCTTTATACCAGTACCCAAGTCCCGGTCCCATGGGTTGGTTGAGCTGGTAAGCAAGTGTCCCGACTCAAGTCCGATTCCTCGTCATCTCAAGGGACCCAGCTCTTAATTCCCGGCGTGCGTCCTGTGAATTTCTGTGGTCCTGAGCAACTGCAGAATCTGGGATCTGGGTGGGTTCGCACAGGGATAACGCCTGGACGGCATCGTTGAGCAGTAGACGACCGGTGCTGTTCATTCCCGCATGACGAATTCTCTTCAGTCACGATACTGCCGGCGGTCCAACCAGACATCTTTCGGTGCGGTGCAGTGGCCCAGTACGACGTGCGGGCGTTTGATATTTGTTCTGTTTCTCCGGTCCCTTTCTCCCCGAATCTAAAGTGCCTCCGCTCCGGCGCTTCGCATTTGACCAGACTGCGCCATTCCCAACGCGCCCCTAGCCCGAATATCTTACCGGATCAACTTCGCCAAGAGCCCCTAAATGCGGGATTTTAGCTATTAATCAAGGCATTCCTACCAATCCGACTTGGACGACTCGTAAGCGCGCCTGGTCTAATTACTGATCCTCAAGTTCGGCCTTGATCCGGTTCACCCTTTGAGCGGCCAACGAGTGTACATTTTGGTGGCAAGCAAAACCTGCATGCGAGGAGCCGCACTGACTGCCCCGTTTGTTGTTCCTCAGTGGGAAGACCGACACCTGCTCTGATGTTTTTAGAATCAATCATTATGACGGCACTGCAAACTCTACAGCCAGTATCTGCTCAGTATTCTTTGCTCAAATGCGCCATGCTCGAGGCCACATCGTCGGTGCATTGCGATTGATGTTCACTGCAGGCCTGAAGCTATCCCTAGCGTCGGGATGTTACCCTGCCCATCCCCTGTCGATGCATCCCCGGCTATCCACGGCGGTGGCATCTCGCCCATTTCTATGATTCTCGATGCACTCTAGGCCTCCTTTGCTAGCCAGCTTCCAACCATACTATTTTGGCTTCTTTCCATGCGTTTTCTAGCGTTTCCATTACCGCCGTCGCCCCAAGGTGTACTGCTCGAGCCCCCGCCATTCCCGTGTTTGGGCTCTCCTACCTAGTCATTGGAGTTGTTTAGGTTGACGGGGGTAGACCTCTTTTCCGGTCTCCCAGGTTTTCCCCTCTCTCCAAGAAAACAGTGATACCCCCTTCTTGGCCTATGAGAGGCCTAGTCGGGGCAGTGCAAATGCATGATGATATTGCCATGTGCAAGCCAAGGCTTCTCTCCAGGCGTTTGGTGGCGCTTTGGGAGTTCTTCGGAAAGCGCACAGCTGGGGAAGCTGAAGCGATGGGGTAATGGATGGAAACGATGGGGTAAATTTCTCGTAAGAGGTTCGCATTCCCAGCAGAACCATCCTGACGCGATTCATCGCTTCGACAATCTGACAGACGCTTTGACCTTACCTATCGTGCCATTTGTCCGAGTGTGATTTCATTACGTGGACTGGCGGAGAAGAAGCTGAGCAGAAGTCTTAGCAATCCGGGGTATGGGGTATGGGGGAGGAGCATGGCGGAGACTGTAAACGAGGAGAAGGGATCTTTGTTGAACGACGGCAGATGTTACGATGACCATTGAAAACGCCCCGTAGCTCGTGGGCTTGCATTCACACTGACTGCTAGACGTTAGTTGCAGTCGACACTAGTCTGAATAATCCGAACCAAAAGCATTGCTGGATGATTTTAGCCGCAGCCGTCATTCCCTTAAGAGGCCTTAAAGGAGGCTGAAGTACTTGAATGAGTCCGGCGATCTTGGGTGTAAAGCCCGAGAGCGACATCTGCCAGCTGAAGATTTAGTCCCGCCGTACCACAGCCACAACTTTCACAGCTCTGCCAGCTTGTGTAATAAGCCTCGCAGCTGGCCACTTGCATGAAGCCAGTGTCATGGTGACGGACTACCATCGGCTTGTACGTATAGGAATATACGAGACGGATGCCATGCTTCTCGGTGCGAGGGAAAATGCACCGAGCAATGCCGGCCCGGCCCGGCCAATAACTCCGGTGCAGTATTATATCTCATGATAATGAGGGAGCGATAAGCGGTTCAGAACATAAGCATTGTTTGAACCTTGTCTTAAGTGGTGCATATCACATCACTATGGATCTACTGTTGTCGGCATATTTCTTTTTCACGTGTATCGGTCTATTGATTTGTTTTGGGATCTGGTGATTACCCATAATTACCCAGTGTACAGCATACCAGCAACGCTAGCAGATGTCAGGGTCGACAGAACGCCGGCAAACAAAGCCGAGAGTGCAACGCGGGAGACGTCGCCCGCACGGCCAGGGGCGATCTGTGAGAGCACGCCGATTTGAGTGCCGAGAGATCCGATATTGCCGAAACCCTAAAACAATGACAGTCAGTTTCGCTTCGAGCCTGTATCTGAGAATAGATACTCACGCAGCAAGCGTACGTGGCGATGAGCTTGGATCGAGGAGACATTGAAACGTAGGGCTCGACGTTGCTCGAGAGTGAGTTGAAGGCGACGAACTCGTTCGTGATAATCTTGATGCCGATAAGCTCGCCAACAACGTGCAGGTCCCTGTTCGGGACTCCAAGACACCAAGCAACCGGATAGAATACGTAGCCGAGGATGAGCTGCAGTGTCAATGGCGGGTTATCAATACCCAAAAACTTGCCGAACCATCCCAGCACGCCGTTGATGAGCGCAACGAAGGAGATGATGCAAAGGAGGGTGGCCACAATCATGCCAGCCACCTTGAGACCGAACCAGGCTCCGTTGGCAAACGCATGAATGGCGTTTGCCGCCTTCTCATCGTCCTCGGGGACCGTAATGCTGCCCTTCGTGAGGCTCTCCTCGGTTTCAGGGTAACGCAGCTTCGAGACCGCAATACTGGCCGGAATCGACATGACGCATGAAGAGACGAGGACTTGGGCGTCCAGGCCAAGGCCGATATAACCGACCAGTACCGATCCCGCAATAGTAGCAAAGCCGCAGGTCATCACCTGATGGATTTCGGAGAGGGTGAGATAAGGCACGAAGGGCTTGATCAGCATCGCTGACTCTCCTTGTCCAATGAAAGGGGTAGCCGTAGCCACCACTGCTTCCGCGCCTGAGACGCGAAGGGACCAAAAGAAGAAGACGGCAAACTTCTTGATGAACCACTGCAAGAACCCGCAGTGGTACAGAAGCTGAACCAGCGAAATGAAGAAGACGATGGCCGGGATGACGGAGATGAGGAACCAAGTTCGGGTGGGAATCTCAGAGTCGGTCAAAAACTCGAGGCCATCCTTGGCGAATCCCAAAAGCGTTCGAGCCATCTCGGAGATGAACGCAAAGATGTCGTAGCCAACGCTCGTCTTGAGGACGAACACGGCAATGATGAACTGGGTCAGCATGCCTCCGATGACGGTGTGCCATGGGATCTTCCTCCAGTCGCGGGATGTGAGAGTGAGGAGGCCAATCATAAGCAGCAGGCCGAACAGAGAAATGGCACGGCTGGCGCGGGTGTTCTCACCGACTTCTTCAGGGATCATCGATCCTACCAAAAAGACTCCGATGGTGAGAAGCGCAGCAAGAGGCTGGTGCAGCTTCTTGGGCGTCAGATCGTAGACCTTTGCGACAGTGTACTTCCACACGAAGCGCAGAGGCACCATGACGGCCGAGGCGGGGAGCCACAGGGTGACGATCCGGATGGTGATGGCGAGGTAGACCAGGAATGGCTTCAGCCAGCCGAGTCTGTCGCGTTGGAAGACGAGACCGACAATCCACCATCTGTTCGCGTTGGTCAACTGATGCCCGTCCAAGGCATCTGAGCACAAGATCTCAACTTACGCTGTGAACAGCATCCACACGAAGACATGGATCGGAAGCCTGAACTTCCGGTAGAACCTCAGCCACTTCGCCCGCTTGCTCTTCGAGTCTCGCATCGAGTCCGTCTGGTTGGTGCCAACCTCTAAGTCGCTCGCGTCGGCGGCGGCGGCGTCACTGTCCTTGGCCGACGACTTTTCCATCTCGTCGCTCTTCGGCAGAGGCACAGGACCCACTTCCAACTTGCCGGGCCCGATGTCGTTCTCGGGCCTGCCGTGCTTCTCGGAGCTGACGTCGGTGGCAGACCGGTCACCACCCAGCGACGCTGTAGGGGCGGAATGCATGATTGCTGTGCCGTACCCTTCGCGAGATGTCGATGAGAAGGTGGTGAACAGGTCGAAGTTTCAGTGAATGGGTCCCCCTTTTAGAAAATTTTGGCAGTTGTGGAGAGTAATAGCGGGCCAGCAACGTCTTGTCCGTGTGGCGATCCGAGATGGGACGATGATGCAGGGAGGGGAAGGCCAGTGCGAGAGACGCGCCCACCGGATGATAACGTATTGGGTGATAATTACCCAAGTGCTGATGGATGGGCCGAGTAACAACGGGTAAGACACAAGCTTGATGCGGCACTCGAACAGGCTTGTATGCCCGTCCAGCTACCTATCCTTTGCGCTCCAGCTGCTCACCTGCCCGACCTGTGCCGAGGATCGACGATGTTACTCCGCGTGGGGAGACTACATGTGCGTGTCTTCCTGGCACTGGGCCGACTTGGCCCGAGTCGGCCCTTTCTCCACGGCTTCCACTCAGGGTTCTAAGGGTGCAGCGCTACACAGCCAGGTCCAAGCTAGAGTATCGCGTCGAGCTCGGCAAGACCATTGTGCCAGCATTTTGTGCCAAAGGGCTGCGATAAGACGGCTTAGCAACATTCTGTAAACCTTCGAGGCCCTAAAAACCAAATCCAATGGCTTTGTAGAGTAACGGATTTCGCAACTTGAGAAGAAGCCGTTGCTAGAATGCTTGATCCGGAGTCGGTGGGCGAGGAACATGATGACGTCGCTCGCTGAGTGAAACAAATGATGTAAGTTGAGGCTTGCGCTGCGGCTTAAATCTTAGGACGAACTATCAAATCTGTTGACATCACTAGCAGTGACCAAAAAGTCTCAAATTCCAGCGAGCCAGTCACATCGAAAACTCTGTTTTTCTAGGTGCATCACAACTTGGGATGAAATCACCCACAAATACTTGTGAGGACCTCGAAGCAGTCTTCTGCCAAGGGTGCCAAGGCACTTTGTCCCGGGTTCCACGATTAGCTTGGCGATGATGTCGATTAAGTGGATGGTTCAGTCGCTACAGCTCCGCAAAACTTCTACGGACACGGAACTGCAGCAAGAGACCCAACATGCTCTGCACAGTCGTTTGACACGAACGATTGGGTACCCCGATGCTCGAAGGATCACTTTCATTGTGGATTCTAGGGCATATAAATCTGTCAAGGTCAAGGTTGGACGGTATGTGTGCCTATGGTTCGCCTCCTACAGAACATACTCTATTGTGACATTGCCTACCATTGAAAGACAAATCCTGCTGCTCTTTCTATTCTCAATTCTTCGAGCTTTTCACCCTACTACTTTCCGTCTTTTTGCCCTCCAGGGTTCGGGTTCCCGCTTCGCATGTGGCCCAAGCCTCAACTTCGTGCTTCCATGGCGATCCCACATGTATTCCAGAGACCAATCGTCCTCGAACATCTGCGAAACCCAGTGGAAAGGGCTCCCAAAACTCTGCTGGTTGGGGCAACGTGCTGGCATAATATTAGCGGCGTGAAACTTGCGACAAATGATTCAAATGGGACTTAATTTACCATCCTCTCGCATCTCCCTCATCTTATTCCAACTCTTCCGGCAGAACTGTTCATGTCCATGGCTCAGGCCAGTCCAGAACCACTTGGTGACGTGATCGCCGATCCAGCTGTCCGCCGGACAGAGGGAGTCAGGCGCCCTTCTATAGTACTGCCAGTGGAGCAGTAGTATGTTCGCACTCTTTTCCACCACCTCGAGGTAGGACTGGTAAGATTCCTGCCGTAGTCGTTGCTGCAGGCAAGATCAGTGAATAATCATACATGTAAGTCCTCTCATCATACCTCTTTACCATAACACAAAAGCGCGCTCAGACGGTGGTGCTCCGTGATGACAGCAAGCTCGTGAAGCATCAAGAATATGACTACATATACCGTGAAGAACGAAGTTCGAATCTTCTTGCAGCAAAGTTTCTCAAGATCTTCGAGTACTTGATCATGGAATTTGAGTGCACGCAGGTGGCTAATCGACTTATATTGCTCAGTAATCGTTGGAGGTGTTGGGACCCTATCGAGCAAGGGATGAAATTCTCCTTTAGCAGGCATCATACCAAGACAACTGGAGGCTTTGGTGTTTCTATCGTAAACCCAAGACGGATGCGTACTGACATCTAGAGAACAAGGTTATCAGCTTGTAAAGGCGGAGTTGAGATTTGGACGAGCCAGTTGGCAAACATGACCAGAAGACCAAATGCTGGATGTACTCACGGAGTGCAAAGCGTAGCTTGATAAAGTTCAACAGAAGCCTTTGTTCGATAACATTTTCTTCTCCACTGACCCTTCGATAATGTTCCAAGGCTTCTGTGTAATGATCCAGGATGAGTTGATTTGTATCGCCTCGCTTGGTCTTTTCTTCCCAACTAGTGACAGCATTGGCCTCGATATATTCGTCAAAGGCCCTACGCGAATCAATACCGCTGGCGAGCGCATATGGCTCCAAGGCCGTCTCCCGGATAACACCGCTGCCTTCATCCAACCAAACATAGTTGACTTGGTCCTCCGGCTTGCTCACGAATCTTCGCACCTCGATCGCCATGGGTACCGAGCAAAGTCCCCGCATCATGAGATGGATCTTGTATGTAGTGTCTCCATCCCAATCTCGAGGATCAACATCTTTCGCCAGCAGCCCCCCTCTTTCGTTATTCAATGTGCTGGGATCTCGGTATAGGATGACATCAGAGAGCTTGGTTCGGATGCATGGCTGTCGATGGACGATTTTCGCGGAATTGATGTCGACTCTCGCGCATGTTAGGCAAGCCCCTTCGCGGTCTTCCGGATTGACATCGCACTGATTCGTGGTAAGTCATTGACCCAGGATTGAATGCGGGATGGGGTTGAAAACACCTTGAGGCGCTGCATGCGGCATCGGATGCAAGCACCTATCTCCCTCGTTTCTGCTATAGTTCGACGTTCCTCTTCCGTCATTATGCGCTTCTTTCGGTTGCCTCTGCCTCTCCTAGCACTTTCAGGCCCTTTAAAGGGTTGACATTTGGTTTGCTCTCCTTCTTTGAGGACTTCTGCCTTGCCAGATTTGCCGTTTGTTGAGCGCCTCATAGGCCGGATCGCCGCCAAACCATGGTCTAGAAGAGCGGTGGGAGACGGGTCGATTTGTTCGGTCAACGCAAGCCGTCCCGCAGAGCCCGCAGGCTTGTTCTGCTTATGTACAGCACCACTCTCTCCGGTGACGGCAAAGTGGAAACGCACTCCAGTCTCTGGTAGTGTTTCAGCTGATACGGCAACATGCGTCGAGGATTCTTGGCAATTCGACGAAAATTGATGTTGAGATAAAACATCCTCGGGAGGCGACACGACGCATATGTCTTTGGGGCTGGACGAGCTGTTTGTCAGACTGGCTGTGCTAGGCGGGGGTGTGATCCAGATTGGCGCTATCGTAGAGCTACTTGATTCCTCCCAGCGAGTGGTCTGTCCACAGAAACCAGCTGCCCGCACAAAGCCAAGTGTATCACTGGTCTGGCATTCCGGTGGGTATGGCTCAATTCCGGAGTTGCAGAACAGTTGCTGGGAGTCGTCAAATATAAATGACTGGCATTCTCGGAAGACTCTTGGTGTCATCGATTGCAGCGTCGGTTCGTCGAAGTCCTCAATCTGCACCGCATCTTCATACAACAAAGCTTCCGACGCAGCTCTCGCTTTAACCGGTTGACAAAAGCTTTTAAAAGGACGGCAAAATTCCCGGAATGTATCCATGGCCTTGTGGGATCCGGGCACACTGTCACAGAATTTCCACTGTGGCTGCGTTCGCGCGTCTGTGTACCCTTGAGATGCTGGATAGGAAGCAGATTGGTAGTGGCTCAATATCTTGGTGTTCTGAGTACTGATAAGTCACATATCGTTTTCAGGCTGGGCTAAGCCTGGATTTTGCTGCCAAACAGCTAGGAAAAGCCACAAAAGCAGTTTTGATGCTGGGACATGACTCGTCAGACTTACAGAAAGATGCTGGTTGGTGTGATCAGACCATGACTCCAGAGCTTCCAGAGTCTCCATCTTCGCACGGACTTGACGGCTCTCACAGCCAACTTGAGGATTTCAGCGGATCGATCACTTCAAGGTCCGTGAACTGTGACGACTCTTTGGGGCGTTGCAACCGTTGCCAACTGTCAACTACGTGGCTCAGTAGGATGACGAGGTAAGGCGCATTCGGGCTGTAATACTGTCTGCCAACGATGAGATTTTTTTATATTTGGTTCCGAGTAGAAGATTTGATTAAAAAGGGTGTTTCGGACAGAAAACAGGTTGAAAGAGCGCCTTTTACTTCAAGTCTTTGGGTTAAAAATCGTCGGGAAAGGCTTGCCAACTTATCGAAAACATGGGGAAATTTCGTGGAATATAATTGACCCATTTTACAAGAGAATGTGCCATTTCAGCATTCGAGGCACAACCAACAGTATCGTCATTAGCCAATCACAAATTTTGAACGTTCTCTGGATCCCCTTCGGCCGCAAGGGATAATTTCTTATTCCAGCTCCCTGGTTCATTCCAGCGAGAGTTGTCTTTAGCTGTCACACTTGATCCCGTCCATCCACGCCTAGGGGTGTGCGAATGCAAATAAGAACAGTGCAGCAGTGCTTTGCATGATCGGCCGGTGCCCAGTCTAATATGGCATGTAGATATACAAGGGTTCAGACTGACTACGCCAGTGTTGATGTATGTAGGACATTTATGGAGGTGGAGAAGTAAGACTTGGCTTCTTTTGCTTTGCAGAAGCCGAACAGAGTCTGGCTGCTTTGATGAGTGATGGCATGCTGGGCGGTGAGGTATTGGGGGTCAAAGAAGGCTGTCAAACGAGAGACCGGCGCCTTGTTTGTACCCACCATGATAATGGTATTCATCTCATCTTCAATTCAGTCCTATATCTATCTTTAAAGTGTCCTGCCAGTTCATGAAGAGTGAATGGCCAACCACGGGTTGCTAGAGTTTGCCGTAGCCAGATGTGGGCCGGAAGCGACACATGAGGGGAAGTAAATTTTGCCGAGTCACAAAATGGAAAAGAAAGGGTGGTTCAGTCCAGCACTGGAGCCTGCGCAACGTGGGTGATAACGTGAGAGCCAACAGCATTGTCCCGGTCGATATGCATAAGTTGGCAAATGCATACAACCATCTCTACAGACTGCGATATCTGCTTACGACGATAGTTGTGACTGTGTCTGTAACGCCGCCTCCGCGCGTGCCAAGCCGACTGGCCAGTGGATGTGTGTCGACTCCAAGCGTAGCCTGTTCGTACTGAGCAGCATCTGAAGGTGGTTGTCGATATGATATGGCTCTCATGAAGACGTTCTCATGAGGATAAGTAAGCATATCAAGAATAAACGAAGTGTAATTGCGCTTGCCCATAGTCGTCGTTTTACCAGTGGCACCGCAACTCCCCTCCGCAGCTATCAGCTGGCTTACCGATGTCTGCCGCGTAAAAACCTAACATGTTTGGAATCAAGAGATGTCCCAAAACTTGTCATTATTTGGTAAGGGGGTCAACATCTGGTTGGGAATGGCGATCCTGTACATCGCAAGCCTCCATGGAGTAAGGGGTCGGGGTTGTTTCTACGTAATAATGAGACAAAGCCTACTTGACAACCGCATGTACTGTGCGCTTTTGTAGGAGTTCATGGTCAAACTGAGCATTCCTACCGCAAGCAAACCCCGAAACACAGACCCCGAGACGCAGCACCAATAAACAAAAGGTCAATGGTCTCGCAATCAGAAATGATTAGCGTAGTTGTCTCCTTCCGACTTGGAGAAAAGGCTTGATAGGCGCATGATAATATCCGGTGATGCTGATTTCAAGATCGCTGAAGTATTTGCTCACGCTAATTATCGGACGTTGGTAGATCCAACAGGAGCATCAATGCATCAGTGGGTGTTGTTCCGGTGTTTGTTAGTAGGCTGAACAGTGATCTACTCCGCCGTCCCCCGATGCCAACGAAAAAGGGGCACTAACCCAATCGCAAAGTCAGAACCTGTCTACGTCTTCTGGAGACCCATGGTTAGCGAATTTTTACTCACGAAACGGTTCCGAGGCAGGTAAACGCCGGTAGTTCCGTGCAATCTCATTTTTCCAATGACGACTTGTTTTGATTACCCCGGAAATGATAAGGAACCCCAACGTTTTGACCGTCGTGGGAAACCAGGCTCGCTTAGCACTACCCCCTGAGGTTGAATGAGTGGTGTTCCTTAGATCAGGCTGCTGGAGTGCCAAGAGTGCCGGCGTAAAAGCTTCAGAGGATCGTTCTGTAGCTACAGGAACAATATCCTTCAAAGGTATTCCACATTATTGATCCATGCCCTTACTTCATGCACGACACTGGTTCTGATTGCCACGACAAAGGGGCAACGAGATGTAAGGTGAAAGTCATAAGACAAGTAATAGCTGGTTTTAGGGAAGAAACGACTGGTTGTCTGGCATTTGCAGAGTGTTTATGGAGTTCATCAGTGCTATAAGACGTCGATCTTCCCATTGGGAACCCCTAATATGACTTCCTATCGTTGTCGACGCAAACACTCCACTGCGTATACCCAATTCCTTTCATCGCTATCCGCTTAATACGCGTCGCTAAACAAATTAGCGACCCTAATGTTTACCAATCTGGTTGTGGTTGACATTTTAATCGCACAAAGGGAAGGCTCCAGATGGTGGCTAAAACGATCAAGACGTGGATCGATAATTGTGACCGATCACCATTTGATGCCATCGGAAATAGCATCTTTCGAAATGCTGTGCTTTTGTCGTTTTGGGCAGCGACTAGTTGGCCGCCTGAGGAGGACAAGACGGTAATTTCGAGGGATATTATCTAATACGGGCCTTAGTACAATCAGAGGCTACCCCCCTTCCAAGCTTTTGTCTCGCTTTGGCTTCTGGGGAGTGTCTTCGTGTCAAGACAGCTGCACCGCTAAAACACACAAGAGACCTGCCATTTCTTCCTTGTTATCCTTGTTATGGAACCGGATTCTTACTGTTGTCTGGCCCGAATAACTCTGATCACTTGTCCAGCTTACGATCGAACCCTGGGCGCTCAATGTCTCGGCGGAGAACTTTCTGCCAAGCGGTCAGGCTCATCCACAAGCTACCAATATGCGGTGTATCGGTTGTTGCAATCAGTCTGTACGCCAATATGGACAATTAAAATCCCTACCAAGAGAATTGACTCAGGCAAACTCCATGCTTCCAGAATGATGATGATGAAAATGAAAGTGATTCGGAAGCAATGCACGTCTTTTGAGCTCCAAAACATGACCGTCAATTGTAAAAGGCTCGGTGTTCGCCAGACCAGGCGAAGCCTCCTTAGAATACTGGAACTCGGGGGATTACGCTGGCTGAAAACACATGAAAGGACGGGTGCGATACAGAACTGAGACAATCGGGATCAGGCAGGAATGAGTTGGACATTATGCTTACCAAAGATCTACGATATTCTGGCATGGCTGTCTAGCCACCTGGCTGCCATGCGCCCTCAGTGGAAGCCTGTCGGTTTGGAAGGAGGGTTGAAATCCTGTGGTGTTTTGTTGAAGACGCGTACGTGGCTGCCTACTGAACAAGATCCAAATCCTTAAGTGGAAGCCGGTCGGAGGGACCCAATATGTCCGGGCCACCCAGACGAGCAATAAGCTTACCTGGTGTCTCACGGCCAACAACCAAGCATTCAGCACTGGTAGCCAGATGCCGCTTCATTCTTCCAATAAGCAGCATAACGGCGAAGGCCGTGGGGGAAAATGATGCACAACGCACCCACAAACATTCCGGTCGTCAATTGGTTGTATATAGTCATTTCTAGATGTACCCTACCCACAGGTAAACTACCACGAGCCGGTGATGGGTTATAATGCGACCGAGTCGATGTGTTGCCTGGCATGAGGCGCGAAGGCTCGGCGCGAGCCTGGTGTCACTAACCCTGTTTTAGTCTCGTCGTCTCATTCCCCTCCAACTGCCACAAAGTAACCCTTGGAACGATGTCTGGTAGGCTTACTGAAACAAAATGTTTTATTTCTAAGATATCATCGTTTGCACTACTAGCTACGTCCTTGTATTGTTCCCTCCACTGTCTTGGTCTTCTTCCGACACCAGATATTGAATTCGTATCTTTGTTGGTGAAGGTATGCCATAGTAGAGGCTAAGGATTTGGGGATACTATCCGTCAAAGTAGAAGTAGCACCAGGAGGCGACAAGAGTCAAAGCTCTGAGTCTGCTAGCTAGACGTCGGGAAGACAAGCCTGTGCTGCGTAGCAAGGTACTTTTCAGAATACGATCTTGACTCTTGACTCAGGTGCTACGTAATGCTCTGGGCCTCGTCCCTCTGTAAAAAGGGGGTTGAGTGCGTTTCATTTCGGCCGTAAGACAAGCCACTAGGGACGGCTCGGATGATGCCGCCTTGAACTTCGTGGTCATGCGGAATTCTTCTTTTCCCTAGATACGCCACACTCTCTAGCAGATTCCTTCCTAGGTATATCGGATCCCTTCGTAGTCATGCCGGATCCCTTAGTCGGCTTGATGCTTGAAGTCTTTTTGAATGCAAGCCCCACGTCCTGGATGGGCGATCCTGAGCGATTTATCAATCCCCATTTCAATCGGAGCATGCTGCAGAGGGGGTTGGTGGTAGGAGGTGCGCCAAGTTCCCTGGATTCCAGGCTTTCAGTCCTTCGATCTGGCTAAGTCTTCTGGCTTGGTCGCCACCTGCTTAGAACTGTTGCTCAGGTCACTCTCCACGATGCAGAAAAAGCGATAGTATCTACTCGAACGGCTGTAACAACATGTGTTGCTATAACGCCTAACCTTCTACATGAAGCCCTTTGCAAAATCTGGCGATGGAGAAGCTTGCCTAAGTTCCAACGAGAGTTTGCGATCTAAGGCGGGCAAAGAAAAGCAAGACCAGGCGTTCAATACGATACTCTACTCCAACAACTTGCACCCTCCTTGCTGCACTGAGCACACCGGGTGACAGGGAACAAGGATTGTGATTCTGGTTTTGCGTGTTTCAACTCACCGTGGAGCTAGCAGTAGTTGGCAGTGAGTCTATCCATTTTTCATGGAGACATCCTGCCCATCAGCACCCTCTGATCCCTACTCAGTATCATCTCTCTTGCCTGGACACCCAGAAGCCGCGCGCTACTAATTTAGTGACATCTTCTGCGAATGCCCAGAGCTGCATGTGTTCGGACTTTCAAAAGCCCATTGGCGAGATATTGGCTTGCCCGTCATTTCGATCAGACTCGATCCGATGTAATTAGGAGCTCGGACCGCCAGCCGCGAGTTGTAACGCGACCTATATTGTTTGCCTTGGGAAGACGGGATGGCTATTACCCGACGGAAAGTTACTCGAAATAGTGATGAGGACCGAAAGGCATCAGTTGGTTCTCAACATGTTGCGCCGTGAGTTGATAGTCAGCAATCAAATCCTCCGCCACAGTATGTACCCTGGCAAGAACTCGAACCCCACACCGGTGAAGCAATCGACGTGGAGGGGTCGATACATCGCGTAGCTTGTTGTTTGCGCGCCCGGAGATGCTCTGTGTTTCCCACATTTGGCGACCCGCCTTCTCAGACTTGAGGCTAGCGGAGTCAAGTTAGCGGGCCGGAGGGTAAGCTGTAACCCAGTCCGATACCATTGCCCAGTTATTGTTGGTCATTGACGCAGGCAAAAGGTTCGGGCATCGTAATGAGGTGATAAACATCCTATTGCCGTATTTCATTACTGTATACATTGCGAGAGAGGAAAGAAGAATGACAAGCCCTATACCATACTATTGCATATCAGTGGAGAGTATCATGTTCGTTGTTTCATGTCAAAGAGGAGACAACTAAGGGAAAACAAACTTTGAGACATGCCACCAAGTAGATGATCATGGGGGAATACTGTAGCCTGAATCTCAATCTGATCATGCAAGGAGGTTGGGCAACCACTTGATGCCATTGCTCAGCAATGCTGCATTTACTCCGCGCCAAAAGAGGGAGGAATTTGCAAGTACAGATACTTCTGCCTGATTTTGTGACAAGACCACGAGGTACACATCAAAATCAAAGTTCGATCCCCGCATGACAGAACCTTGCCATGAGAACCCACAAACAACAAACCAATAGCCAAGTTCAAGAAAAGTAATACCCTTGCATCAAATGTTGAAACTGCCTGCCGACAAGCAACCTCTGGTGCCCCCCTAGAGCATCACGCGCCCCTTTCCCGAGCGCCGTCCTGCATCTTTCGACCCACCCGTTTCTCGGTCAGGCTAGACCTTGCTCCAACGCAGTAGAACTGCAGCCGCAATGACAGGCAGCACGCTCGCCAGCTCACCCAGGCCAGCAAACTCGGGCGGGATTCTTGCATTGACAAACGCACCGGCCCCAAGGAGGATGGCAAACAAGTTGTAGACGAAGCTCCAACCAAAGTTGAACGCGATTCTGTGGGTAGCCTTCTTGCTGATGCTGATTGCGGTAAGAACACCGGCCAGGCTGGGCCGCATGAGGACCACATCTGCGGCGGACTTTGCAACATCGGTACCCTCGTTCATGTGCACGCCAATTGTGGCCTGGGCCAGTGCAACTGCATCGTTAGTGCCATCGCCACAGAACATGACGACTGGCTCCTTCTTGTTTCTCTTCGGAATGGATCGGGAGTTGGCTGAGACTGGATGAGACAGCAAGGTCTGGATGTATGCTTGTTTGTCTCCTGGGGTACATCGAGAGCGGACGTTGGTGTCAGGAATGCCCATTTGACTAGCAACTGCTCGAACTACACCATCGTCGTCTCCAGAGAGCACATGGACCGCAATCCCAGAGGCCTGCAGCGCTGTAATGATCTCAAGAGCATCGGGCCGAATAGAATCTTCAAGGCCGAAAACCGCAACTAAAGAACTGTCGATGGTGAAACAGAAAGCGGTAAGGCCCTTTGAGAGGATGGGCTCAACTCGAGGATCTGTAGAAAAACCAAGCCACCGCGAATTGCCTGCCCGAAGTGTTCGCCCAGAAACGGTTGCCTCAACGCCTTTGCCAGTCAAGGTAGAGGGATCCGGTACTGTGGAGCCCGATATACCACTAGCTCTAAGATGCGCCGCGACAGCGGCAGAAACGGGATGTTTGATGCTACCAACCAGACCGAGAATCAAGGCCTTGACTGAATTTGCGTCATCGGTAATGTAGTGTTCTTCGACAATCGTCAGTTTGCCATTGGTGATGGTCCCGGTCTTGTCAAAGACGACATGCGAGGTTTTGTAGGCAACCTCGATACTGTCAGCAGACTTGAAAATGACACCTCTTTCAGCAGCAACGCCGCTCGCAATCACAATGACCATCGGAACAGCCAATCCTATGGCGCATGGACACGATACTATGAGAACTGTGATGGCGTAAGTGACGGCCTGGATTGTTGCCTCAGAGCCGGACTGTTTGCGAACCGCAATGCCGACCGCCATCCAGATTGAGAAGGTAATAATTGTTATGCCCACAACTACTGGGACGAAGCATGACGCTACTCGATCTGCGATATCCTGTATCTTTGGCTTAGAAAGCTTGGCCTCGTCAACCATTCCGGCGATGTTGCTGATGGTGTTATCGCCCGGAAGTTGGGTCAGTCGAACGTTGAGAGTCCCAGAGCCATTGATGGACCCAGCAATTAGTGAAGAACCGACGTATTTTTCGATGGTTTTGGACTCTCCAGTCATCATGGATTCGTCAAGCTCTGAGGAGCCCGAGATCACCGTCCCATCGGTCGGGACTCTGGAATCCGGTACGACCTTGAAGACGTCTCCATGCTGGAGAAGGCGCGCGTCGACTTCCTTCTCTTCGCCGGATTGATCAACAATCAACGCTGTAGAGGCTTGCAACGATCGAATAGAGATAGATTCCACTGCCTTTTGGCGCGCCAAGGCGCTGACATATCGACCAACCATTATGAGTGTGACGAGCAGTGTGCTTGTCTCGAAGAACTCGCCGGTCGACAGTGGATTGTGAGAGACGAGGAAGCCGAAGGATACGACAGAGAAAATGAACGCAGCGCTTGTGCTCAAAACAATCAGCAAATCCATCTCGATGACTCTCGAAAAGATCAGGCTTTTTAAAGCCTTCGGATAGAATGGGCCGGCGACGACAACCTGTACGATAGTCGCAAGTGCCAGAGATGCGGAGCCATAGGCGATCTCCCTCTCGGGGAGAGGAGCCCAGGCCATGACAAGAACGGGGATGGTCAAGGCAATCGAAATCAGGGTGATTAGTCCCATGTTGCGAACATGCTTGCTGCCGGCCTCCAAGGTTGGATCAGCGCGAAGCGGCGCCAACTTCAAGGGCATGTCCCATCCCTTGCCAATCAGATCACGGGCTCCGATGATGTCGGCGTCGAATTCCACATGAACACTTGTCTTGTCCACTACGCGGATGTCTGTGACGCCCTCTGGCCATGGCTGGTTGATGAAATCTTGGGGATCGCCAGGTGTGAGGATGTCGATGCTGGCGCCTTGGCTGGTTACCTTTTCGCACTTGAACTCGGTCGTACGTTCGAGGTGTTTGATGACCTCAAAAACAGAACTGGTACTCATATCCAGATCGAACTCGGCGCGGGCCAGCACCAGGCTAGTCTTGAGATTCTTTACTGCGCCGACTGTGGCTAGTGTTCGTCTGAGTTTAGTTTCACAGCCCGTGCAAGTCATGCCCGAAATGCTGAGAACGACATGCTCGTTTCCAGAGATCCCTCGTTCAACATCGGTAATCACGTCGTTGGCCACTCGCTTCGAGGTTTTCATAACGGCTTCTTTTGGATGAGCGTCGTCACAACACGAGCCACCGCAAGACCCCGCGATGCTTGGGGCTTTCGGCTTCGCGCAGCATTCATCAGAATAACCATCGCCCTTGACCCCGTAGCTGGCGGAACGGGACGCTTTCTCCTCTCTCGTGCGTGTGTTCGAGCTGCAGGCAGTAGGCGCCGCTCCCTTGGCGCTGCACGAGTCGACAGAGACACGAGAACCAGATGACTTGATCGATGCGCGCTTCTGAACAGACCGTTCGCTAGGAGCACAGCAAGATTCTTGTCCGAGGGCCAACAGGGCCCGGCAAATGCAACCCAACGCCTCAAGCTTGGCCTGGTAGGTTTGGCGGACTGTGCGAACATGGCCACGGCATGGTATGCCGTCTCTACCACCTGTGCAAGCGTCGTCGTCGCTAGTAGACGCTGCAAGGGACTGTCAGATGCAAGAACGATTGCATTTAGGGTATAGCGCCTTACCTCTGGATGAGTGATGAGAAGTTGAGGCTATCTTGCTAGCGCACTCGCGAAGGGCGAGGCGGTCAATGCAAGTTGAGTTGCAGCAAGGGGACGTCTTGCCCTCGCAACAGATCGGTACTTTCTCTTCTTTCGCCTTCGTGGAAGACGACGGAGGCGAGCAGCAACCCTTTTTGCAGTCATTCCCTGCCTCTGGTTCAGGAACGCAACGATTGTTTTTGAGGTCGCTCTCAATGACTAAGTTGAGTTTATCCTTCGGCTCACCCTGGAAACTGCAGCAGCCTTTCTTACAGTCTTCCTTCACTGGAGGCTTCGGCGCGCAGCAGTCATCCTTGACATCGGCCAGCTGAGTCTCGCAAGCATCAGCTGACTTGGCCTCTTCTTTTGTACCACAGCCTCGTTGCGTGTAGACGTCTTTGGTTATGGTCTTTGAAGAGCAGCAGCTACCAACAGCGCCGTCTTTAGTCACACATCGGTTCTTACTGTCGTCGTCGGGTTGAACCTCAACAGTATTGAGCTTCTTGATGCTGAGCTTGGGGGCCTCGATGGCAGCGGTGGTCTTCCCGTCGATGGATTTACAGCAGGGCTTCGCGCAAATGCCGGCATCAATTTTTGGCGCAACGTGACAGTCTTCAGAAGCTGGCTGATCAGATCCAAGTTGGATGGTCCCAGAAGTCGAAAGTGAAGAGCAGCAGCCCTCTTGACAATCATCGCCGTTGTTACGGATGTCTCTAGGCATGATTTCACGAGGGCAGCAGTCATTCTGGACTTCGACTGACTCAGAGCAGGCGTCCGCATCATCGCAGCCGCTTTGCATTCCATATCGCGATGGAGTCGGTGAGGGGTCAGCATCTGAAGGGGCAGGTTGATCCTTGGGTGGACCGCAACATCCCGATCCGCAAGTCATTATGGCGAACCTTGTTCTTGGTTTCTTTGTTGTTGGATCTCTTATGTCTCGAGTAAACAGTGTCGTGTGTTGTAGTCGCTGTCCGTGGAGGATAGATGAGATGACACCTCAAGTGTGGGTGGGACAGCTTCCGGAGTCTAGGGGACCGATCCCGGAAGCACGTGTCGGTGGGATGGTCTCTGTTCGCCCCGCATTGCCGGAATGCATCGGCCGATGATTGGCTCTTTTTACAAGTCATTCTTCAAAGGTCCACCACGGGACTGCCCGAGTGCCCGAGTGGGAGCCACCATTGGTTCGGCACTGTGACGATGCATTTCAATCTCATTGCCCTTCGCATCAACCCGATGCTGATCATTGATTTGAGAAAGGAGAACAGAAAGAAAACGGGCCAACGAAACACCCAATCGCTATTTATATGGTGTGATGTGATACCGCACATAGATCGTGTGGTCAAATGTTGCCCTGCTTCGGGCAGAACTGCCTTGCAACGGGTTGCAACAAGTAATGCTCGTTGCCCTGTGAACTTGATGCTGTGATAGGCACTGAATCTATGGACCATCGGACAGTCATTTTCTGCCGATCAAGTTTTTTTTCAAAAAAAAAAATTTCAATTGAAGCATGATATTCAGGGCCTAGATTTGGGTGTAAAACAGCCTATTCTCGCTGCAATTGGCTCAACGACAAACCGAGTAAAGAAGCAGTTTTGGAATTGCTTGTTCTGAAGTTTGCGGAAACAAAGGGTCCACCACCAGTGGTCGCATGCACAAAAAAAGAATTTAAGTCTGCACCGGTACTGTATGAATTCAGGTGCCTTAACTCCAATTGGACTACCTAATACTAGCCGGTAAGATAGGTATCAACGTCATATATCGCCGTAGTATACTGCTGTGCTGTCTCGGGTAACTCCGATCATCAATGCGCCCTCATAGACTTCTGATTCTTCTTGCTTGTCTTGCCTGAAGTTGTTTTTAGCCTTTTCATGTTGCACTCTAAGTCAGATCTGTATGCAGAGGTGCGACTAGCGGATGCAGAGGGCCCACAAGATGGACTGCTCGAGATAGATGGCATTTGAGAAACACTGCTTCGCGAGGATGAAGCTGATGTTGATGATGGTGTAGTCTCGGTCTTCTCATCAGCAGAAGGATATCCATTTATCTTGGACAGAGCCGAACCTCGGCGATGCGAACGCGTAGCAGAGCTGTACCCAAACTTCCGGCTAGCGGCCCCCTTGCGAAGCTCACTGAATATCATATCGGGGGTTGTCACTCGTGTAGGGGCTGAGGAGACTCGGTCAGATGCATCGCCGAGCGGGAAAAGTTGATGGTGAACGACTTACGGTAACGAATGCATTTGGCGCAGCACCCGTGGTCACACGTCTTGGACTCGTCAGTCTGTATTCCACCATGGCCTTTGTTCGGCTTCGTCGCCGTACACCAACCCTGGTCGTTGGGCCCCTGGCCACATTGACAACAGATCCAGGCTCCGCCCATAGCAGTGAACTGGCAGTTAAGAAGCGGACAGTCTGCATTACTAGGCTGAGCAGTGGCATAGCTTAGATGGGTGCACGGAGTCTCGACGCCCGTTTCGAGGTCGATCAGGGCCGAAGGGCAGTAATGCCAGTTGATTGAGGTGTGTGAGCAAGGGTGCCATCGAGGATGACCGTGACACATTGCGAACGCTGGTACTGCGAGGACTTGATCTCGTGATGCGTATGTTGGTATTAAACGGTAATAAGAGTGATCTTTTCCATATGGCTCGTGATAATCAGTGCTAATTAGATTGGGAAATAGAGAAAAGCCCGAAACACTCGAAGCAGCACGTCCAGTCTTATATACACTGTTTTATAGCTCACTTGCTCACGATTACCGGCACATGTTATCCCCAATCCAGACATTCAGCGTTGCTGTGTTGACCAATCTGGTCATTCAATTCAATGATCGCGCACCTATTCCTTTTCTCATATTCACTGACACACATTCACTTCTTGCCAACCATCTCGAACATCACGTCGTCGTATCCCATCTGCTCTCGCAGCTGCTCCACCGACAGCGAGGTTTGTACAACCTGGACACACAGCCAGCCCCGATTTAATGTCTTTGACGCACCCGATGTCTCGGAAATGCATAGTGGATGAGTGGAATACTGGGAGTATAATAAGTTCCACCCATAGCAAGGGGTGGAAAAACAACAGCCAGGCGACCAGCCAGGCTACCTCATGGTGCAACCAGGGATCTCTGGCGGCGCCAAGTGCGAGTTTAGATGGAGTCCCCGATGGGTAGCTGCAGCTTGTGTTACACCGATCCATCCAATATTGAATCATGGGGATCTCCATCGTCTCTTTGGTGTAACGCGGCCTATGCCGGATCAATGGGAGAACTCGGTCCACGAGTGAGTTTGTAGAGAACACCGATCCGCTGTCCCAGTGCCATGGGTGTCGAGATCTCGCTTAAGAAGTGGTAGCAAGGACGGTCTCGTATTGGCCGGGTTATTGGTCTGACGATAATCATAGAACTCTCTATCGGAGATGAGGTTGACCCCAACACTTAGTTTAGCCAATCGATGACGCAGAACTTTGATTGAGATGGAGAAGGGTGGCGCGGGTCACAAGGCATATTGAGGGCTGGATCGGTATGCAAAAGTGCAGGATCTGGGGCTTGAGATTGACATTCGCTTGGGGGTTGGATTTTGGTCGCGTCAAAATCGCACGATCTCGATCTATGGGTCATGTTCGTCGCCCCGCATCAACGCTTTTGTCAATAGAATTTCTGCGAAGGCTCAGAGTAACACTCCAGCTAATTGACTTAGCAACTTCAAGAGAGAGAACAATACAAAATCAGCTTCTTTTGACAGTCTCAACACATGGAAGGATATAATCGAGGGCAAACACCACTAAGCCTCTGGGTTCACCTCATGCTTTGATTATCAGGGCCGGCGTCCGCTAATAGTTAGAAGCATCAGGTTCACTTCTCCAGTACTTACGACCCGTCGTTTCTATTCACTCGTCAGTTTTCTTTATCTATCTTACCACCTTCAGTCCACTTTTACATAATCAGCCGTCAATAGCGGCAGTACAGGTATTGCAGCAGATATGCTCGCAGCGGTACTCGTTTCCGTCAATAATCATGATGCAGCTGCATCTTCCGCCATTGTTCCAACCCTTGCCACACCAGCAGCAGTTCCAACACCGGTTCCGTGTCTCGTAGGGGCAGATAGCCAAGGGGCATTTGGGTAATTCATAGCCGGTGGGGGGCGGATATGGGATGTTCTGCTGACTAGCTTCTCTGCAAGTTTTGCGATTGGGAGAGTCTTTCCTCGAATATGACGGTGCTTTCGAGCAGTGGTAGACCTGGGTATGGATATGCTCGCAAGGTAGCCTGTAGGAGATAATGTTGCACATTCCTTGTTTTTTCCGTTTTCCAAAGCTTGAGCGTCTGTAGATATACGAGTTGGCGAACGAGCAACTTAAGCCCTGTTGGGGTTCTCTGGTTCGTACTAGGTATGATCTTTGCCCTCAGAGGTAACGAGTAGAGGTACTTGAAGTGATCCTTTTGCGAGATGATGATGTGATATTCTCAATATTTCAGAATTCCGGGAATCCGCATTAGTCTTTATAGTTC